AACCCATTTGCTGTTTATAAAACAAACAAATAAATAGATAAATAAATAAACATATAAACATATAAGTACTGTATTTAAAAATAAATAAGTAAATAAATAAATAAATAAATGAATGAATGAATGAATGAATGAATATATATATATATATATATGAGAGAACTCACTGAATGGGAACTGGTCCAAGCCTACCCTGCCAGGTCCGAGTGCGTCGGGGTCCCCAGCAGTGGTAAGCCGTGCGAGCGGTGTCGAGGGAGAACCGAGTTTGACATGCGGATCATGCGGATTTTGCGGCCTTATTACCTCTGGTAATTTAACAGCTTGCTATTGAACATGGCCATAGAACTAGTTGATTCACTTAATTTACTTCTTCAAAAGTGTGATTTTCGATACTGAAAAGCTAGGTGACCAGAGGGGTATATGTCTTTGTTTTGTAGTGTGAAATGCCACGGACATATTTTTGGAGTGACTATTTGGATCTGTTTATTCGCGTGCTCTTGGTGCTGAGGTTGGGGAAAGGAGCCGCTTTGTCAAAAGGCAGGGTTTCTCTGATCTGAAAATGGGATGCTCCAAAGCCCAATGGACTATCATGATCATCATTTTCCATTTAAAAAAAGCAATTATTTTTGGGATAGCCGGCCCATTTTCAGCCACGTTCAACGTGTTCATTTGAGAATTTTGCTTGGCACTTTCATTTGCTGTAACTGTGTAACTGTGTAACTGGATACTGTATGGCAGAGTAAAATCTTCAAGTGGTCAATGGTTTCTCTCTAGCCTAAGTTGTTGGTTTACCATTGGCCACTTCAAACACTTAACATATCACTTACTGGTTGGTGGTTTCAATTTGAAACTTTCAAACATGTTTTATTTTCCATAACGTATGGGATAGTCCTTCCCATTGACGAACTCATATGTTTCAAGATGGTTAAAACCACCAACCAGCTTAATCTTCTGGACAGCTAATAACACGTATCAATGGTATGTGTTCCAACCTCCGATGCTCCAAGTGGCCACCAGGAATGGGACAAACATCCATCAATGGGGGATTTTCCGTTGACACGTTTGATATTACCCGAGGATATTTCATATACATATGCGTATAATTAACCATGTATGCATAACTTTACAACATTTTCATGAAGGCATGGTAGAAGTTGTAGAGTTGAAGCCCCAGAAATTTATAGAGATAGTATTGGATTCAATAATATCAGAGAAACTGTTTTTTACGAGATGGCCCATGCAACCAAATTAGAAGTGGAACTTGCATCTACTTGACTGGTGAAACAAGTAGGAGCAAAAAATCATGAAAAAAATTGACAAGCAAAATTTCATGTCAAGATTGTTGAAAACATGTTTCATTTCCAAAGATGCTATTTATGTGGACAGTACTATTTCTTCTTCAGAGCTTGATTCATGCTTTAATGGCATACCTCCAAGGACTGACAAATTATACAGCTCATTTTCTTGAATACCATTTAACGGTGTCTCGTTACTTTTACCGGATATGCGCATCTATCTGTCCATGGGCAACTTGATTATTATTTGATTAATTAATCATAAATAGATGGACGATAATGATTCATCAATTCATCTATAGATGATCAATAGTGATCTATTTTTTCACCATTAAATAATGAGAGGGGCTTGTTGCCAGCGCTGGAAAGTAGGAAATCCTCATGTTCTTGTATCCTTTGGGAAATCGTCATAATCAAATAGGATGTTTAAATTTAAAAGGAGGAGGCCTGATTACATTTCAGCTGTAAAATGCACTCCTTTAGAACAATGGTAGTCATTAGGTTTAAAATGGGGCAAATTCCAAGAATAAATTCCACCCTAGAAGAGAAAACAGGATATATCTCTACTTTGAAGCATGAGGTGCAACAGAATATATATGTAACATAAAATGCAAAATACAGTGGATAAGTTCAGGTCATGCACTTCTCATAAACAATCTTTTTGTGTGGCAAACATCATGAAAACTGGATATATATATATGTTTACCAAGCATGTTTATATATTGGTTTGAAACCTAGGGATACGCTACTTTCATGTTTCCATATGATTGTGGTACAATACCACATTCTTTTGAACAAAACGAGTCGTCTTTGAAACACAACCTTAATTCATCTACAAGGCCTATTTGAGTTAGAAGATTAGGGAAACTCCCTGGTGTTTTCAAACATGTGTGGAAGTACAACAATGTTGAATGAGTTTGAGCTGCGCAGCGCAGCAGTTGACCAAAGAAAATGCAACACATTGAGCTGAAGGCAAAATTGCAAACAATATCAGGCAATGCAGTTGTTTTCACTTGCTTTCATTGCCCAAAGAGAAATATCTGTATATAGTCTATGAAGTTGTATGCCTGTGCTACATTCTCAGCGAACAATGCTTTAAAGAAATGAGGTTCTTCAAAGAAGTGCAGTTTTCCTTAGAAAGCATCCACTTCAACCAAAAAGTTGTTGTTATTTACAAGCTGGTGGTTGCTTTTGAGCTAGTCAACTGTTTTTTCCCCAGGAAGAAATCTGAAATCTTTTTGTGCAGTTTTTTTTAAAGAACAACAAGTGTGTTATCTACGATATGTTTGCGTTCTAAAGTGCAGTATTCCTGTCTTTCCTTGATCATGGTAACATTCCTTCAGGCAGATGCTGGTTTCTTCAAAGATTGAATACTTAACTTAAAGTTGCAATCGCATTTAGACAGTTTAGTTTAAACAACAGAACCAATATTGTGTCAAAATATGCACTGTGCCCTTTAAAGATGTAACATTCCTCTCAAAGAAGCTCAACTGGCCTTTCTGTTTGAAAGTAGCACCATTTCTAAAAAAATGTAACACTCCTGTAAAAAAAACCCAGCTGCCATCTGTTTGGAAGGCACACCATTTGTTTGAAGGAAAGTTTTGCTCAGCAAAATTGAATCAGCTGCATCTTTTGAAAGTTACACCATGATTTGAAAATATATTGCAATCCTTTCAATCACACTGCGCACCATTTCTGTGTAAATATGTAACACTCCTGTCAAAGAACTGCAGCTGCGCTCTACTGGGGCAGGAACACCATCTATTTGAGGGAACGGTTTCCTTCAAAAACATAATTTTACATCCCCAAAGGCTTCTGAAAAGGAAAATTGCACATCCCCAGGAATACTGCACATGTTTAGCATACAAGATTTCTTGATGTAATGACTTCACAAGAATGCCTTGGGGGCAAGATGAATCAGATTTGGTTTGGATTAATCTGGATTAATCCTAAGGAATCAAAAACCCAAAGAAACCAAGAAACCAAAAGACACAAAAAACAACACAAAAACACAAGAAAAACAATGTTTCCCAGACTAGTCTGAACATGCCTAGATCCAAGTAGTCCACAAAACATATTTTTTTGTTTGTTTGTTTTGGGTGATCAACCACTCTAAGCTCTATTTCCACTAGAAACGCTTGTGTATGGACAGCAAAAGGCCAATATTGTTTTAGATAATGTATATAATGTATTTGGGGAAACAAATTGCCTTTTGCGCGCCCACAACAAGCCTGTCTGTATTTCTACTCGAAAAGGTTTGTGCATGGACAGCAAAAAACATCAGATCATGTAATATATTGACAAAAAAACAACGAATATATACAAATAATTGGTGATTTCAGCGCTGGCAACAAGCTTTTCTGGTTGGTGGTTTCAAACATTTTTTATTTTTCAATATATTGGGAATGATAATCCCAACTGACTTTCATATTTTTCAGAGGGGTTGGTCAACCACCAACCAGATAATCAACAATTCATGATGCAGAGAATGCAGGTCCGCCTGACGCGAGCTCGGCCTTGGCGACCGCGCAGCACAGCCAAATTTGGAGATTTCTTGGTGGTTGTCCCTGCGGATGTAATGGGACCAACCAAATCAACCAACAGATCTCCATGAAATCATGGAAAGATCCACCTTCAATAGCAAACTGTGAATGTTTGTTTACTAGAGGGTATGATATTTATTGATATTTCATGTAGCTGATCTAAATAAAATGGTTTCAATATTTTTTGATAATTTCATTTTGGCATGTTTTCCCCCCAAAAAAAGTGTGTCCACTTTAGGGGCGCAGGCTTTGTGTGATCGACTGCACCTGCGTGCGGAATAGATTCGTGACTATTGGATGGCCAGAACATTGTTTTCGTGGCACATGAAAGGGATCCTATGCATTTGACAAAACATGGCAGGCATAATGTTTTCTGCACATGCGCGAAAGGTCGCCAAGCGTAAGTAAAACTGCAAGCCCCTTCTTTGCTCAACCCTTAACTTCGATTCCCGGACATTGCTGTATGAAATGGTAAAGCACAGTGTAATGGTGCGCACGCTGGATTTTCAGCTCTTCAACTTCCATTTTGGAGGAAATTTCCCACGAGGGCCTAGATAAAAGCTGTGAAAAGATTCGAGGGCACACTGATATCCAGTAGTGGTAGAGGTTCGCGAGGTCCTTGTATGGAGATTTTCTGAGTTCCTTCACAGGGTCTCCTGTAAATAGATCCTTGACGAGAACCTCGCAAAAAGATATATTGGGGAGATCCTTATGGGTTTCTCTGAGAAGTCTGTGCGCATGAATCTTTGAATGTGTCCTTGTACTTGAAAAAGAGTAACTGGTAGAAGTTTGTTCGACAAGGTTATTCTACAGAGTTCTTATGAGCTCCTCTATGCTCCTCTTAAAGGTCCTTTCATGGAGATTCTTTCAAGGGTTCTTGTGCAGCGATTTTTTTGAGATTTCCTCTGAAGAGGCCCTTCCATACAAATCATGCGAGAGGTCCTTGCTGCAGTCCTTGCCCAAATAAAGGGACAGTTGAAGAGTTTCTGGTGCAAAGAGGCTTTTCTTGACTTGCTTGTTCACTCACATCGTTTCTTCCCTTGCTGGAGCGTTTGTTTTGGAGGGTAAGCATTGCATGAGTTTTTCGCGGTAAAATTGGGCCCAGGCAAATGATGAGTTTGAGTAGTTTGAGTAGTTTGTTTGGGAGACGGCCTCGCTTGTGCCCATGGATTTGTCTCGCTTGTGCCCGGTAGCCCCTTTCCACTCGAGCTACTGTCCCCTAAAAGTAGACCCCAAATGGTTGTTTTTCAATGTCCCTATTGCCTGTGTGCATTAAATTATGTTGCTGCATGCCTCTATGCCCTTCCCTAATCCCCCCTGGTCCCCAAGCCCCTCCCTAATCCCCCGCTGGTCCCGATTCCCTCCCATGTTCCCTAGAATTCTATAGACCCTAAATGGTTGTTTTTCTACATGAAGGAATGTTGCCCGTGTGCATCATGGTGCTGCATGCCCTCATGTCCCTCCCTAATCCCTCCTGGTCCCCAAGTCCCCCCCATGTTCCCTAAAAGTAGACCCTAAATGGTTGTTTTTCCACATAAAGGTATGTTCAGGTCAATCCGGGCGCAAGTGAGTCATTTCTATGGGCGAAAGTGAGGCTGGTCCCGTTTGGGTTGCCAGAGTCATCAAAAGAAATGCTCACGTGGATTTTGGTCAAGTTGGCCGCTCCTTTCAGTAGGGGCTGCATTTTTTTGCCCTTGAACCCTACAGAAATCGCTGAGGATGTGCAAGGACCCCGGCAAGGGGCGTCCCAAGGGCATCCACGATGCGCGGCAAGGCACCAATTCACATATTCCATTGGAAACACTGGACACACTGATAAAAATGGGTTGCATGCATAGTATCAATCTTTTTTTGCCGATTTTGATCGGGAGAAGAACACATCGGAATTCGGTGGACAGCTTCAACACCGGTAGGTCAAAAAGCTGCCTTGCGAGATTTCCCATCGTTTGATATCGCCAAATTGGCACTGTCCAATGGCAGGAGCCCTGTTTCGAATCACAAGAATTTCGATGCTCTAGATTTTCCATTGGTTTTCCATTTCCGACATATATGAACATTACCAGATTACCAATGGCCAATGGCCTGATTACCATTTCCAGAAAAAAACAATTTCGGATCACCAATGGTCTGCGGTTAAACGTATTTTGGTCTTCAAAGCCACCCGGTCCGACCATTGCTGGGCAGTGGGTCCTCTGATGTTAGTAAAGCAATAGTATATAAAGCATCCCTCACAATAAACGGGTATGAGCTATTGCTTTCCTAGAATTGTGATTTCATCGTAACGCAGCTATCGCATTTGTACTATTGAGTTGACGAGGTTTCTTCGTTTAGGTTTCACATGATCTGGTTGGTGGTTTGGAATCCCAACTGTTACTCACTCCATCATTTTTATCTATTTTTTTCAGAGGGGTAGGTATACTATACCACCAACCAGTGATGATTTTTCCATATTTTTCCGTATTTTATGGATCTTTTTTGGCCCAACCTTATGGTTTCCCCCACGAAAACTCCACCTGGCGCGACTGGTCCGACTGGACCAGGTTTCTTCGCCAAGGGCAGTGGAAAAGACGGTAAGGGCCCAGGCGATTTTTCCAGTTGGATGGCCACTTTTTTGGGATCCAAAGTCAAGGAGAACATGCTGTTGTCCAACATGTTCCAAAGTTAGAAGTTGTAAATTATATATATATATATAAATATAAGTCTTATTTTTGTTCCTTCTTGAAAGTTGTAATTGTTTTAAAATACCTTTTCGTAACCAAGGGATAGAACCGACTCAATCTGTCACTATTTCGATCGGTTTTTCCACAACTTCGAACCTTCTTTTGGGGTAGCAAATCTGATTTTTTGTTTTCATGGAAAGAATATCGAAGGATGCAGAAAATCAAAAAACAGACACCTGAGAGGGCGTGTGTGTTTTTTCCCAGTTGGGAAGGGGAAGCTCAGAGGAACACCCATATTCTGGATCTGACAGATTTCCTGTAGTTCCTTTGGTTTGTCCAACATCGATCCGCTGAATGCCATATTTGTTCAGTCCAGACGTGCCAGGTAAGACTGCGGTGAACGGTGCGAAAACCGGGTCCAGTGATAGGCGCCGGATGAGACTACAAAACACGTGATTTAACATGATTTCACCGTCAAAATGCTGAAACGAAGGATTTAATCAATCATTTAATGGTATCAAAATTATGGGCAAACCTAGTGAGATCGGGTAGTATTGGCCATGAAGTTTCCAGAGGAATCGGCTCTTGAGAATGCATACCGGCAGGGGTTGATAGGAGTTCGCATGGAGAAGTTCCCTCCACTTTTCACAACGGGTATATGACAGAGGGTATGCTCAACTCATGAAAGATCACAATGAAATGGATGGCATTGGGTGGATCCCAGGTGAATATCATGATTTCATCACCGACACCCTGTTGAACTAACGCAGCTCTGGAAAATCACCATTTCAACAGGCAAATCAACGATAAATGGGCCATTTTCCATAGCTATGTCAGTTTACCAGACTCTTTTGGGGGTATCATCAAGCCGTGTTTCGCAGCGTGACAGGGACCCGCCTGGCGAGAAGGCCTTCTCGTTGCTGTATCTTAGTACCTTTTTGGTTGGGTTCTAACATGAGGATTACATGCTAAGCAGCAAACATGTATGGTATTTGGCAATGTTGTGGGAGACATCTCTTTCTGTTTTGGCACTGACTGTGGGCGAAATACAATATGGATGCCATGGAACCCTCCCGCCCTGTCCTGTGCAAGGCCAGCGTTTCCCCACTTTTTTCGGGTCTATGCTTGGTTTTTGGAGTATCGATTTTGGCCAGCTATGTTCAAGAGATCGCTCGAGTCAGATTTTGTTTTCTGGCTGTTCCCTTTGCTAGTCTGCTGCCTGGAAAGCATTTGGCACTGCCTTTGGTGTAGACGCTGAAACCATTTTGGCATCGTTCTCGAAACCTCAAGTTGCTTCGAAAGTGAGCAGCTTTTGACTTTTGACCCTTGCCCTTTGGTTAGATAATCTGAATGATTTTCATGTATACATAAATGTGTCTATGTGCGCATATATGTATATATACATATATATACATACATATTACATATGTATATATATAATATACACTGTGTTGTATATACGTTTTTCAATTTAGTTTGCTAGGTTTTGAAGAAGCATTTGAGTTTGGTACCTGAACATTTATGGGAAAACCCGATTTCATCCAGTGGTTTGAAGCCTCAATTTTCCTATGAATAGCTGGCCATGAGTCAGTTCGGGGGTCCGGGGTGTACTACCAAGTCTCAAACAAACCCATGATATTGGTGGTTGTATTATATATATATTGTATTTTTGTGTATTTGCATATGTTGGAATAGAATAGAATATAAGATTATATAATACTAGTAATAATCGTAATGATATATATATATATACATATCTCTCTCTCTCTCTCATTATTTTACCATTAACCTGTACCCATGATAGTCATTCTAGCCCGAGTAAATCCCGTTTTGTCGTAGGCAGAGGCATCGACGGCATCGATTGCTCCATCGATTCCTCGGGAAGAGCCGGTGCGCCAAAGGCCAACGTATCAAGGTGCAGCGTGGATTTTTCGGGCATCCAAAAGGGATGGTTTTCCAACAAAAATGGGGGATTCATCATGGGGATTTATACTAGATTAATGTGAATTTGACCCGATGGGATATATATATATATTAGAATATCATGTGAAACATTGGGATTTACCATCCACTTAATGGGGATTTTGATGGGTATACAACGAACCATGTGATGCCCAATGGTATGTATGAACACATCATTGTTACGGAAAAGTACTGGGTGACTTACCTCCGGTAATCAAGCGTGGCTAGCTGGAAAATCATCTATTTATAGCTGATTTTCCCAGCTAGAAACCTTCATTGACACAGGATTTTCCAGCTATCCATGTTTGATTACCAGAGGGTACCGGATGCCACCCATTTTGTGATGGATGTAGCTCCGGAGCATTACCCCACGAAGAAAGTAACTGCTTGAGACTAACTGGGGTCAAACCTTAGAGAGAGGGGATACCCCCAAGAGTCAGGACTAGCCAGGGGGGGGTCCAAAAATGATGAGGGATGTACCCTCTGGTTATGTCAAAATAGCTATTGAAAATGGCCCATTTATAGTGGAATTACCCATGAAAAATGGTGGTTTTCCATAGTTATGTTAGTTTACCAGAGGGAACTAATTTTAGCCCCAACATTCTTGAGATTCTAGGGATTTGATCAGCAAGATGTGTGGAGAATGTGATGAAACCAATTTAAGAGAACAATTTTTTTTGGTGCTGTACAGTTTTTACTAGCTCCCAAATGGTGAAATAAGCGAAGAAAATCCCTTAATGTCAACTTTGGATTTTGCTAAACCTCAAGTTTTGACAGATGGGGGGTTACCTATTTTATCAGCAAATTGGAGGGCTACTTTTTTTGGGTAACCCCCCCATTTAACCAACGGGCTTTATCCTTTGCCCCAACGTTGATGTGGCAGGCGACCAAGGTGATCCAGAGCCAGTTTCCTGCCGCCGTTTCGAAGGGAAGGGATCCTGGAGGGCGGGCACAGAACCAGGAGTGAATGAAGATTTACAGCGATATAGATTGACATAAAGATCTCCATATGCCTATCCATCCATCCATCCATCCATCCATCCATCCATCCATCCATCCATCTTTATATATCCATCTGTATATATCCATCTATTTGAGATGTGGTCAAGTGATCCCCTCACCAACACCCCTCAAAAATGTTGGCTGGGACAAGTTGAGACGCAGAGATTGATTTCAATAGCTGTACCTCGTGTTGGCCAAGGAATGTAGTTGACATTCACCCCAGGCCCGCCAAGAATTGAAGGGAACATTTGTAGGAAAAAACAATAGGTATTTCCCGCACAATCATGCTACAAATCTAACCCAATGAAGCCCGAATCCTCATTTATGCCTGATGAACATTTTTTTCACTGCTTGCAAACAAGAAGGGTTAGCCCCAACTTTTGATGCTCAAATCCGCATCATTTGTGTTTTAAATCCAAATTCAATTTGATGCTTAAACCCATTTTATCAATGGGTAACTTGGTAGACACCAGGTTTTGACGCTTTATTAAGGAATTTTCGATAGATCTCATTTTTTTCCCCCATATTTTGTTTGAATCCAACTTTTTTCGTGCATCAATTTCCTATCTTTCAATGGTTAAATTGGTTCATGTCTCTTCTGTGACCTGGCTGACCTTTTCGGCCCTGAAAAAAAAGTGACCCCATGGCGACGCGGAGCGCGTCGGCGGGGCGGAGAGTGAAGCTCCATGCAGGTGGGTTTTACTGGGAACTCTGGGGGTAGTTTGGTTACTTGGATGGGGATTGTACTAATTAACCTGGGGATTATGAACTAACCCAGGATTGTAGTAGGAATATACCTATGGATCCTTACCAAATGGTACAGGTACAACTTGATCTCTTGCTGTAAATGGGGGATATATGAACCTAAACAGCTAAGATTGATCGTGACATGGGGCGCTTACCCTGCAGGAAACGAACATAGGCCATGGAAGATGGCAATGGAAAAATAGGTAAATCCTCAACAGCCATGGGTCATTTTCCGTGGTGTAGCAAAACTAGGAAACATGGTCACACCTTTGGGGGAAGTCATCACTTCACAATCGAAAAGGGGATCAACCTATTTCTAAGCTAAGAAAATGTCAGAGATAAGGCATCTCACCTCCACCACATACTATACGTGCATACATACACACACATATATATATATATAATATATGTATATGTATATATATAATCATATGTGTATATAATATACGTATATATATATACGCATGTGTATATCATGTATACACTGTATATCTAGACACACGCATACATACATATATATATATGTATCTATCTATCTTTAATGTGTGTATGTGTATACGCGTGCGCAGGGAGATTGGTTTGGCGCGTTCCCTCTGTCTTCACAAAGTCTAGCGTTGGGGACCCAACGTTTACCCCACAAAGTTTCAGGGTTTTCCCAAGGTGAAACGACCAAATTACAGCCGATTCTCTTGGGACCCTGTTTTGGTCGCAGAGAAAATTGCAGCAGATTCCTTTCTTCTTTTGGGGTTGGTTTTGGAGGAAAATCTCTATAGCCTAATTTCATCCATGGACCAACAAATTGCCCTGTATAAATGCCATTAAATCCCCCCACAAACCATGATCCAACTGGCAGGCGGAAGCCGGCGTCAACTGAACGACCCCTCGCCCTATGCGGCCAAGGTGCAGTGCTCAGCTTGTCCCGATCGTTGGAAGAAATTCCCTTCCTTTTTTGGTAGAGTTAAACTTTAACCTACGATTTTACAGATAACTGAAGCCATTTTTGTGGCTTAAAATCTGACGATGTTCTTTGAACTTGAACTTGCGTGTTTTTTTCTTTGTGTTTCCATCCTTAGAGTTCCTGCAAAGTGGGGACCCCAAACGATGGCCAAGTTGGTTTATAACTCCAATAACTATTTGGTGTATGATAAGTACAACGCATAAAACTATGGTATTCATGGGATTTATGAACCAACTTATAACTCAGGGGGCTCTGGGCAGGTGCGTCCTGGAAGCCGCAGCAAGGGGCAGCTCGGGACGCGAGCTGAGAAGGCGGGGAAAATACCTTGGTTGATTGGTTATGAAATAGGGGATTTATACTGCCTGGGTTATTGGGGATTATGAACTAACCCATTCTATTGGGAACTCTGTCACAGAAATGGTATTTCATGAGTTGTGAAAGCGGTATTTTTAGTAGCAAAAAATCGGGAATATCTTACACCTCAACCAGTGGTGAAGGGAGTGCTGAGCTGAGCTATGCTTGTATTCATCCATAAAACCACTACCCTCTGGTAATTTGTAACATAACTATGGAAAGATCCACCATTTAGTTCGTGAGTTTTCCCAGGAAAAATGCTGGATCTTTCCATAGTTATGTAAACTTTTACCGGAGGGTATTAGCCATAGACACTTTCAAATCTGGTCCAAATAGCCATAGCTTCTTGTAGTGCTGGTGTTGTGTATGGTTTCTATACTTTATCCAGCATGTCTTCCTCATAAAGCGGTCTTTCAAGGCGCTCAGCGTTTCAAACAAGGACTGGGTGTTTTCGCAGCATGATTCGACTATGACCTCTGAGCAGTAGCTGCGAAAAAGCCATGTTGATTACAGAGGATTATGCTGTGAATTGATTACCAGTTAATATGGGATATGTTATGGGAATCATTATGGGGATTGCCATGATAATCAGTATATAATAGTTAATATGGGGATATTGCCATGGATATCATGGATCATGTTAATGATTATCATACCCTCTGGTAATTTAACATAGCTATGGAAAATCACCGTTTTTAATGGGAAAATCCACTATAAATGGCCATTTTCAATAGCTATTTTGACATAACCAGAGGGTATCTGGGGGATTGCCATGATCCGATCGATGGGAATCCCTACGACAAAAATGTCGCTGGAAGGTGACCGATGGCTTGGCTGTCATTTAAAAAAGAGATATGCCCAGGTAAAAAAACACAGATACACATGACATCTACATCTACATCCATATAGTCTATATCCATATCTATATGGGTGTTTCTGAAAACGAAGGTGCCAAGGTGCCCCTGAAATTATCCATGTCATGCGACCACCGGAGTCAGGTGAAGCTGCGCAGTGAGCCGCGCTCGAGAAGCAAAGGCTGTCAGGCCATGGCTGGAAATTGAAAACCCGGGGATAGAGCAATTTAGATATAGATAGATGATAGATAGATGGATGGATAGATGGATAGATGGATAGATGGATGGATGGATGGATGGATGGTTGGTTGGAGATAGATAGATAGATAGATAGATAGATAGATGGATATATACAGATGGATATATACAGATGGATATATACAGATGGATATATACAGATGGATATATACAGATGGATATATACAGATGGATATATAAAGATGGATGGATGGATGGATAGATAGGCATATGAAGATCTTTATGTAAATCTATATCGCTGTATGTAAATCTATATGTAAATTCTTTATGGAAAGATGGATGGATCGATGGAAAGATAGACAAGTACAGACACATCACATGCATGCATACATACATACGTACGTACGGACGTACGGACGTACATACATACATAGATACATAGATACATAGATACATAGATACATGGATACATATATACATAGATAAATAGATACATAGATACATAGATACATAGATACATCGATACATCGATACATCGATACATCGATACATAGATACATAGATACATAGATACATAGATAGATAGATAGATAGATAGATAGATAGATAGATAGATAGATAGATAGATGCATAGATGCATAGATGCATAGATGCATAGATGCATAGATGCATAGATACATAGATACATAGACACATAGACACATAGACACATAGACACATAGACACATAGACACATAGACACATAGACACATAGACACATAGACACATAGACACATAGACACATAGACACATAGACACATAGACACATAGACACATAGACACATAGACACATACATACATACATACATACATAGATACATACATAGATACATACATAGATACATACATAGATACATAGATAGATACATAGATACATACATAGATACATACATAGATACATACATAGATTCATACATAGATACATACATAGATACATACATAGATACATACATAGATACATAGATACATAGATACATAGATACATAGATACATAGATATATAGATACACGGATACATAGATACATAGATACATAGATACATACACACATACATACGTACGTACGTACGTACGTACGTATGTACGTACATAGATAGATAGGTAGATAGATAGATAGATCGATAGATAGATAGATAGATGGATATACATATATATAAAGATGGATGGATGGATGGAGGGATGGATAGATAGGCATATGGAGTAAATCTATATCGCTGTATGTAAATCTATGCGTAAATTCTTTATGGAAAGATGGATGGATCGATGGAAAGATAGACAAGTACAGACACATCACATACATATCTGCTGTGATGATGATCTTGCCTCCTCACCTCAACACCCTGCCTTGCCAGTCGGTGGCATCTTCAGCTTTTTCGGCATGGACCGAGGGTGGCATCTCGTGCAGGAGTCGGAAATTACCCTGGTAAATGGATCAAAATCACCTTGGTAAACATCAAAATATATCAAAATAACTTGTAAAAGTTTGAACCCATCCCCACATCGATGGCTGATGGTTGTAGGAGCCTGGGAAGCCCCAAGTCGGCGTACGCAGAGCCCCGTTCGCTGGGGAGCCTGAATCGGTGCCAGAGCTTAGCATGGTCCGGTCATGGCTGTTATCAGTTGGCCAAGGTTGGCCATGGATGGTAAACCGTTTGGGTTCACCACTCTACAACTCCTGAAAAAAATTCTGTTGCACCACCGAAAAGCTGGATTTGGATGATGATTTTCTGAGTGGAGATGGCCATCTTTGGGTTCCATAGGCAATTTACGGTGCTTCCTTCAAAGATTTGCGCATGGTTTTGAAGTACACGTGCCCTCCGCTTCAATTCAAATGTCTACAGGGGAAACTGCAGAAGATTGGCCCTACCAGGTGGAAGTGTTGGATAACCGTGGTTTCCCATGATATGTTCCTTGAATCAATCGGGTTTTTCCACTGATTATTGGTGTTATCCTTCTTTCTGCTGGGTTGGAGGCCACAGAGAGAGAGAGAGAGATAGATAGATAGATAGATAGATAGATAGATAGATGGAGGTATATATATATATACATACATAATATATATATATGCATACAGTATATTTGGAGAACGCCCATGGAACGCATCCATTGAATGTTTGGTTGCAATCACCACTGGTTTTCACCTCGGGCAGCCCGAGAAACCGATGGAAACCGATGGAAACCGATGACCCTTCCACCCAGGGCGTTGACGCCGCCCCATGATCCACCTTCCTGCTGGCCGTGGTCCCCGCGAAATATGAATGCCAGTGTGAGTCAGTCGTCCTTGTGTCAAGTCAAGGACTTGAAGTGCCACGGCAGATTTTGGGATAGATTGGGATAGAGCTGTTTAGATGTGTTTTGTTTAGACAGGGGTCATTTTTGCTTGGATCCCACCATCATCGAAGAAATGTTTGAGATATTTTCACTGGCAACCAGAAGCCATTTGGGATTTTCAAGGCCAAAATCGATGATTTTTCGTTGCGCTTCCCCGCTTCGGCCGAGGCGCAGCTTTCACTGCAAGGCGAGTCAGCCACATGCATTGCTCTTCCTCAACGGAGCCCGAGAGAAGCAGCAGGCGGAAAGGGGCTACCGAGCCCACGAACTTGTGCATTTTTTTGGGAGCAATCATTTTGACCCGTTCTGACTAGGATTACCCTTGCAATTGGGATATTCCATGGGATATTCCATGGGATGTACTTATGTAATCGTTTTGACCCACAATCCCAATCCCAACTATGACTAGGGCTCCAAATAAACATCATCCAGAGAATCAACGGATTGTTTTTTAATGCTTCCACACACACATCATGATTCTCTAAAACGATGTAAATCCCATTGTTCCATTTTTCCCGATTACTGTAACTTCCTTTTTTCCTGAGTGTAAATGCAAGCCCCAAAAAGTGATCCATCACTATTTTAGTGGGGTTTTACTTTCTCTCTTTACGAGGGATTACCATAAACCCATATTATCCACAAGATCGGCATTGCTTACCCTTCAGTAAACTAGCCAGTGGGAATGGCCCATGTATAGATGCTTTACTTATTAAACGCGGCTATTTCCAATGGCTATTTTAAATTGCCCGAGGGTACCCCTATTCTTCGGAAATCCACTCTAAAATGAATGTTTCTGTTGTTGGTATAAAATCATCGAACAAATCATCGAACTATGTCTGGTGGGCTTTCCAGTTTCGGCCCAGCTTTTCCATTCAGATCCCACTGGTCATCCCCACAAAGGTCATCCCTTCCCATGTTTGATGGTTAAATCCCCATCAATTGGTGGTATGGTGCCCACCACCCGCCAGGAAGTCATCACCATGTTTTGAAAAAGAATGGTGGTATGGTGGTTACCATTCCCAGGAAGTCATGGGTGGTGTAAATGACATTGTTAATCAGGTATTAATCACGAGAAAATCACTATTCATTATAACCACTATTATAATCACTATCTGGTTGGAAAAACCAACATAAATCACTATTAATAGTTGGGTCTCACTATCTGGGATATATCAATCACTATTATAACCATAAGTTATCCCACAAAAAACCTCCGGATTGGAATCCCACAGGCTGGTCATCCCCGTGTGACTTAGCCATCTCGCTATCCCATGGCGCCACGTCGCCAGGAGGGTCAGTTGGGTTGCCGCCACGACAAGTCACAGTGGCGCCGCCGGATGTCAGGCGGGTCCCCATGGGTCAACCATGGTTTTTCCGAATTTCATGGCGATTCACGGGTGATTCAATGGTGATTCAGATTTACCCTCTGGTAATTTAACGTAGCTATTGAAAATTACCATTAATAGTGGATTTTCCCATTAAAAATGGTGATTTTCAATAGCTATGTTAAATTACCAGAGGGTAATGATTTTTTTTGGGTGTGCTTTTTCATCTGTAACAACTCCATGGCGCCATCCTCCCAGGTGGTGGCTATGATTTCCGTTGTCAGGACGGGGTTCACCCCATGGTGTCAAATTGTCTCAAAGTGCCATTGTGATGCGGGCCGCGAACCTCTCAAGGTTTGGTGACCTTGGTGGTTTTAGATCATCTGAATTCATCTGATTCATCCAATATTCACCATATTTAAACCAATGGTTAGTTCTGTTGTATTGGTGGTATCCTAACCGGGAAACATGCCAAGTGACAGAACTGCTTCTGGAGGTCGGAACCATCCACCACGGAAACCTTCGGCCCTCTGGTACTCGAACAAATGGCAATGAAAATCACCTCTTGACATGATTTTGCCACCCTTTTAGTGATTTTTTAAAATCATCTTTTGGGTGATCAATAAAAATATAGATAGATCGACAGACAGACAGACAGAGAGAGAGAGATAGATAGATAGATAGATAGATTAGATTGGATTAGATTGGATTGGATTAGATTAGATAGATAGATAGATTGATACATAAATAATCTTGTGTAGATAGACAGATAGACAGATAGATAGATAGATGGATGGATAGGTAGGTAGATAGATAGATAGATAGATAGATAGAGAGATAGATAGAGAGAGAGAGATGTATATATAATAGATGTTTTTTCCCCAGAAAAAACCAGCCCCATACCAGGGGTGTGGAGCTGACTCGCAGGAGGCTGAGGTTCCCATCGCGGTGCTACCGGCCGATGACCTTAAGGACCGTGGCTTTCTACTCATACATTCACTGTGGAACGTACTTTCTGCATGCATAATATATATATATGACACATATATGACACACACACACACATATATATATGTATATGTAAATGAATCTAGATTGCCTAAAATAGAGATAATCCTACCCCCAAATCATCCAACATATAAGAACCCCCCATATGGCAGAAATGACAGCTGCTACCTGCAACAGGGCATCTTCAGCGGACCAATGTAGCGGCATGCAAAGAATATACAGTACATACATACCTACCTACCTACCTGCCTGCCTACCTACCTACCTGCATACAGACAGAACATAACATAACATAACATAGCATAACATAACATACATAACATAAATACATACATTACATTACATTACAATACATTGCATTACATTACATTACATTGCATTACATTACATTACATTGCATTACATTACATTACACACATTACATACATTACATTACATTGCATTACATTACATTACATTACATTACATTACATTACATACATTCATACATACATACATTGCATACATACATACATTGCATACATACATACATTGCACACATACATACATACATTACATTACATTACATTGCATTGCATTGCATTGCATTACATTCCATTACATTACATTACATTACACACATACATACATACATACATACGTTACATACATTACATTACATTACATTACATTACATTACATTACATTCATACATACATACATTGCATACATACATACATTGCATACATACATACATTGCACACATACATACATTGCACACATACATACATTGCACACATACATACATTGCACACATACATACATACATACATACATACATACATAGATACATACATACATACATACATACATACATACATACATACATACATACATACACACAGACATACACACATACACACATACATACACACATACATACATACATACACACATACATACATACATACATACACATACACACATACACACATACAGACATACATACATACATACATACATACATACATACATACATACATACATTACATACATTACATACATTACATACATTACATACATTACATACATTACATACATTACATACATTACATACATTACATACATTACATACATTACATACATTACATACATTACATACATTACATACATTACATACATTACATACATTACATACATTACATACATTACATACATTACATACATTACATACATTACATACACATTACATACATTACATACATTACATACATTACATACATTACATACATTACATACATTACATACATTACATACATTACATACATTACATACATTACATACATTACATACATTACATACATTACATACATTACATACATTTACATACATTACATACATACATTACATACATTACATACATTACATACATTACATACATTACATACATTACATACATTACATACATTACATACATTACATACATTACATACATTACATACATTACATACATTACATACATTACATACATTACATACATTACATACATTACATACATTACACATTACCTACATTACCTACATTACCTACATTACCTACATTACCTACATTACATACATACATACATTACATACATACATGTACATATATAGCTGTATGTCCAGTTGAACTCTCTATTTTTTTCTGGCAGGATACTGTCGACAAAATGGGACGCAGCATCACGGACGAGTCGTTGGGCTCGCCGTCGCGAAAGAAAAACAGGCCGGAGTGTCGTGATGCGGAGAATGCCTTGAGAAGTTGTATGGTTTGTTTTTTGATTTTTAGTTGAATTTCTTTGGATTCAGCTTGGTTCAGATCATGATTATAGAAAGAGTTTCGGAAAATAATTGGCATTTTCTCGCCGACAGAAATTGACCTAACTGAAGCGTATCCGTATTTTGCAATTGCAGGGTCATCAGCGTGCCGAAACTTCGAACCCCCAACCTGAGCTATGTATTGCTCTGCCAGAGTGCTCAGTTGGATCATATCTTTCCCGGTCTCAATAATCCCTCCCCAATATAAGTAATGTTAAACACCTGCAAAAACGATGGTTTAGTAAGGGAATTTACCACACTCCTGGGGCCATTCATGGTGGGTGCGTTTTTTTTCTCGGGGGATGGGGATTGCCGAAGTGGGGTTTTTGCCCTTTCCCTAGGAAATGATCTACAGCCATGGTGGATTTCCATATGTTCACTTAGTGGCTGATATGATTAGTATCATGGGATGTTTTTTTTTTGAGGATGGTTTCTTCAATCCCCAGTAAATCATATGAGTCATAGCTGATATGATATTCATAGTTTCATCATCATGTTATTCATGTCACTGTTTACTGCTAGCGAATTGGTTATTGCAACCGTTGTAATAGTAATCGTCACTATGATGTTGGTGGTGATTACCGTATCATTATCATTACCCCGTAATCAAATATGACTTGCTGGAGAATCACCCATGTTTTCATAGGAATCGACGAGGCTTTCCCAGCTACCTTTGGTTCCCAAATGGGTTTGGGGATTTCCCACCTGTGATTCCCAGAGGCTAATCACCATTTTGAATAGGTAAATCATCGAACTAGATGGCCATCTTAATCCATAGCTATGTCAAATTACCAGCTGGGTCAGTGGGTCATTGCAAGAGAAAATTAAAATTCAGCACGGTATTTCATTCACAAAAACATATTCCATTCAACTTCAAGCGCCATGACTCTGCTTTAGGTCACCATGATTACGATAACAAGATGAATCATCATCGCACCAGGCTGCGGCCCAGCATTATCAAACCCAAGACCTCAAAAGGAGGCGCGATGACCGGATCGGAGGGTCCGGAAGTACCAAAAACAACACAGTCTTTGAGATTTTCAACCAAATGTGAAGCATTGCCATTTTTTCTGCCAACTTCCCATATTTTTTTTGGGTCCACATACCTAGTTCCAACATGTTCCAACCCCACCCCCACCCCCACCTCCACCGTGCCACGGTAGGTTCGAGCGCCGAGCCCATGGGCCCGGCCCTGGAGTTTGCCCACGCTGAGATGTTGGCCTCGGTGGCGGAGGCCGAGGCGCGCTACGTGGTGAAGGACCAAGCCACGGAGTACGAGATGCCCAGGATGAAGGCGCCCGGTGATGGAAAGTTTGAAAAGGGGATTTTGGGATGAGATGTTTTGGTTTTTGTGGAATATATATAGGATATAATATATATATATAGATATATATGTGTATAGAGATATTACATATATATATATGTGTGTACATATGTGTATAGAGATTATAACTATATATATTTATATGTAGATATGTATACATATTATATATGTTTGTTGGGCGGTGATTCTAAAATCCTTGCCAGCTGCCAGGCCCTGTTCCATCGCTTTGCCCTGGACGGAGAGGTGCAAAAGGAGAGCGAACGCAGCGAAGCCGCTAAGCAACGCCCATCGTTTAGGATGGTGATAGGAAAATCATGGGAAAATCATGGGAAAATCTATACAATACATATTTTACATGAAGGTGTTAATGGGATTGGGATTCACTTCCCCCTATGGTAATTCACCAGTTTGGGAGTTATGGGTTGTGGGTGATTTACCTATTTTCCTTCAATGGCCATGTTAGATTAGCAGGGTGTCCAGCCTTCCCAGCCCTTGCTGGGTCTGATTTTTCATGAGATTCCGCTGATTCCGCGGCAGCTGGCAGGAGAATCTTCCAATGATTTTTAACTATCTTAGCATCTTAAAGGTTGAAGAAGAGAAGGTGCCAGGGAATGCCAGGGATTTCGCGACGGAATTTTCGCTGTGTCATGTGTGTCTGAACACGGGGTATCCGGGTATCCCATCCATTTATGGTCATTTTTCTACGGGAAATGATGATTGAAACATCAAATTCAAGAGTTGCCTCCTAGACTCTTCAGACAAAGTGAGATTAATCATGATCTAGGGCCCCTAGGGAAATTCAAGAAAATCATTATCTTAATGGTTTAATTACGTCCTCAAAATGATGCAACGGAAAATAAGAAATGATGATCACAATTAAATCATGATCAACCCCCGTGCCGTGCTGGAAGATGGTTCTCCTTGATCATGAGGTGTCAGGAACTGTTTTCTCGAGTTTCTTCATCTTGTGATGGTTGCCCTTTTCAAAGCTTCCCTATGGTAAACTAACATAACTATAGACAATCACCATTTTTAATGGTAAATCAACTGTAAATGGTCATTTTCAATCGCAAACTGTTCGTTTACCAGAGGGTATCTGATTTTTCCTCAACCAATTTGACAATGATCAGGAATCAGTTCACTAACTTTTCGTTGATGAGATGGGTTTTTTACTTGCAACATCCATGATTCATGGTTTTCCAGCCACTTGGAGAGTCAAAACATATCAAAACTTATTATTATTATTATAATATATATATATCTATTATATATTACCATCTGGGGAATAAACATCCATACCCCAGCGTCATAGCAGGGTAGCGGCTATTGGTGGCTACAGGGTTCCAACGTCAGCCACGCCACGTTGGGTTCTTTGGCAGGTCCGCGAGGTGGGGGACTCGGTTTCGGCCTATCCTTCGTTGGATTTCCATGCAGCTCGGCGCGGAAAAAATTGGGCCGGTGGAAGGGACAATCTACGGGCATCTACAGTCAAAACATGGCACCACCCCAATATTGGGTTGCAGAATTGATGGTTTCCTCAATTTTTTTGATAAAACCACCCCATTTCTTCATCCATCAGTGATTTTGTAGCCTTCTCCCAGCGTTCCGAAAGGATTTCTGTGCGGTCTACGAGAGAGTGGTGCTCAGGGAGCGAGAGGCTCTACACCACAAACTGGAGGCCGGTGGTGCCATGTTGGGGTTCTTGGGGGTCTGGATTCAACTGTTGGGTATGGGTTAAATGGCCCATTTATTAAATGGATGATTTCCCAGCGAACTCAACCTCCATTTATGGTTGGGATTTTCCAATATCTATTTTGATAAACCCCGGATTTTGATAAACCATGGTTTATTAATTAGGATTAATTAGGGGGGTACTCCTCCAATAGTCATTTCATCTGATACTTTTTTTTTAAATGGTAGCCTCCCAACTAAACAGCCGTTTGGGGTGTATTAATCCAGGGTTGACATTCCGGTTTGATCAAGGTGAAATCCACCATGGGACGTTGGGCCACATTTTTGGGCAGAGTTCACCCCAAGGCCCCAAGGGAGATTCGCCGGCTGCGGAACACTGGTGCACAAAAAAGTTCAAGATGGAAGTGAAAAAAAACATGGCTGCAGGAAAAAAAGGGTCACAATATTCTTTATTCTTGATAGATGTTTTGGATATTTTTGGATGATCAAATCTTCTTCATAGATATTCATAGATGTTTTGGTTTGTTTTGGATCCACTTTTGGATCTTCCAAAACAGCTAAAACCGCGCGTGCCAGGCCTGGTTGGATGATCCCAAACCTCGGGGGGACGACATCGCTGAACAGAAACTCGGCGCATCGAACGCCGGTGCTGAGCAGCATCGAATGGTGCTGGGGGTCATCGAAACATTCTGAATCATTCTTACTGGATATATATATATAATATATATATTATTTTTATTGGATATTATTTTACTGAATATGATTTACTGAAACTAACATAACTATGCAAAGATCCACCATTTTTCATGGGTAAATCCACTATTTCAACTGGGCTATTTTCCAGTTGCGGAAACTGTCAACATTTCCATGGCCTGGCCTGTCCAGGATGCGAGTCTTCCTGAAGAGTCTGGGCTTGATCAGCACCAAGGTGCCGATAGTCATGGGGGTACCCCCAGCGAGCAGCTGGGATGGTTTAGTTATGTTTAGTTCATGGAAAATCCCATAAATGGATGATGACTGGGGCTACCCCTATGACGAAACGGAAACCTCGATGTAGCTTTGATGTAGATTTGATGTAGATTTGATGGACAGAAAGGGCAACTGATTGAGGTGATGAGAAACGTTTCATGATGTTTCTCATTTTTTTTTTGAAAGATCTAACGAAGTAAAAAAAAAACTGGCCACAGTGACTGGGGAAATGACTGGACATGGGGAAATCATCTTCGGTGGAGCTGTTGGGAGTCCCTCAAAGATGGCCAGAATTGGTCAGGATAAAGTTGCAGATTAGATAAGACACGATGTAGATACACGTGCTTATGTACATATGTATATACAAATAAATAGATATATATATATATATGCATTCCCGGACCACACGGCACAGCGCTTCCATCTCCAGGAGACGGTCACCGAGATGCTGCAGGCGGGTGGTCTCCAAAACCGCCGCTGCGATTGCATGGAGGTCGGGCGGTGCCACGCTGGACTTGGCGCCGTTGGCCATTTTTTCGATGGGGAAAATGATGGGGAAACTGGATGAGAATCTCTTGGAAGTGGGGATGCTGATGGATAACTGCTGTTTTTTGAGACAAAGCCAGATATATATATATATATATGTATATATATATATATGCATATATGTATATATGTATATGCCATTGATTATCATCATTTACTCCAGGGTAAAGATACAAAAAGATGTAAAGACCATGGGGAAAGCCATTCGGAAAATGACCTATGGTCAGGGTGGGGAAACCCACATCGACCCTGTTTCAGGATGGCTGGCCACTGGATGGGTCTTGATGGCTTCGAACTAATCTGTTGCAAAGACTTTCATCTTTGGCTCTCCAAAATTAAAGTAAAGCTTAAAGAACTAGCAAGTAAAACCATGGTTTCGGGTAAACAAATCCGCTACCATCCACCCAAGTAACATACAGAATTCCCTGTCAGGGATTTGGAAGACTTTCACATCTAAAAACATGCATTTTTCCGGGTCCAAGTGTCTGTGAAATCTTGAAGCACATCGGATACACCATTAGCATGTCAGTGGAAATGCACATTGACGTTAATCAACATTTGGGCACGAGCCCCCTTTATCACAGCTTGCGAAGGAGTAGAAAACATGGATCCGTGACCACCTGGGTGCCAGCATTGCGGCACACAGGTGGTAGCGGAGCTGCCAAGAGGTCAGCAGCGTTCAGGTACGTTGAGGATCTTGAAGGCAGTGCCGTGGAGCTTCAGCGCAGGTCATGAGTGGAGGCAAAGAAGAAGATCAAGACAAAAGAAATTCCTTAGAGACATTTGACGGAAGTGATGCTTCTCTTTATCGTCGGTGGCGACGCAAAGCAGAGCTGTACCTCATGGGATTGCCCACAACAGTCCCAGAATCTCGATGGGGTCCTAGACTGTTAGAGCATGTTGCTGGCGAAGCAGAAGAGGCACTAGAGCATCTTGATGTTCACACGATCACCTCTGACAAGGGGTATAAGGAAGTCTTCAAGGTGCTCGATGACAAGTACAAGGAGTTGGACAAGGATGAGATGCAGAGATGTTTGAAGGAGTACTTCTATGCTGCAACGATCAAGCCCAACGAGACCTACCGGAATTTTGTGACCAGGGTGGACACAGCATATCGAGGCCTTCAGAGACACAAGATAGAACTTCCGGATGAGGTACGTGGTTGGATTGTGCTTAGAAAGCTAGCTCTCGACAGCACCTCGGAGGCTCTAGTCATGACTTCGACCAAGGGTTCTCTGAAGTATGCTGAAGTTGTTCAAGCATTGAAGGCAGTGTTTCCCAATGGCAAGGGGAGCAGCAACATCAAGTCCAAAGACAAGGATGTTTTCCTGGCCAGCGAGGAAAGGATGACAGAAGTCGATGGACAAGCTGGAACACCGGAAGAAGCCTTTTCCGTTGAAGAACCAGCGGAAGTCATGGAAGTGATCTCAAATCAACTTCAAGAGGTCTCTGACTATGAGTCTGAAGATGCCCTGGAGATCTTCGAGACATATGCCAATGTTCGCAAAAAGATGCAGGAAAAGAAGATGTCACGAGGATACAAGCCAGTTGGTCGAGGACCAGAACAATGGAAACTGGAGGGCTCAGTGAGAGGCCGGATTGAACTCTTGAAACAGAAGACACGCTGTCATCATTGCCGTCGCACAGGGCATTGGAAGAAGGAATGTCCCTTGAAAGCGCAGAGCTCCAACTCAGGCAAGAAGGTGGCTCCTAAGACAGGAACTTCCCAAGAGGTCAACATCATTGAAGAGATGGTGGACGGGGAGAAGATCTTTGAGAGCTACATCCTTGATGAGTCTGAGATTCAGAAGCCAGGCCCAGAGACGATGTCAAAGAATGACGTGTTGAATGGTCGCCAAGGCCGGAAGGATGAATGGAGCTATGATGAGAAGACTATGTGGCTGACTCGAAATCACCAGACGGTGAGAAAAGGCATGTTCACACCACATGGAGTCCGGGATATTCCGGTGGATGAGAAGAGCTTGACCGGAGATCGCGTCACAGTCATGAAGAATGTGAAGACAGGAGCAGTGGAGGAAATATGTGACAACTACCACACTGCAAAAGTGCCACACCAGAAAATGAACTACCAGTGGACTGGTATGACCAAGTTCAAGGTTGACGCGATGAAGGACCACGGCAAGTTGATCGCCGCGACCCAGGTGGATCACGAGGAAATGTTGGTCAAGTACGAGAAGGATGTTCTCGAAATAGTGAGTGAGGGGGCGCAGCCGAGTTTTTCCACAAGTGAGCCTGTAGCCGGGCTTGACACCCATGCAGTTCCCGACACTGCGTGTCGACGCACGCTCATTGGGGATTATGTGCTTTCGCAGCTTGAGTCTAGGTTGAGAGATAGGGGTCTCAAGGTTTCTAGATCTGATGAAAGCAATGAGTTTCGTTTCGGGAATGCTGGGCTGCTTAGATCATCACAAGTAGCAAGAATTCCAGTCATGATAGGGAATCGTCGACTGATTATCAGTGCTGCTGTGTTGCCTGAGCCAGGCCATTGCACACCACTGCTTTTGTCAAAGGAACTGTTGAAGTGTTTGGGTTGTGTTATTGATACTGAGAGGGATGTCATGTTGTTTAAAAGAATCAATCAGCAAGTTGCAATGGGAAAGACGGAGAAGGGCCACTATGCCATTCCCATCGTGCCAAGTGAACAAGTGACAAGACAGCCGTCAGTGGATCAAGGGCCAGAAAAGATAGAGGAGCCAGAGTTGGACAGCAGAGATTGCCATGTATCATCCCAGAGGAGTGCAAATGTCTGCGCTGGCGCAGCAGCTGATGCAGACGCTGGACTTCACAGAGGAGATCACGGTGACAGCGGAACTGCTGGACCGCCTGAGCGATTGCAGCGAAGACGAACCAGAAGTACCCGTATCGGGCCAAGAGATGATGAAAGCTGGCAAGTACCAGAACAAGAGCACCATGGCCGAGGCATACACCACCGACAAGAAGCATGTGAAGTGGGTGAGGAACAATGTGAAGGCAGAGGCATCAGGACAAGAGATGCGCAGGTATCGCCTGTATGTGGAAATGCGGGATCAAATGAAGACCAAGCGCATTGTGGAGAATCAGGACTACCAGAAGAACTCACAGCATCCCATTGTGAAGAAGGGTCTGACCGCAAAGAGTGCAGCGAGTCCCAAGATGATTGTCAAGAAATCCGGGGGCTACAGCAGCACCGAAATGCCACCAGAAGAAGGTCGTCGACGCGGCAGAGAAGGTTCTGGATGGATCAACGAGATGTCAGGCCACGAGATGGAATGGGACGACGAGGTCAAAGAAATGCTGGCCAACGAAGTCGATCCCTATGTCCAGAAACAGTGGGAGGCAATTGTAGAGTGCCTGGAATGGACCGACACCATCATGCTGGAGAAAATGAACAAGGTGGCCGAGATCATGGGCATTCAGGAGACAGTGAAGATGTTTCGCCATGTTCTGGAGCCCAAGGAGTAGAGAAGTCACTGACGCCAGAGGAATGCCAAGTGTTGAAAGCTGGATTAGATGAGCTTGAGGGAAAAGCCCGACAGGAAAAGTGCGATGTGATGATTATTAGCCAGCATCACTTGTCAGAGGCTGAAGTAGCCGAAGTGTTTTCAGCGCCACGAGTAAGTGCTGCAGCAGAGGCTGTGGGGTTGAAGTGTGGTCCAACATATGATTTGATCACTGGAACCGACCTGTCCGATGAAAAAGAAAGAGCGCGCGTCCGTCAGGAGTTGGCAGTTAGGAAACCCAAGTTTCTGTTGGTGTGTCCCCCATGTAGGATGTATTCCCCTTTACAAAGTTTGCGTAAGGACCGAGAATCTGAAACATGGCATCATGACATGAAGGAAGCTAATGAGTTTTTGGAATTCGCTATGATGTTGTGTAAGGATCAATGGGATAGGGGAGATGTTTTTGTATTTGAGCATCCAAAAGGGGCGAAATCATGGAAACACGAGAAGGTAGAACAAATTGAGCAGTTGTCAGGGGTTTTCAAAGTTGTCATGGACCAGTGCATGTTTGGGTTGAGAGACAGAGTGAGTAGGAAACTGCATAGGAAGAGCACATGTTTACTCACTAATAGTCCACATGTTGCTGCGGAGATGAACAAACTGTGTGACAAGAGTCATGAGCATGAACCCTTGTTTGGTAGCGTCAAGGTAAATGGAAAATGGGTTGCTAGGACACGTTTGGCTCAAGAGTATCCCCGGAAAATGGTGAATGCGTTGCTGACTGGGTTTCTCAGGGATAGAGAAGAAAGAAGAACTAGTCATGCAGTTCACTGTGTTTTGGCAATTGAACAACTGGACACACGAGATGAGAAGAAAATTGCCATGTTGTTGAAACGGTGTCATGAGAACTTGGGACATCCATCTACTCCACGGTTTGTTGGCATGTTGAAGAGTGCACGAGCGACAGAGCAGTGCATCAAGATTGCGAAGGGATTGAAGTGTGCTACGTGTGCTCAGTTTCAAGCACAGAAGTCCCATCATGTGTCAAAGCCTGCACCGCTCTTGCACTTCAACGACTTGACTGCTGTGGACACATTTGAGGTTGAGTTGTCATGGAGGAAGTTGAAGGTGTTGAACATAATTGATGTTGCAACTCACTTTCAGGTTTGTGTTCCCTTGTGGAAAGGCATCGAGGTTAAGAGAACCAGGGAGGCGTATAGGAGGTACTGGAAGAGATGGGCCGGAGCTCCTAAGAAAGTCCTGTCTGATGGTGGACCAGAATTTGGTCAGGAATGGACTGATGCTCTGAGCAGGGATGGCTCAGCACATGATGTCACTGCAAGTTATAGCCCATGGCAAAATGGTTTGTGTGAACGAGCAGGAGGTGTGTGGAAAGTTGCGTTTGCAAAGTTGGCTATGGAGATGGATCCCGGGAGTAAAAGTGAAGTTGAGGAAGTGTGTGATCAAGTCACTTGTGCACGGAATGCGCTTGTTAGAAAAGAGGGTTTTTCACCTAGTCAACATGTAATTGGTCATGATGTTCGAATTCCAGGGTCTCTGTTGCATGTTGAAGCAGCAGAAGCTGTTGAGTCTGCTCTGGAACAAGGAGAAACGATGCATCAGCGAGCTCATAGGATTCGCATGCTTGCACGAAAGGCCTTCTTAGAGGCAGACTGCGAAGAGAGAATCAGGAGGGCGATTGGACATAGGACCAGACCATTGAGAGGACCTTTTCATATTGGTCAAGAAGCCATGATTTGGAGAAAAGGTCAGAATGAGTCCAAATGTCACTGGCATGGTCCCGGTAGGATCATAGGAACTCAACACAACAAAGTGTGGGTGTCTCTAGGAACCAAAGTGTATAGGTGCTCACCTGAACAGGTGAAAAGAGTTCAGGATGAAGTTGCAAACCTCATGTCATGGTTGCCAGAGAATCTGCAACGTCACAGAAACATGATCCGTGAGCGAGGTGCGGGGAATCTTGTTGAGTTAGACCTGAGAGAAAATCCTCCTGTGCAAGAACAGGAAGAAGGAAACTGGGTACCAGAGGTCAATCAACAGGTTTCCTCACAGGTTGTTGATCGACAGCTTGATGATGACAATCTTGAAACCGATGATGAACCCATGGGAGTTGTCAGTGAAAACGCCGGTGAGGATACCGAGACTACAGTTCCAAATCAGAATGAAGCACCTAGAGTGCCAGCACAGGAACTGGTGGAGCCGGCAGTTGACATGGAGATGCATGACATGAATCAGCATGACATGGACACGCATGACATGAATCAGCATGACATGGACACACATGATGTAGGTCGACATGTTGGTCATGGTCGTGGCATGAGTGGAGTTGAGCCCGAAAGAGAGAGAGAGCCTGTCATGTCCGTGATTCAACAACCGAGGACAACTGAGAGTCCTGGAGGATACGCACCAGTTAGAACGACTAGGTTGACGGAAGCGTTGCGAAGGAACTTGAATACTCTTGACTTTGGTAGGCCTAGTAATGCTCCTAGGAGACCCGATGCCGAAGATGTTGACGATGCACTTGAAGTGCAAGTGTTGAGTGAAAAGCATGATCATGGACATGGGCAAGTTGGTGTAGGATTTGAAGAGGTGTTTGTGACAAACATGAAGAAGCAGAGTCGCAAGGAAATCAATCCAAAGACCTTGAGCCCAGAGAAGCTCAAGGAACTTGACTTGGCTAAAGCCAAGGAATGGTCAAAAATGATGAACTCTGGAGCGATCAAACTGCATGTAGGAAAAGCTGCTAGGGAGTTGGTTGAAGAGGTAGGAATTGAAAGGGTTCTTGGCACAAGGTATGTATACACCACAGACGATGGAACACTTGAAGGAACTCTGAAAGCAAGATGGTGTGTACAAGGTTACATGGATCCTGACGTGCTGGATCTGAACGCTGCGTCACCAACGTTGTCCATGGAAGGGTTTGCAGTCACAGCCCAGCTAATAACTAGCATGAACTGGAAAATGAAAATAGCCGATGTGGAAGCAGCGTTTCTGAGAGGAGAAGCGATGTCCAGAGCTCAAGGCAAGGTGTTGGTTCGAGTTCCAAAAGATGGCATTCCTGGAGTGGAAAGCGATGCCATTATTGAACTTGTGAAACCGGTATATGGGTTAGTTGATGCCCCCAAAAGATGGTGGAATACGTTGAGCCGCACACTAGTGTCACTTGGCATGAGTCAGAGTAAGCTGGACAGTTGTGTTTTTGTCAGTCGTCACCCGGATACCAAGGAACTTTGTGGCTGTATTTCTGTTCATGTTGATGACATGTTAATAGGAGGTAACATGTGGTTTTATGAGAATATTTTTCATGAACTGAGTAAGATTTTTTCCGTTCAAACATGTGAAAGAAGGCAAGGGTGAATTTTTGGGAAAGTTTTTGGAACAAAAGGATGATGGTACGTTGGTTGTGCACCAGAAAGAATATGCTGAAGCTGTCAAAAGCATTGCACTAAGCAAAGAGAGGAGACGTGAGAGAGAGAGTAAAGTGACCGAACGAGAACGGAGTCAGATGAGAGCTGTCCTAGGAGAAGTCAACTGGCTTGTCACAGGGAGTCGTCCAGATTTGGCCGGAATGTGTTCTTTGTTGCAGCAGAAAGTTGCAAATGCCACTGTCGAAGACATTATTGCAGTCAACAAAGCTGTTGCACATGTACACGATTTTGCAGGCATGGAAATTCGGTTCAAGCCCATTGAAATAAAGGATGTTGAAATCGCAGTCTGGTCGGACGCTTCTTTTGCCAACACCATTGACAGAAAAAGTCAAGGTGGTTATTTGATAGCTGCTGTGGATAGGAATCTAAGATCCAACAAGTGGTCAGTAGTTTCTCCATGGCGTTGGAGGAGTTTCCGACAGGAAAGACAGGTGTCATCAACCTTAGGAGCTGAGCTGTTGACTATGAGTAGGGCAATAGCAGAAGCGAAATGGATGAGATCCATGTGGACTGAGATTACATGTCAGAACTACACCCTGGAGTCAGATGGTTTGAGGTCATTGGGAACTCCAATCACGTTGATGATTGATTCGAAACCTGCCTATGATCACCTTCATGGACAGGCCATGAGCATCAAAGACAAACGACTGGCGATAGAGATGTTGTTAGTCAAGCAAGACGTGGAGAAGGAAAACATAGAAGCCAGATGGATTCCTACAGATCAAATGCTGGTAGATAGTCTTACGAAGGTTGGTGCTCCAATGTGTCTACTGAGAAGAGTGCTCAAGGAGGGCAGATTCGTTTTGGTCCAAAACGAAGAGATGCAGAGATGGGCTGGCAAGATAGCGAGGAAGTCTCAGCATGGCTGATTGTTTCGGTGTGTTGGTTGTTTTGCTAGAAAGATGTGACAATAGCAGTGTATAGTCTGGTGTATCCACTTTGGGGTGTGTGAAATCTTGAAGCACATCGGATACACCATTAGCATGTCAGTGGAAATGCACATTGACGTTAATCAACATTTGGGCACGAGCCCCCTTTATCACAGCTTGCGAAGGAGTAGAAAACATGGATCCGTGACCACCTGGGTGCCAGCATTGCGGCACACAGTGTCACTTTTGGTAATGGTAAATCGATCCTGGCTGCAGGAACTGTGGCGTGTGGTGGCTGCACACCGGGCCTGTGAAGGTTTTTCTTACGAGGCGTTACCGCGATGCGGGGGGAGCTTGAGTATCTGGAGGAAACATCTCCAAATCGCCAACTATTTCACCTTGTTTCAACTATATATTTTCCAGGTACGCGACATAAATCGTTGAGTTCAAAGATGTTGAAAATACACAAACAGGTTGAAGATTTGGCAAACTCAGCCAGGTGTATTTCCGGTTTAGGCGGGGGGCTGATCAAATCTGCGGCGCCATAGTCTGAAATTGGACGCAGATTGGTTTTACGGTTAGCAAACCGAAGATTTTTCTGTAAACATCAGATGGAAATAGATGGAATAACCAGGTAGTAACCAGGTAATAACCACTTTCTGATTCAGATCTGGTCGAAAGAATGGTCGATTCTGGTCGCCTGCATAGTGCAGCGGCCAGGCCATTGGCCATTGGCCAACTGTCCAGAACTCACCAGCCATCTAACCTTTGTAGCCTCTGGTTATGACTAACAGTATGCCATGGGAAATCATTGGGAAATCATTGTGAAATCATGGGATATAGTAGGATAATCTATATGATATGGTTATCCCCTGGTAATGACTAACAGTTTGCGAACTTGAAAATGGCCATAGAAATAGTGGATTTACCCATTGAAAATGGTGGACCTTTCCATAGTTTTATATACATGGATGTTATGGTTACCAGCCAGTTATGATTTCTGGGATGATTCTCCAAGTGGTTCTGTATCCCATCTGTATCCCATCTGTATCCCATGATATCCCCTCCAACCTTCGGTAAACGTTTACATAACTATGGAAAATCACCATTTTTAAGTTCGGTAAATCAACCATTTTTATCACCATTTTCAGTAGCTATGTTAGTATGTTTACCAGAGGGTAACTATATATCATATTGATTCTTCCACTATATCATATCCAAATGATAATGATTTCCCACTGATTTCCCAATGAATTCCCACTGATTTCCAACTGATTTCCAACTGATTTCCCACTGATTTCCCACTGATATCCCAACGATTTCCTCTTCAATCCTCCTTGAAAAACCCATGGAACTTCCAGGAAATCGATCGAGCCAAAGAGGAGCACGATCGCATGTCCAAAGATACGCCCAGCAGGTGGGGTTTTCATCCAGTGATTTGATGATTGGATGAGTGGATCATCAATCACTGGATGATTGAAATCATCAAATGTCCAGTTGATCACTAATTGATGTCCAATTGATGGGAAAGTGATGGGAAATCATCATCATAGCATGACATTCCCATCACTTTCCCATGGTCAACATCAAACCAGCGTGAATTTTTTCATGCATCTGAGTGTCAGCAGCGTAGTTTACGGGCGAATGTGGTACGGCTTATCCTTGATTTGTGTTGGTGAAACAATCTTTTCAACTGCCATGTGGCTATATTTCCATCAATAGTCAACCCAAGAAATCTCAATGCCATTTCTACCGATGGAAGGGGATGGCTTAGTGTTTACGAAGTTTACTACCACCCGTTCAAGTCATGACGTCAGGTTTATCAGCAGCCAAGTGGTCTCCGAAGCCCTACTGTCCCTCGGGACCGTCTATTGTTCCTGGGCCGCCGTGGATGCCACCATGACTCCGATGGAGAAGAACCAGTCCTTTTTCATAGTAAAAATGGACTAACAAATTGGATTGTACCAGAAAAAAAGGCTGGATTCCATGTTGAAACTCTCCCCAGTTTTTTTTTTTGGTGTGTGTTTCTTTCTCGACGTCTTCTGCAACGTTGATTGAAAAAGAAAACCATGGTTAGCTGTAGATTTATCCCTTACACCAATCCATTGTTTCAATGATCCATGGTCTTTAGATGATATCCATTGATATCCCATTTTTTTAGCATATGATATTCCCATGAAATATCCCTATCTTTGACGGTTAAAGCATTATATACCATTATATACCCACTGTTTTCCCAGCAATCCATGGAAAAAAAATCACCATCCTGGTGGCACACCAAAAACTCGGCATGTCGGGTTACTGTAGCCGCCGCTCCAATGAATCGGAGCATTCTACGGATCCTTTGATCCGTCCCATTCTAAATCCCTTGTATCAGTTATATATAGTTATATCATGTTATATCACCATTTTTCAATGGATTGGTTGAAGGGAAAAATTACAGGACACCCCTAGATTTGATGGTCAAAACTCCATGGGTCTCCGGTTTTGGTTTTCCCTTCAATCCAATGAATTTTTGGAATTCCAATACTGATATGGTGGTTCTCCAGTTAAAAATGGTGGATTCTCCAGTGAAATCTCCATTTTTCCACCATTTTTTCCAGCATTTTTGGAACCAACACCTCCATGAAAACCATGGGGCCAGGATGATCTCCCACCAACCGCCGAGGTGCCGAGTACCTCAATGGCGTCATCGGGGAACTTGGCGTTGCACGGCGTGCTGTTTCAGCGCGTTTTTGAGGGATTTCATAGGCTGGTCAAGGATACTGTATATATATATATTATATCTGATATATGTTAGGATATATATATATATGTTAGATATATTGTATACTTTTCCTAGGCTGGATATATATATATATATATATATCTCTCTCTCTGTGTATAATATAACTATATGACCTAACATAGCCTAACATGGCCTCAAAAAATGAGAAAAAATAGTGGTTTAATAACTAAGCTGACATGGCCTCAACACAGATGGTGGTTTAAAGATGTTTAAAGTACGTAGTTTCGATGGATTTAATATGAGTTAATGGGATATTCACTCTGCTAAGGGTAACTGCCTGTCAGTAAACGTTTACATAGTTGTGGAAATACATGGGTTTCCGGATATGATCTACGAATAAATGGTGGAATATATGTTCGTTTACTGGAGGGTAACCAACAACAGAAATGGAATATCACCAAAGATAAGAAAGATAAGAATGGGCATTATATATATATATATGTAGACATGGGGAATTTAGGAACAAAGAAAGGGGATGGCACAACAAGAACGACTTCGAGTTGGTATTCAATCAAGAAGCATGTGCATTTAACCTAGCCAATCAAAACGGTTGATTTAAGGCAGCACAATTGGTGTTTTACCGCAAGTTGCGGATTTCACAAGCAAAATTGTAGAGGTCACTTGAGTCATTTGTGAGTCATCTGTGGCCGATACTCCCAACAACACAGCAAACACAGCGCCGACGTCGCCGAGGAGGAAAGGCTTCAGAAAGGTCCACTGAGCTTCTACGAGTTCATGATCATGTATCGGAGACTTCACCACATCACGCCCCTTGGCTTCCGGTCTTTGGGAATCCCAGAGATGTGCTTGAAGAACGAGTCCAAGTGGGTTCTTGGTAGATTGTCTTCCAAATTCTGTCGGTGACTTTAAGTGTATTTCTGTTCTTCAAACCACTTCCAACCGTTTTTGTTTGTGACACCTCCATCTATTGCTAGATATTGTTGGCGAATCCCAAATAACTTCATTTTGTACCTTATATAGTGCTGAGACGCCACCATAGGACCATAGGACCATAGGAATTGGGTTTGTCAGAGGATATCACATTCCATCCACTGGTTTAAGGACCTAATCTTCAGTCATTTTCCCTATTAAGATTTTCATTGGGGCGGGGCAAACTCCTCATGCTTGGACTAGTCCATTTCCATCATTGGTGAAATCCGAAAAAATGTTTGATGCTTCAACTCCCCAATGTTTTATAAATCCCGATCAAAGCTAGCAGTTTGATGGTTAAACCAACAATTGTTCGCAATTTCTGATGGTCACATCATTTTTTTCAATTTTTGATGGTTAAATCATGTGAGATCTATCAATTTCTGGTTAAATTCCAACTTTGACGTTTTAATCCACTCAAATCAACTCAAATCTATCATTTTCGATGGTGAAACTCCTTGCAATTTTCTGGCGACGCTATCCAGGATGAAGACCATGGCGGACAGCTTTGAGAAGGTGCCAGGGAATACAATCTACCCCAGAAGTGAGTAAATCGTCCTCCAAAAGCCATGGAACGAATGATGGAAACTTGGAATTTCATCAGAAAGTGTGAGAGGGTTGCAGTCTGTCCTTGAAATATGGAGGCAGACATTTCGAGAAGTTTGCTGATTGAGAAGATGGCTCTTCTGCAGTTTTTGTTTCCTGCATTTTTCCTTTGTTCCGTGTCTAGGGGAGTAACAAGCAGTTGAGTAGAGATGTAGGTGCGAAAGTGGGCAGAGTAGCAACAAACCATGGGAATTTTGAAATTAACACCTTTTGGGTGGGGTTTGCGTGATCGCATGTAGCACAAGATAATTAAAATCCATGGCTGGCTGGAGACGGGTTTAGGTTTGCTTGGGGTTTTGGGGATCACAGGCTGTGACACAGGTTCTTGACCGATATTCTGAGTGGAAAGGAGGCGTAATATTCCTCTTGAAGAGTGACCTGTATATAATATGAATAATATGTCTGAAAAATATTGCAAGACCTGCATGTTTCAGCGTAATTAATAGATATTAAATTATATTAATAGTGTTGGCATGATTCACAGCCACACCGAAAAGATAGAACACTAATATAATGTTTAAATGGTGGTAAATGACTTTTGAATTACCTTTCTATCCTTTTGGGTTAGTATCTATAGTGAGGTTTGCGGAAAAGATGATGTGGCAAGGGTCTCACATAGGGTTTCAATGAAACAGAGCGGGTGTTACCACCCAAATTCCCAGTCATACCCCCGCTAGACCCACACATTTGTCAGCCGTTTTGCCATACCAAATGCTTGGGAAAGCTATCTGAGGCGATAGAATCATTCCTTCGAACAGCATCACACAGAACATGACCACGGTTTTTGAACCACGATTGGTTTCAGGTGGCCATTTCAATCATTTTCAATCCTCCTCTCCTATTCTTTGCCAATTTCCCACCATGGGATCCATCAGGCTGATACGGATCGAGATGGCATGATTACGGTGAATGAGGCAACGCGACGGCGACGCTGATGGTGATGAAAACCGAGAAACAACGAAAAATGGAGGTTTCAATGGTGGATCCCCAAGGTTAGTTGGTTTCTTTCAGGGAAAATCCATCGAACAATGGATGATAAAATGAGGTAGCCCTATGATGATTTAGGAAACTTAGGAAACCACCAGATGATTTTAGCACGTTTCGATGAATGTATGGCTACCATGAACGGGAAACCGCCATAAACCTACCATGGCTGTTTTTTTTTCTCCCAGCCTGGATAAATTGGCGGATCTTCTCATCCCAATTGGAGCGCCTTTTTTTGGGATGGGTTGAAAGAACCACACAAAGACACACACACATATATATACACGATATATGTACAATATATATATATATATGTATATGTATATACACATCAAATATGCACACATCCAGGTACAACAGTTCCGCAGATAGAAATGGGTGTCCCTGCGGCTTTAAACAAAGAGTATCCGTTTCTATTTGTTTTGGACCACTAGCCTATGGTCCCTTGCTATCCAGTCATGCACCAATTGGTGACCCCCCCCCCAAAAAAAAAAGGCCACAAAGAACATTCATTAGGGGGATGGGATTGCTCATGTTTGTATATCTGTATGTCTATATAGTTGCCACACACGCACACTATCACACACGCACACACGCACACACGCACACATATAGACATATGTATATATATATATATGTATATATATATAGAGAAATCTTAAAACCTTTGTCCTTCACAACGCCATTATCTATATCGATGTAGTTCAGGTGGCGATGGAACACGCGAGAGAGAGAGAGAGATCTACACTCCCTTCCCGGAATATTGCACACACCTGTTGCATGGTCCCAAATATAAGTTCTTTTTTCCTACGAAACCATGGTTCCTGGCGAGTGTTTAGAACTCGGGGAATGGGATTATTTCCATTACGTATGTATATATATATATGCCCCATTAACTAGCAATTGTCGTTCCCATTATGGAAATATCTATTATCCATAAGTGAATACCATTATATACTTTTTTTTTTAAATATCCATATGTTCAGTTTACCTTATGATGTCCCCATAATATTCCCATAATATTCCAGTCATATTACCACCATAACAGTAAAATATCCCCTATAATCATATTTTCGGAGGACATTAACCATGGTAGTACCTTAGGTATTAACACAATTCTGGGACATAATGTATTGTCTTAATGTAAATACTATGGGAATATCATTTTTGGTATATATCAATTTATCTTATGATATCCCCATAAGAATCACAGTATCCCCATAATATCCCCTTAATTATTTTACCCTGTGGTTATTTAACATACCTATGGAAAATAGTTCTCTGGTTTTAGATTATTTGTGATGATTTACCTATTCTTAAATGGTGGTTTTCTATAGCTATCCTGCCATCATAGTAAATATTTTGAATAGGTAAATCATCATTAAATACCCATAGCTGCCATAACCAGAGGGTAAAATTCTATAGCTATGGCAATGGTGGTTTCCTATCATCATCTGAATATTCTTTATATAACCAGAGGGTAAAATATTCCCATTGACCGCAACATATGGCCAAAACTATGGTACTAAAGAAACCTCCATTTTAGGATCCTGAAATTCCCATTGAATACATGACATTTCGAAATATTTCCATAGATCTGAGTAAATTATCATATTTCACTAACCTGCGTATAGTTCCCCTATTTGGGGATTCCCCATAAATATTCCGTATCCCAATCATATATATGATGTACCCTATCATATCCTCTATCATATTACCACCACAATGGTATTGGAGTATTACCAATCACAATATCACCTATAATCACATTTTCGGAGGACATTAACCATGATAGGGGATGAAAAAAACATACACCCTGTAATATCCCCTAGTTAACCATGATAGGCTGTCTATAATTACCCTCTGGTTTTCTATCATCATCTGAATAATTACCCATAATATTCCCATAATATTCCAATCATATATATATATATATATGATATCCCCTATCATATCCCCTATCAGGCAACTGATGATAGATGCTATACCAAACCGGCCCCTCTATTTTTACCCAAAGGACATTAATCCCTATATCATATCCCAATCATATTACCACCATAATGGTATCTATTGTGATTGTAGTATTACCTATTAACAGTTGATTTACCATGATTTACCTATTCCAAATGGTGATTTCCGAGTTCGCTATGTAGTGTTTCTATCATCATCTGAATATATAATTATCCATAATATTCCCGTAATATTCCAATCATATATAAATATATATATATATGATATCCCCTATCATATCCCCTATCATGTTACCACCATAATGGTATCTATCTAACCAGAGGCGAACATCTTCCCATTCGCCTAGGCCACGGACTGCCTTCGACAGCTGGGCTTTACGCTCCTGCGGGCGGACGCTACGGCTGATGGCGATGGTTCTACGGGCCGAAAAACCCTGTCGAAAAACCATGGGAAACTATTGGAAAATATAGCACCATGGGAAAATATGGGAAAATATGGAAACACCAGGGGAAACTATGGGAAAATATGGAAAAACCATGGGAAAATAATGTATAAACATGGGTTTTAATGGGTTGTAATGGGTTTTAATGGGAATCTCTCTAGAAATGGAGCTTTTTAGCTGGGAAAATCATCTACGGGAACATCATCTAAAAACCAAGTTTTTTGTTCTCTGGCCATGTTTGGTGACACGAGAGAGTAACACTTTCAAAAAACAGATTGAGGACATTTTTTTTTGCCTACAAGATGGTGGATACACACAACACAATATATATATACAATATATATATATACAATATATATATACAATATATATATATATATATCTATACATGATTAAAAGAATGTTTAAATAAATAAATAAATATATATATATATAATAAACCATATTTGTGTTTGTGTATCTCAATGGATGTGGCACGATTTTTTTCTCATTTTTGGGTCATATTACTCGTTGCCCAAACGATTCGCATTTCGCAAAATATAGCAGACATAGATAAATGACATGAATATATATATATATATATTTATCTATCTATATATACACATACATGCATACACACAAAAGGATACATACACAGATACGATATTTATGCATGCGTGCGTGCATGCACATACACATACACATACACATACACATATACATATATATATGTATGTATATAAATAAATAAATAAATATAGATATATATATATATATGTATGTATGTATATATATATATATATACATAAATGGATGGATAGATAGATAGGTAGGTAGGTAGGTAGATAGATGGGCATACACACACATACATAGCAATATATAGATATATACACATATTTGTATTTCTATTTTTAGACAGGCACACACACATATATATAGATACATATACACTATACGCAAACATATGTTTTGCCACGTGAAAACACATCCCGAGCACCTCCTAGTTGTGTCCCGTCCGACAAAACCATCTTGGTCTCGCCACAAGGAACTGCAGGAGATGTTAGAGCTGACCGGTGCGGAAAAGGCGGGCGGGCGGAAGGGATGTTTGAAGAATGACCTGAGAAAAACGAACAATTTTCCAGCGATTTTTGCTGGTGAAATGGCAATGTTTAGCGGCCTAACAATTTTTGATGGTGATATGGCAATTTTGACGATTTTTTGCTGCTGAAATGGATGATTTTTGTTGGTGAAATTGGGTGATTTTAGCGGATTTCTGTCGTTTTTGGACTTACGAACTTAGAATACTTAGAATGTTGATCGTTTTTTTCTGGTGAGATGAAGATTTCTGTTGATTAAAACGCTCTTTGCACGCATTTTTGGATCGTTTTTTTTTTTTTAATTGGGACATCTCATCTCTTTCAGCACAAAGATAAATTCATCAAAAAGTGCACACACACACAGGGTCAAACTGGATGGTACTTAAATCCTTGAATCTTTTGCTATTTTGATAGAGGTACATACAATGATAACCAGAAATAAGCGTTGAATCAGTTGAATTATCCCATCTTGCTGGAGGAACATGTCCAACAGTTCGATATGGAAAATCCATCACTGTAGATCGTCACCGGCCATGGTTTTACTATCCCCATTTACCCTTTAAGTCCCATGAAATCCCATGAAACCACCATATGTTTTCACCACGATCCTTTTGGTGAACGGTTTAGCGATGCCGATGTTGGCATAGCGGCGCTACAGGAGGAACGGCTTCATTTCGATGCAGTCTATGCCTTGCTGGTGGAAGCAAGGAACCAGTGACCTGGACTACGGCCACCAAGCCTGGTGGGATCTCACGAAGAATGGGCCCGGAATGGCGTGGTTTACGACACCAACATGGCCGATTTCAATGGTTTTATGGTTCTTACAGCAACTGGGGATTCACATGTAACCTGCAGTAACTATTGAAATTATGCTAGAATTGTTTGTGGGGTTGCATTGCAGGACTCCCAGAATTGATGGGGAAATTCACACGACCCCCCTAGATTTATTGGGGGACGAACATGGTCATGCAGCAGTTTTTCCCTTGGCGGTGGTTTTTGGCTCTGTTGCCACCGTCCAAGTTTCTTCTTCTTCAATAGGCTTTGCGACCACACACCAACCACTGATGTGTCATCGCTGGAGAGCCATGTCTATTTCTAGTCGTTTCACCCCAAAGTTTGAGCATCCCTTTTAGCTTTTAGCAGGCTTGGTTTGACTTTCCATGGTTTCCTGTATGTTTTCCACGGAAAATCCATGCATTTCATGCCGCTGTCTCCCGCACGTTTTGGTGAGCCGCCTAAGGCATGGCTTTACCCGAGCCGAGTCGGACGATTTGAAGGCAGCGCGCAACACCATTTGAACGTCCCAAGAAGAACACCGCATTTCAACTTGTGCTGTCCAACCAGACGAAGGTCATTCAACTTACAAAAAGTTGCAGTGCGATTTGGGGGGAAAACTAGGTTTTGTCTTCCCATGGCAGGTGCATTTTGATGCCTTCTGTGATGAAGATGGCGAAATGCCCAACCTTCAGATGTGGGGCCCCAAGTGATCTACTGGGAGGGCTGGATTTTACCCAAGAGGCGCCTTTCCTCCCCAGGATTTGATCCATTTCGGCCTGAAAACCAGCCCTGGAGATTAACCAACAATTCTAAGACCTGCCTGGATTCCCAAGTTTTTTTTTGGGATTGGGATTTGGCGATGTTTTCTTTGTTTTGGTTGTTCCGACATGTTCCGAGCCTTCCGACTCAGCGGTTTCAAGATGTATCAAGTCTGATAAGTCTGCTGATCTTCACGAAGCTTCACGGTCAGCTCAGGTACGATCTCTTGAGATACATTGGCCATGAGAGCACCCTGGATGAGGCGGGGATTTGGGGATGTCGATGGATTATGTCGATGGGCTGTGGATCGACAGGATGCCAAATTTTCTACATGTAAATCAGTCGAAATATGAGGTAAATCATGGTAAACCCAATGATCCAAACCACAGTATTTTGAAGTGGTTTATAATCAATATATAACCGATATAATTAATCCCATATCTAAATGGGGATGTTCCATGTATAACTGGGGGTATACCCCATTTACTAAGTGGGATCCACCCCCAAGCAAGCCACCCCCAATGACATCACCAGAAATAGTTTGTAGAAAACCTTCAACATTGACAATTCCAGCCACTGCAGCATCATGGTTCCTTGCTTGCACGTCGCCAGTTGTAAACACTTATATAATTTATATAGATTCACAAGACTCCTCGACATGAATGGATATGAAGAAATGAAGACACAATAGATTTCGGCGCGCATGCTATTCACATGGACTTCAGCAGACGCATAAAATGAAGCAATGAAACATTGCACATGCGCACATGTATATAACATGTATATAATCCCACCTGACAAAAGATATCCTCATATAAGACCCCAGAATGACAAGTTTCGGTACTAAGTATGGGTTTTGGCGGGGTACTTAAATTCGAAGGGATTGATATATTACACTGTAACAATCGTCAAAAATTCCACAAATCATCCTTTTCATTATGCCATTCATTGTCCCATTCATTATCCCATTCATTGTCCCATTCATTAGCCCATTCATTGTCCCATTCATTAATTAAACATGCCAATGGAATATCCACCATTTAGTTCGTTGATTTTCCCATTAACGCCTCCATTGGGTGCGGGGTTTTCCCAGCTTGATCCCCCAAACTTATCTATTTACATTATACATACATACATACGTACATACATACATACAGACAGACAGACGGACAGACATACATACATGCATAAAATACATACATACATACATACATACATACATACGTACGTACGTACGTACATACATACATACATACATACATACATACATTTACATACATACATACATACATACATACATACATACTTCCCCACACATACATACATATATACATACATACAATACATTTTTACATACTACAGTAATACATCATACACATACATACATACCCATACATACATGCATAAAATACATACATACATACATACATACATACATACGCGTACGTACGTACATACATACATACATACATACATTTAATTTACATTACATTACATTACTTTTCCCCACACACACATATATACATACACAATTTTTTCTCTAAGTAATAATCCACATTATCCCATAACTTTCCTCCAGCAGCCACAAGTGTTCCCACTTTTTCACGGCTCCCAGTTCGTTCAACAGGTCCTTCTCGGTTTCCGTTTCAGGTCAAAGAGCTGCTGGACCAGGTGGATTACAACCACAACGGCACCATGGACCGTCCGGGAGCGCAGCGACGAACTGGGGGATGATGGATATCGAAGGATGTTTTGAGAGGTAAAAGAGATAAACCTTGCAACCGTTGGTTTTTTTTGGGGGTAAAGCCGGTAAAGCTGGTAAATTCATGTTTTGTAAAACTTTCAAATGTTGGGGGTTTGCTGCAGTTGCAGAGCCTGGTTGATTAATCTAACCGTTGGGTTTTCAAATGTAGACAGTTTGTTGGGGAAGAACAGCAATTGTTGGGGCGACTTTTTGGCGGTTTTTTTCAATGGCGAATCACTTCTGCTTAGAGGATGGTGATTCGAGGGTTGTCTCCAGTTTCGACGTACTGCATTGAGCTGATTGCTCATGTCGGTGGCCATTAGGTCGTGAATATCTTCGGCTGATGAGACTGCAGAAGGAAGCGAACCTCACAGGCTATCGCAACGCTTGGTGTAGCAGTAGCTTGGAAAAACTTGGCTTCAGCTAGATTCTGCTAGATTCGGGCAGCTTGGAAAACGCAGTGCGGTTCTTGGACAAGGGCTGAGAGTGGCCAGACGCCCCTGAAGCTACATGGATCCATACCCAGAAAAGTCTAATCGAAGGTAAGTCGAATGTAGTCACAGTAGTCACATCAGTTTTCATGTTCTCAAGCTTCCCTTGACATGGATTGAAATGGCAGATGATTTTCCCTGCGACCAAGGTAAGATGCGTTGTGGCCGGAAGGCTGGGGGTCACGCGCAAACCATGGATCAACGACCCGGGGGTCATAAGAATAGCAACATCCACCAGCTAAACCTCCTAGATTTTGGGAAAAAACAGCCCGAGTGAACTCGGAGGCATTTCCGCAGCAATGGGGAGTCTTTGGCTCACGCACGCAGACACATTTTCCATTATTTTCCCATGTGTGTATGTATATAAAGTCATCATGGTCAGAATCTTGGAGTAGATAAGGCTGCCAACATTTGTCCAGAATGTCCAATGGGACTATGATTGAACATTCCGGAAAACCGACTCCAGGATGATTATAGATGCAACTAACCAGATCTAACCAGTGATGTTTTCGTTGACATGCCCCAAACGGTTTGTGAAACACCCGAGGCTTTTCAGGTGGTGAACAATGCCCTGCATGCGCGTCAGGGGAGCCCAGCACCCTTGTTTTGTGGCTGGATTTTGCCATGAAAAAATGGTGACGAATGCGGAAAACACTATGAATATGAATCTGATATGAATAGGGTCAGATTTAAGCAATGAATAAGACATCTCAATGATCTCATGTGTTTTTTCTCCAAGTCCTGGTTGCATCATTTCTTGGTCCCAGTTTTCCATGGTTTTTCGGGCAGCCCTGGTGGATATTTTTCGTGAAATCCTTGGCGAATGCGGCATCTCCAGGTCTCAACAAGCATCCAGAGATTTTGGGGCGACTGCTGGCCTCTCGGCCGAGCTGAACCGTTGAAGATCCGTTGAAGATCCGTTGAAGATCCGTTGAAGATCCGTTGAAGATCCGTTGAAGATCCGTTGAAGCTGCCCAAGGGTTGATGGCTTACCCTCTGGTTATGTCAAAATAGCTATTGAAAATCACCATTTTCAATGGGTAAATCCACTATAAATGGTCATTTTCAATAGCTATTTTGACATAACCAGAGGGTAAAACCAGGATATACACCAGTAATCAGCTCCATGGCTAGCTGGAACATCCACCATTTCTAGGGGATTTTCCCATGGATTTTCCCATGGATTTGCCACGTTTGATTCCCGGAGGGTAGAATAGTTGCCCGGGGTTTACCAACTTCAAACCTTTTCCTTGGTGGTTTGTACTACTCTCATCCCGGGACCGCCGGGACCTTATGACATACTGGGGTACCCCAAAATGAGATCGAAGACTGGAGAAGGTACGGATGACCTGGTGGTTAGCGGTTTACGCTGCTAGAATTTTAAGCCCTTTTACGGGAGACCGTTCTGAATTGACTTTATTGGATGGGATATGTGTCACAGCCCACAGTTTGCCGGTCAACTTTCTGGCGAATTTGATGGATCCTATGTCCCTTATCAAATGTTCACGACATTTGATGAGTTTTGTTGGATCATTTCCCCATGGCCATATTCTTTCCATTGTCAACTAGAATTCCGACATCTCCACCTAGGAGAACAAACATGATGAATTTGTTGCCGTGTTTGTTTCTATTGTTACCATTGATAGTTTCCATTTCTATGATATGTTTTCCATCATGGGAATATAGATATCCTTGAAATGGAAACATCTAAGATAAACAATAGATGTTTTCCATTTCTTGAATATTTAACACATTTTAACACCATAGATGTTTTCCATTTCTTGATAAGCATTACGATAGATGATCTATTTCTTGATGTCCATTGCCATTGTTAAGCAACATCGAAATCTCCATCGAAATCTTGCGACAAAAATATCTTCAAGCCACCGCTGTTGTCCTGAAAGATCCCAACTCCGCCAATTCGTGGGGAGGGGATAAGTATTACTTCCCCCAATGTAAGACTGAACGCTTCATATTGGGATATGTATATATATATATGAAATTAACACATAAATAAAACACATTATATTAATATAAATGCACTAACTATCTAATTAACCAACTAACTAACTAACTAACTAACTAAATGAATTGAACAAATAAACAACACACACACACACACACATATATATATATATATTTGAACCCCGAGGCCTCCACCACGCGCGCCGAAATCACCCGCGCCGCGGGGGACTTCGACAGCTTCGCGCAGCTGGCGGTGCCGTGGGGCGGATGTACCACGGAGATTTCATGGGATTTCATGGGAACGTATAGGGATTTTATGGGATTTAAATGGGACTTGGAGGATGATAAAAATCCTCCACCCAACATGGCAAGCTGGAAAATCCCCCATAAAACGGAGGTTTATGGCTGGGAAACTCATCAACAAATAGTAGATTTTTCCATTGCAATGTTTGATTACCGGAGGGTACATTGGTGAAGAGGCCCGGTGAGGATTTTCCCTTACCCCCTGGTAAACAAACATAGCAAAAAAAACAGTTTGCTATTGAAGATGGCAATTTATAGTTGATTTTCCCATGAAAACATACAAAAAAGCTATTGAAAATGGCAATTGATAGTGGATTTACCCATTAAACATGGTGATTTTCCATAGCTATGTTAGTTTACCAGGCCGGGTAAATCTCGTGATGTTGAATGTTATGGATGATCGGGACGGGAGTGGGGGAACCGTTTACCCATGGTGGGCCGTTAGCTATTCAGCTATTTTTCAGGATCGTGTATTATAGAAATCTGCCAGATGTTATGAAATGAGGGGTACCAATGGAAATGTCATGATCATTAATTGTAGCGCCAAAAAAAACCCGTTTCGCCCACACCCTTCTTGTCTTGGGAAGATCAACAAAGGTATTAGGGAATATAAAAGTCCCACCCCCGTTAAACTTTACATTCATTTTACATTCATTGAAGATCTTCAATAAGAGTTTAATTCTCCCACTCCCGCTAAACTTCTACATTCATTGAAGATCTTCAATAAGGGCGGGTTTAATTCTTCCACCCCCGTTAAACTTCTACATTCATTGAAGATCTTCAATAAGGGTTTAATTCTCCCACCGGGGTTAAACTTCTATATTCGTTGAAGATCTTCATTGATGATGATGATGATGATGATGATGATGATGATGATGATGATGTGGAACGAACCCGCACAGGTCCCTCTGCTGTGCGTTCTGATCTAGAACATCAAGTTAACCATAATGCTAAAATATGCTAAAATATCCAATTTTTACCAAGTTTTCAGCTCATACGAAGAAGGCGGGCCAACAGGCGCGGGCAAGAAGAGGTGTTTGGCCGTAATTGTACAAATGAGGGTTGTAAGTAAACTATCCCAATGTTGTTGTCATTGTTGTTGGGACATACTAATGTGATAAACCCATGGAGGTTTATCAGTGGGTTTACGACATTGTCGGAAATGGATGGAAATGAGGCTTTAACCAAGCAAAATCACTCAAACTTATTCAAACACACGGCTCAATCAGCATTTAGAATTGCGATTGAGTGGCCGGCCAAACATGGGGATTTTTCATCAACGAACGATCGACACCTGGGTTACAAAATGCGATATCCACCCGAGACATTTTGTGGAGAACATGTTTTTTTTTAATCATGGGATTTTGAGGTAAGCTATTTTCAGAGCCACATGGTAGCCACCAGTCACCAGTTTTTAGCTGTTTTGGAGGGTGGTCACCAGAAGCAATGACCGGGGACTTGTTGAATGATGATCCAACAAGAATCGGCCATGGGGATCCACGTATATTTTTGATGTCACGAAGTGGCACTGGTTTTGCTGTCACCGGCCATTTTGTGAACGCATTTTGAAACCTGGGTATGGTTATCCGTTATCTATGTATATATATATATTCATATATACATATATATATACACACATATATATATACATGAATATATATATATCCATTTATATCCTATAGTTGTTGGTTAAATTCCATTGTCAACCCATACTTTGCCGGTTTTTGGCCTCATTTTCGGTCTTCCACAACCTGACGAGTTTCCAGAGATTTTGAACGCGTGAAGCGCCAGGAGCACTTGAGAAGGCAGATCCCCTTGGAGAGCCGGAAGTACGCCAGCTTCAAGGCACTCAGCGACGTGGGTACCTTGGGGGCGAGCTTGGCCGACATTGTTCTAATGTGGTAAACCCAAGAATAAAGGGAGGGAGGGCTATTTTTTGGGGGGAATCATATTTTGTCCGTTTTGGGCTATTTTTTTTTGGATTTTTGTTTCCCTGCTTCTTTGCTTTTTTGCTTCTCTGTTTTTTTTTTGTTTTTCCCTGCTTCTCTGATTTTATATTTTTTCTGCTTCTCTGCTTCTCCACCTTTCTGCTTCTCTGCTTCTCCACTGTTCCGCTTCTCTGCTTTTTGCTGTTCTGCTTTTCATCGCCCTGCTTCTCTGCTTCTTCGCTTCTCGAACCTAAACCAACCCTAAAACCAACTCTATAAAACCAAGTCTACATAAACCCTAAAACCAGCGTACATAATCCAACCCTAAATTAACCCTAGTCGCAAAATACCATGCAACATGAAAAGTTTGAGGACGAACACGTTGCAAATACAATGGAAAATGAAAGGTTCGAACTTCAAAATGTTGCGAATACAGTTGAAATGGCAGCTTCCAGCTCCAAAGTGCTGCAAATAGCAAGGAAAACGGGCGGAAACGGATCAAAAAAACAACAGCATGGAAAAAAATCCTGAAGCAATTCCGGACCCGGGAAGTCAGCCCCAAAACGTGTTCATGCTCACAGCCTAAATGTTGCACCTCATTGGTCGATCTGAAAAAAACCAGCACATTTCAGGCACAGTCAAATATCGTATGTTGTTGGCTCTACCCTCTGGTTATTTAACATGGGAAATGGCCCATTTATAGATGGTTTACCGAACTAAAAATGGTGGATCTTTCCATGGCAAACTGTTAGTCATAACCAGATGGTATATCCCATGGGGTACCCCATGAAATCCTATGAATTAATCCAGTGATTGCCTCTGGCAAACATGTCAATGGCAAATCTATCATTTGATCCATGGCTAGTCCGTTGACTTTTCCATTGAGTTAGGAGAAAATCCAGCTTGCCATGTTTGATTTTCCACAGGGTAAAATCCCATTCTGAAAAATCCTCATATTCCAAGCAAATCCTCAAATCCCAAGAAGTTTCCCATATATTTTCCACCTTGGAATCATAGGCGATTTTTACCCGGCCACATTTTACCCCAGGGGGAGATCATGTTGGACATTTACCAACCTTTTCAGCATGGACTTCGTTGAAGTCAACCCAGTTCAACCCATGGATACGTTACGCCGCCATTTTTGGAGGTACCGATTCCATTAATATGTTTGGCCGCCATTTTTCAGGCCGAAATTTCTGGGAATATCCAAAATATGGTCAAAAATACGGTACTATACTAACGTAGCTCCATCAATTGGATCCTGGAATTCCCACTGAATGATACTAACAAAATATGGCCTTTTTGATCTCCCGTTGTTTCAATCGCGTCCGCCAGGAAGTGGAGTACGAGTCGCTGCGGCAGATCTTCAGCGTTTGGAGCTGCTACCCCGACGGCTCAGTCAGTCTGCGCGACTTCCTGTGGCTCGATGAGCGATGCGCAGCGGGTGACCTGTGGGTGACCTGTTGGATTGGGTTGAATCCCATGGAAAAATGGTTGACATGGTTTGTCATGATAACAATAATCTGGTTACTGGTTGTGGTTTGGAACATGACTGGATTATGACTTTCCATATGTTGGGAATGTCATCATCCCAACTGACTAATATCCCAACATGATTGGTTTATGATATGGTTTAATAGTACAACCATGGTTGGTGAAATAAGAAGAACACACACACACATATATATATAGAAATAATTGTCCATCCCATCACCCCAAAAACCTCCATGATGGTTGATGAACATCTCACTCAAAAACCTGAGAATCATAGCGACAAATCTCTGGACAAACGTATCCAGTGCGAGTCCATCACATTTATGAACCAACGATGGTCCAATTACCGTATACATACATACATACATACGTACGTACATCCATCCATCCATCCATCCATCCATCCATCCATGCATGCATGCATGCATGCATGCATGCATGCATGCATATATATATAATTATATATAATGGCTTTATCAATTTAATCACTATCAAATTCATTGAGTAGTCATCAAGGATTTATCAACTCATCATTTGCAGATCATGATCGTAGAATTCTCCAAGCAAACTGAGAACAGTTATGGACCGATAAAAACCATTTGGTGATTAACACATTAGTTACCAATGATGATTTATTGACTAATCACCATCAGCGGAGGACCATGATGAGAATATCATGTCGTAAGATTTAGAGATATTCGTTATGTTTTCAACTAATCAATTTGTTGGTGATGATGGTCTAATAAGTTCCCATTAATTGAGGACCATCACGATGACATTATTAGTTACATCTCACTTGAGTCCATTTGTAAGTAATCATTCATAGTCAGAGATGATCATTCGTTGATAAACCATGATATACTTGGTCCATTGTTGAGGATCTATCAGCTGAAGACGCTGAAGACAATATCCCCAATGATTGATAAATTCTATGTATTTGCTATTCCCAGCCTTCCATCAGCTCAGCCGAGGACCATGGTGATAATATCATTTCATAATATGTGGGAAATAAACATTTTTTTCAACTAGCCAATATCCTCAATCATTGATTATGACCATAGATTAATAGGTTTACCAACTAATCATCTCTGAGGACCATGATTACGGTCTACAATCTGGTAAGTACAATCATTAGTTGCTGCGCTGATGATTTATTCATCAGCGTACCACCAACTATCATTAACACTCATAGTAACCAACAACTGACCATTCATGAACCATCAGTTTATTAGTGGATTTCATCACCACTATGCTGATTATTGATGGTTAATGAGCTGGTTGTCGACGGTTATTGTGGTTGATTACCTGATTCTTAATGAAGTTATCACCACGAGCTGAGGATCATGATAGTCACCATGATTAAGGTTTATAAACTGGTAAGTACTATCATTAGTTACTGCGCTGATGATTGATTCATCAGCCCATCACCATCTGAGGACTAAAATAGTCAGCATTATCAACTATGATTATTAGTTACGGATTATTGTTGGTTAATGAATTCACCAGTAGCTGAGGACAGTAGTCAACACTACTGAGTGGAAGTTTTACCCACCTGTATGTATTAGCATTTCTTACTGACAATTTATTCCGCCCATGAGCTAAGACCCATGATGGCAAGTATCATAATCATTATCATAAACTATTTGGGTTCAAGTTAGTATCAGTTGGTGTTTGATTGGGGGTTTACAACTAATTTTATCACTAATTTTAAAACTAATTAAAAAAAACTAATCTAATCACCCTACCTGAGGACCATGATGGAAGAGGTGCGCGACGTCCACACCAAGGGCGGCCGCATGTGGCTCTTCGAGGCCCTCAACGAGGCGCGCCACGCCGCGAAGGACTGTGGCGTGGACGACAAGGCGCGTGGCATGGCGCCACCAAGGGGAAACCACGGGGAAACGACGGGGAAACCAATGGAACAGCCATAAAAAGTGGGGGAAATGGTGAGTTAAGGGTTGAAAAAATGTTGGAAGAGAGAGAGAGAGAGATTTTGAGAGTAGAGACCATGTTGAGTGGTGATTTAAGGAGATTTTGGAATAACACTTGGTGATTCAAGCATGAAAAAGTGGAGGCGAGATTTAAAGCAACCAGCGAAAACCCCATTTGAACCATTCAACCTGGGGATTTTACCGGCTCGAATGGGATTTAAGCCTATTGAAACTGGGATCCAAAATATTCAAAGCAGAAAGGTGGAGCAAAACTGGATATTTCTGCACCGGATGGAACCTGAAAAATGGAGGACTTAAGCCATGAACCGAAAGAGTGCTGGGTAAATGATTGGCTGCTGTCCAACCGGGGCCAGGAAGCTGGCAACGACAACAGCCCACGTCCCTTGGCCGAAGTTGGCATCAATCTTTGGTGAGGCCAAAGCTAGTAGCATTTGTTGGTCAAAAAAGGGGAACTGAATGGTTAACCTCAACCATCCTCAACCCATGATTCACATGATTGATAAATATTGATAAGCCTCCCAGTTGCTGAGTATACCTGGTGCTTAGTGCTTCCAAATGTGAGGGAGGGATTCACCATATCAACTGGTTCTTTTGGGACATTTCGGACAGCCCCGGCTATGATCAGGCGCCTGGTCCTGCCCCAAAGTTTGTTCCATTTTGTTCCCATCATTCCGACTTTGGAAATCTCGGGAGGTGTTCACTTCATGCCTGTGCTGCACTTCGTCCGCCAGATGGTTCAGAGGCGCTCCGATGGTCCGACGACCGATGATTCACCGATGATTGGGGCGGTCACCTCCGAGGTGACGAAGCTTCGATGTCCAATGACGATGTCCACCATTCGGATGTTTTTTCACTCGGGAAACCTATCGCGGTTGCCGCATCCTTTTTTTGTTTGTAACTAACAACTGGGTAGTTTCAAATCAATTTCATTCCTATTTAATAAGATCACCTTAGAATGATGTTAATAAAGCAATTGGTGTAAACATGTGTAAAATATGGTATGCTTACTTTGCTACCGATCATTATCAGATCAACGTATGTTTTTTAAAGGACGTGCCAGGCATCTCCGACAAGTTACCATCAAGGAGTGGGCCGCTGGGCCTGGGTAGTCAAGGGAGGAAGCTCTGGCTTAATGGGGGGGGTAATGGTGGTCTAATGGTGTTTTAATGGGGATTTAATTTGTGATTTCATGGGGGTTGAATGGGGATTTAGGATGATTTAGCCTCTGGTTATTTGTGAAAAATAATGAACAATATCTGAAAATGGATGAACCCGGCGCAAAAAAAAAAAGGGAGATCTCCCCAGTGATTCCTGCGGAACTCGGAGGTTCATAACATTCATAACACACATCAGGCCAACTAGCAAGAAATTGGGACTCATCTTCATAAGCAGAATAGCAAGGATTCACCTCGAAACCCGCAGAATGACAAGAAACATATGGGACTAAAAATATAAGCACGTCAGGATTCAGAAAGAGAAACAGGCAGACCGACCAATAATCCCCTTCGACTTGCCTATCAGTTGGGGGCGGTGGTGACGAGCAAAACCAAACTAGCACCAGAAAGGAATAGCCAGGATCTTCAAAAACGGCCAGGAATTTAGGAGGCGGAAGCCAAGAAGTTATGAACATCATGCAATCCAGGGTGTTTTCTCAGCCCCTTGTGAAATTTCAAGTGTCTCCTGTGCATATCCTGTACGCATATCCCAATCAATACATGTGGCTTGGGTCAGCTGAGCAACTTCGGAGGACTTTCTATGGGCTTGGAGCTAAGGAGCTATAAAGCAAGAGTTTCCCAACCACATGATAGCCTATGTTTTGTTATTCTGGATGCCGATGAGATACCAACATTTGGCCAGCTGCCACTTGAAAAAACTTGGCTTGTAACTTTAAGCCCTGAAAACATACATAAAGTCGGGAAAAATTGGATCATGAGATTCGGGGGTTCCTAAGATGAGGAACCCCAAAAGCATTGGTCTTCCCAAAGATGACGAACTTTCGATGATTGTGGGGTCTCTCATCTCAAGAAACCCCATTTGATCCCGATTTCTAGGTGCCGCGACCAGATTTGGTACACTAACTCTTTCCTGCACCAACAACATAAATGACTGCAGCAGAATCAGCAGATAATCCCATCCCCATCCATACTAGATACACATAGATACCCCCTTATTGGATCATTGGATCATGGGTTTTGCTGAGCTCAGTTTGCCAGTTTAACCCTCTGTTTTTTTTTTGGGATGTAGCTGTGGAAAAACACCAATTCTGATGGGTAAATAAATAGGCATAAATCATTGAACTGATTGGGCCATGGCTTCTATAGCTATGTAAAAAATAACCAGAGGGTAAATAATCTTAAATCCCAATTAGAACACCATGGAATCACCATTGAATCACCATTAAAAAAACAATTGAAACAACATCAGTCCCCGCGACGGGTCGTGCCCACGGGTGACCGAAGAGTTTTCGCTTTGCTTGGAGGAGAACGATGTGCTCTCAGCGCTGAAGTTTAGTAAGGGAGAGGCGACCGCGTCACGCTGTCGCATCGACGGAAAGTTGGAGTGGGATTTGGTGGGGTAACTACTGCTACCCCCTGGTTATTCAACAGTTTGCTGTAGAAAATCACCATTTTTAATAGGTAAGTCACGGTAAGTCATCATAAATCATGGGACGAAATGGGCCATTTTCCATAGCTATGTTGAATAACCAGAGGGTATCAACAAAAACACAGCCGAACTCTCCAGCTCGGTTCATGCGATGCTCCCGTCAGTTTCATTGACTTTCCATTGGTGGAATCCAATTTTTCTTGGGAGGACCTTTTGCTCACCAGCCAAGAACTATTTGTTTGCAGATGATCTAAGATTGGCAATGGCAATGGATCCTGGAATTCAGCTCCAAGCTACCAATGTTCACCAGGGCTGCTGGGAAAGTGGGGGAGTTTCCAGCCCATGGAGCTGACCTGAAAACCTCCAAGTCCCGAAATGGCAGGTGGCTCAATTCCGTGCGCTCTTCCGAAAGCTGCACAAGGAGCACAAGGAAAGCCAGAGCGGCTCTGCTGAAAAGTTCGCCACGGACATTGCGATGTCAACTGGATTAACAACCCCTTGGGCTGTTATTTTTGGAGAGATCTTACATTTTGGTTGTCACGACTTGGAGGGTAACCACTCTAATTAATCAGGGTTTACTAATCCAGGGTTGACATTACACACACCCAATTTTCATCTTTGTCTATTTGAGCGTGCTTGGGCTGAATTGACTTCCATCACTACGCCTCCAGCATTCAGTGCTGAGAGAATACCATTGTGGCAACGGAAATCGTCAAAAACACCAAGCTGAGGCTCTGAGGGGAGGTACAAACGACAGATACACATATAATGTGGTTAAAACATGTTAAAACAATGATCAACCATCCCCAAAATCACCATAGCTAGGTGGTATAAACCTTCCCAAATGGGTAGTTTATGACATTGTTTTAACCACATTAGTTGTAATCACACACGCATAGATATGCACACATTTAGAGCTTGTGGAATCTCTTGTTTAAGGATGATCTTTTGGGACATGGGGGATTTCCCCGGAATTGTGTCTTGTTTTTTCGTGCCGCTGGGGCTAATCCGTAGTTTCTTGTTGGTTATATACATCCCCAATATTCTTACTAACCCCCATTAATCCCACATGATTGTAGCCATTTGTAGCCGAAACCAACCTGCGCAGTTTCCAACATCAATATACCTATGACTATCACCACATCCAATTTAATTACCCTCTGGTGAACTAGCGGATTTTCCCATTAAGAATGGTGATTTTCCATTGCTATGTTAGTTCACCAGAGGGTAATCAGATTAGAAACACATCATGCTTCCTCATAATGCTTGGTCATTCGAATCATATTTCCATGTTTCGAGGGGCTACTTGGAGGATCATCCAGGTACCAGGCGGTCACCGGTGATCGAAGCGGTGGATTCCCATCCGTCGGATCCGTGGGATGATCCTCTCGTAAACGAAGCATCGTGGGATCGATGCGATCATCGATCATCATTATCATCATTAGCCAAAATCATATATAATAGTGATGGTTAATGATGGTTAATGATGGTTAATAGTGGTCATTATCTATTTATGCATAATTATATATATTATAATATGTTATATATAGTCATCATTGACCACTATGAACCATCATTAACCATCACTAGCGATCTTTATATAACCATCATTGTTCTGAACCATCATAAACCATCATAATCCATCATGATTCATTCTCATTCATTACTTCTTCACGTACTAACCAGTCAGAACCCCACTAACCCCAAGCCACTTCCTACTTCCAAGGTGCTTCAAAGGGTGATAAGACCAAGGGCTCCAAAGGCGTGCGTGGACACGACCTAATCGACCTGGGATCTGAGTTATTTGGTTTCCTGTGCTAAAACATGGCAAACGAAATGTGACATATAGACAACCTATGATAAATTATGTTAATCTATATCAAAGATGAGCTAGATGGTAAGCATATGGTAACATGTGGGTAAAAACTGGTACACTAGTTGAAATTTATGGCTTATGGGTTCAATTGACTTTTTGGAGCGTTTTAAGAGTGGAAGTTTCACTGGGTTGACTGCTTTGAAGCTATTCACTACCATCAACTTGATTTTTTGGCATGTATAGATTTGCTACAATAGTGGAGGGTTTTCACGGGCTGGAGCATACCAGACACATTTGCCCCATTTGGTAATGATACCGCTTTTGCATGCTTTTGCCACATTCTGTTTCTCATACATTAATGTGCGATTCACCCAATGCCATAAAGCATCCATTCAGGGATTTTTTTTATCCATAAAAATGGTGATGACTTGGGGATGATTTATGGGGTTTACCACAGTAATACTATATATCATCAATGACCTTTGATGTCGGCAGTTTTTTTTGGTGAGGATGACTTGCACCGATCATTTCTTACATCATGACTTCCAATGGCGCAAAATGATCGATCGACCCTTTAATTTGGGACCTCTAGTAATAAATCATGGGTATCGCTCAATATCATTTCCCCCCGAAATGGATGGTGCAATCCCAAGAGCAAACTTGACATGCCTGCCCTTTGGTAATCTAACAGAGCCATGAAAAATGGTCATGTTTCATAGGTAATCTACAAAAACGGAAACTTTTCCATGGTTACGTCAATTCTGTCCAATGGCACTGAAAAAAATGCAGTCACCCGTGATTTTCTATAAGTTTTCCTTACCCGGTGGATTTTCCTATGGATTTTCCGATGAAATCCGTTTCAAAATCCATCCTTTTGGAGGCAAGGCGGGCAGCAAGCTGAAAGTCCCGGCCGGAAGGCGGTCAGGGCCTCAGGAGGCCATAAAGAGGATATCAGACATGGGGAATCTACAGGGGATGATGTTTGGCCTGGTAAACATCTATTAAAAATGGTGATTTAATGGGATTTAATGGTGATTTAATGGTGATTAAATGGTGATTTAATGGGATTTTTTTTTATGGGATTTAATGGGATTTTTCATGGGATTTATTAGGATATATGATGGTATGCCCTCTTGTAATTTGTTACATAGCTATTGAAGCCATGGCCATAGAAATAGTTGATTGACCCAGCTAAAAAATGGTGGATCTTTCCATAGTTATGTGGCTGTTTACCAGAGGGTATCTTATTTGTCGATCTATCTGCCTGTCTGTCTGTCTATTTATTTATCTACCTACCTCTATGTATGTATATACAGTAATATACGCCCATCCTGTATGGGAATCCAAATATGATAATATGATGGGTATATTTTACATCCTACGAAAATGGTTGGATGACCATTCCCATATTCGAGGGTTTCTTAAAATGTGGGATCCCCAAGTCACCATAGTTGTTTCAACACTAAAATACTGACTTGGATTTTGGGGATACACCTCTATATCATCCCAGAATATATATCCCTTCATACTGGTATCCCATTGATATTTTTGTGGAGGGGTACCATGATCAAAAGATGGATCATGCCAAAAAAAGGAGGATGGCCATCTGTTGGAGTCCCGATTTGGGATGGATGAATGAAGCCATAAACCATGTACATCCAGGGCATCTATTCGTCTTGACCGTGGCACTATGAATTGATGGGAGAGGCAGATGGTCTGATTGATCTATCTCAGAACATCTGAAAGATGGACATATCACATGGATGATCCAAATGATCCATGAATGTTTTTTACGACTACAGTGTTTTGGGACAATTGTCTGAATTGTGCATATAGGAAATCAGAGGAAACCATCCAGAATTTTCTGTCTCACAATGGTGAAATGCCCAATGGTGGTGGCAAGTGAAAGCTGGCAAAATGATGATAAACCACTGGCACGGAATGGGGCTCCAACATTCAATTTACTTGGATACTGTATATCTGGATATTTATACCTTATAGTTGGATAAGTTGTACATATTGGATACTTATACATTATTTATATGGATAATAGTTGGAATACCCAATCATTGTGGCATCATTACATACCGTGGGGTGCCCTTAACCTAAGCTGACAGGGCTCACGTTCATGGCCAGTTGGTGTGGTGAAATTGGACGCCAAGAGATGGATAAAGAACATGTCATGGAGGTTCTCTGCTGCAGATTCTTTGTATGTTCACCTCGCTTAACCTCTGGTAAACTAACAGTTTGCTATGGACAATTGCCGTGGTGAATAGATAAATCGTCGAGTCGAACGAAAAGGGCCATTGTCCAGTTCGCTATGTTAGTTTACTGGAGGGTAATCCACCATTTTTGGGGAAACAAACGGCTTTGTTTCGTTCATTTTTGGCGATCACACAGGGACCGGGCACCATGGAATTTCGGCTCAGTCACTTTTCTACGGATCCAATAACGTAACTAGTACGCGGAGATCACCCCATCTCCCGAACGCGCACGACCCTTTATCGGCGTGATGGAGAAATATGAATACAGTGTCACTGGGATGCCATAGGGCCATGGGGAAGTTGGGCGGAATGGGCATTTTTTTTTTTTGTGGCGGGTTTTTATGCCAAGAACCATCCAGGAACATAAGGTATTGGTACAACCAATCCATTTTATGGGTGATGTATATATATATATATATGTATACCCTCCTCTTATTCAACGTAACTGTGGAAAATGGCCCATTTCTAGATGATTCATGATGATTTTCCGTAGCTACATCAAACAACCAGAGGGTAATTACATATAGTCATATAGTTGTCCAGTTTCCTGCATCATGTTTGAACGTAGTATTATGACTGATCATAATTTGTTTACTATTATCATTCTGGTTATTGTAACTGTTATTGCTATCCTCATTCTAAATCATACTTGTAATTGTAACTTATAATATATATATATTATTAATATCTGGGTCAACCTTGGTTAGATCCTTTAGTTCTTTAATCTTTTGCTATCAATGATATAATTGATATAATGTGCATTCACCAGCTATTTTTTGGCAGGGTATCTAAGATTGGCAATGATTAGATAGGTAATTCACCACTTCTAGGTAAATCAACGAACGAAAGGGGCTATAGCTTCGATATCTTCAATAGGTATGTTAGTTCAGCGGAGGGTAAATCATCTTCAACCAGCATCACCGTGACTAGTCTGGTCGTGACTTTTTATCTTTGGTGGAAGTCATGGGAGATCTCATGGGAAAAACATAGGTTAGGAACATAACAAAGCACCATAAATAGATATAATAAATGGAGGTTTAGATGGAAAAAACATGGAAGAACATGGACTATTTTCAGCAAGCCATCTTAAACCATGTTTGATTTCTGTTTTTTTGTGACCCGTGTTTGTAAAAAAACCAGCCATTCTTTGGTGAACGATTCCGAGCAACTTTTAGCAGACTCCCAAACTGGGACATGGATTGACCATAGACTTCATCCATTCTGCAGAATTACGACGACGGAAAAACACGATGTGATGAACGTGATGGCAGGCATATTTTTTCGTGACCCATTTGGCAAACCCAACTGCTCGCCCTCAGCCTTAGCTGAACCTACGGGATGGCGATGAAGAGAGAGAGAGAGAGATATATTTTTTTCATGACATGTTGCTTTATATGGCTTAATATAACGGATAATGCTGGGGCAAATCAAGATACTGTAACTACAAAAAATGAGATAATTATTAATAGTTATAACATACCAGTTATAACCATCATCACCATTTAATCACCATTTAACCACTATTAATGATGAACATACCCTCCTTTTTTTAACTAACAGTTCGATGTGGAATGGCGCCACCATCAGTGTAGATCATTTTCGGGACGGGAAACCATTGATATTCAGCCATCATCTTTGAAGGGCCAAGTCCAACTTTACAAAATTGCTCTTATTCACTATATCCCCATAGTTATCCCATTAAAAATGGTGATTTTCCATAGTTATGTTAGTTTACCAGAGGGTATTCACTATATCCCCATGATATTCCTCATTTGCGCTGATTTTTTTCCCCCCCATTCTTCAGGCATCTTTGGAGAGATGTCCAACACTTGGTAAATCCCGCATGATCTTCGCAGCGTGGGCTTGATAAATATCATGAATCCTATGATTTTCCCATATCATCCATGATTTTCCCATGATTTTCCCATGATTTTCCCAGGGTGATACATATCATAAATCCCACCATGATCATCGCCAATGGCGTCGTTCTTTTTAGGTCATGCTAAAGATCGCGGAGGTGATGGCCATTGGCAGCACCTATATCGTGGTCTCAGCAGGCGCATCGCGGCAATGGTTTCACTATGGTGATGATGTGAATTAAGAATGATGAACTCTGTTAGTTATGCTTAACTTTGATAAATTGTTTGTGTGTTTTATTGATCGTTATTAATTGTGGCACAGATTAGGGTTAACTATGGCTAAGTATGGTAAAGACTATGGTTCACTATGATAATAATCTATACCGTCTATACCTATGGCGAATCATGGCAAACAAAGTGAACACTTAGTAGAATATCCCACTTAGCTTGGATGCATCTTAATGACCTCACGTCGTGATGTCATTGGAATTATGGTTAGTAAGGGGAATCATCCTCAAATGGTGGCAAGTTTCAGCTATTTTCACGTTAATTATTATAATTCAGGCAGGCTTTGTACAGTAACTGAACCCACTAATGGTCATGGCTAATGATGATTAGCTACAGCGAATCCATTGCAATATATGGAGAATGAGATGTAATAACCAAGCATTTTGTGGGGATATTATGGGATGTAATGGATGTAATGGGATATAGAATCGCAATGAGCTCAGAGGATCCCACAAAGCAACTGGTGAGCCCAGATAGATGGGGACAGCGCACGAAAGTGCGGGTCATTTACCATTCATTATGTTTAAACCACTTGTTTCATAAACAGTTGTGCGCCCTAGTGTAACCATGTGTAACCTACTATAGCTATGGAAAATGACCATTTAGTTCGATGATTTACTGAGAAAGTGAGCCTGAATAGTAAACCATGCATCTAAAAAAAGCTTACAGGCTGGATGCATACACACATTTTTTTAACCAAACAATGTGATCTTTTAAAAAGAAATCAATCAACATATATCATGGTTATAAGGGAAATCATCCCCAAATGGCCTTAATTAATTCAGATTAGTGAAATATTATGGCCTTTACCTAGATATATGCATATCTTTTTGTACATTTCTTCACAGAGTCGGCTGTTGTGAGACCTGCAGGTCTGATCACCTTCAACAAGTACCTGATGAAAGAGGGCCGTTTTCCACACGCCGTGCAGCTTACCGCTATGCATATGGCAACCACTAGCCTCCTCTCCATGATTTTGCTCCTGGGTACCAACTTGGACCATGGAAAACCAGTGAGTTAGTAAGTTGGGATTACTATTGGGATGTTGTGGGTTATAAGATGTAGATAGATATAGATAGATATAGATTATAATCCACTCACCAACCAGTTAGCTAATCCCATGGCCCATTCTAAGTACCCAACATTTTCCCGTTTAAATGGCTATTTCTTGTCGTTCATTTCCTGCCATGGGGCCCATTTTCCACCAGTTGGGGGCCGTTGCTGAGAAACTGTCCAGTTGGGAAAGGACGCTGAGTCAATCATCTCATTATTCCGCAATAGAATCTTGATTTTGATAATCATAATGTGAATAAGAATAATTCATAATGGTTGCTCTTGCTGTTATGCATAGTTGTATATATAACAGATATAGATAGATAACTGGGGCACACACACAGACACACACACATATATATATATATACATGGTGTTATTTACATAGATCATAGATGATCATAGGACATAGTACATCGTATATATATATATATATGCATACACATATACAATATAAAGTTATATCTATAGCTGTAGCTATCTCTATATACTTCTCACCTTCCCACCGATCGGCGAATCGCTTCGGCGAATCGCTAGGTGCTTGGCCATTCCGTCGATCTATCCGTCCATGCCGAAGGCCATGGAGAATTGGAAGCACCTTTCCAGGCCGCTGACGACCTGCGTTGACTGGGGGAGGACAAAAACCCATGGATTTTTCACCATAAAAAATGGTGAAACCTGGAATTTTCAGGTGAAAAAAGGGGTGTTTTAAGCGATGGAAAAAAACAGGTCCACTGACTCAATGAAGATATTTTTTTGATATGGTGATATATAGTTGGCTACATGTCCAGTAAATCCATGCATGTAAAGGGATGTAACTTGAGAAAGAAACTTGGATTGGTGATTCAGTGACATTCAGTGACATGTCGAATTTTTCAATATGTTTGATGGCCACAATTTTAATGGTACCCTCTGGTTATTTAACATAGCCATGGAAAAGCACCATTTTTAATGGGAAAATCCACTATAAATGTGCCATTTTCAATAGCTTTTTGTATGTTTACCAGAGGGTAAAATCATGGGAAGCTGAAATCGGAGACACAACGGGCCATGGCTTTTCTCCACGTCCTGCGAGGTTTATGGTGCCGTTAGGCCTCCTTTTCTCCTTAGCCTTGTCTCTCGGCAGATGTTGGCTGCCTGGATTAGCTATGGTTTATGGATGTTTATGGTATATCTGCATACGATAGATCTAGGCATATGATAGATTCCAGGACATATACTGTATGAATACACACTGAGATGAACTATGGTTTGTGGTAGATATGTTTGATATGCCTAATTACCCTCCAGTAATCAAACATAGCTTGTTGGAAATCCACCAGAGTTCGATGATTTTCCCAGCTACAAACCTCCATTGATTGGTGGTCTCCAATTAACATGTTTGAGTACCGGAGGGTATTAACCCATGTTCAGTTAAATCCAGTTAAGTTGAATCCATGGTAATCCAGTTTTCATGTCAATCCTGGATTAATTAACCCCGTTTACGGTTGTTTTTCATTGGGGGGATACCAATCACAAAAAGTATCAGATTTGTCTTGACCATTTGGGGAGTACCCCCCTAATTTTCATAAAAACCATGGTTTAGCAAAATCCGGGGTTGACATGAAAAACATTGGAAAATCCCAACCATAAATGGAGGTTTATAGCTGGGAAAATCATCTATTTCAATGGGCCATCGAAAAACCATGGCTATGTTAGTCATAACCGGAGGGTATATTGAATCCAGTGAAATCCCCATGAAACTTCCCGTTCAATCCCCGTATACGAAAACATCACTGGGGGCATCACCGAAAGGAACATTGCCCAAATCATCAGGGTGGGACAGTTCCAGTTCATTGTCCAACAAATCCAAGAAGTTTAACGCGCTAAAGAAGAGACTTCTTCTCTGGCATTTTTTCTTTACATTTTTTCTCTGGTTTCCATGATAGGTCCGGTGATTTCCCATGACCATTTTACCATTTCTGGATGACTTACCCGGCCGGGTAAACGGTTACCAAAAACTGATGGGAAAGATCCACCATGCTATTAATGGGACAACTCACTATTTCGACTGGGCCATTTTCAAGTTCGCAAACTGTAAACGTTTACCAGAGGCTATCTCCATTAAATCACCATTAAATCCCATTAAATCACCATTAAATCGCTAAGTCTTGGCCGAAGCTGGAAGCTGCAAGTGTCTCACAGCTGCGAGGTTCACCTCCAACCAGGCCTATTTCTATTCCTCGGTGGCCTTTTTGCAGTTCTGCAAGCAAGGCCGGGCTGGGAAGGGCTGGGAATGGCTGGGATGCGGGACGAAACAGCTTAAACATCCAGCGACTACCCAGCGACTATCCAGCAAAAACAGTAGCGTTTGGGTGGGGTTTTGTTTGGGTCATAGCCGTATGACCATTTGCCAAAAATCGTTGACAGAAGTTTTGTACTAGTTGTTGATAATTAGTGTGGACCTTTTTGTTTTCTCCAGGCGGCACGCAGCTAAATTCACCAATTCTGCAAGGCAGCGCTAGCAAACCCGCTAGGTTTGCGCTAGTTTTTTTTTCCCTCACACCCATGTTCAAGGATATTTTTGTGTGTTCCTGTCTGCTTGTTATTTCAACATGAAGACGAGTCAAGATGTAACACTTAGCTCCTTAAACCTAAGGATGTCTTAGTGAATTTCTGTGCTACTCCACAATTTTCCTATAATTTTGACGTTGAGGCTCAACTTTGCGAATTTGTACGTAATTTTACCCGCTAGATCCCCGCTAGCAATGCGCTAGCAAAAGTTTCAAAAAACGGCTTTGGTTGACCCCTGACCCAGTCGCCACCAGAGAACTTGCAATTTATCCGGCAAGGGCCTCGCTTCGGAACGATTTATCCTGTCTGTTTGACAAAGCAACAGTGACAGCAAAGGCAACGACCAGCTTTGCAGATATTCAAGTTCCACCACTAACAACTAGCAGCGGCACCCACTTCATATAGATGCGCGTTAGCATTTACTGCAGGTTTTAGCTACGGCTTCAAACATGAAAGATCAAATGCAGGGGTTTCAGACTATTTAGGTCAGTCATGGTTCTAAAGGCACAATAAGAAGCGGCACGCAAGGAATTACGATTTATCAACAAAACCCTCGAAAAAACATTTTGGCAAACCGTCATATGGAAATATTGCTTTGAATCTTGGATAATTGCGAGTTCTGTTTGTTGTGGACAGTTTTCTTGAACAAGGACGATCGTTTTCCATTTTCTTGTTAATTCAATCCTGTTGTTGGTATATACTCCCAATTGTGTTCCAACTGAAAGGCCGAAAGGTGATTCAAGATTTCACCAATCCCTTTGTTTCTTGTCAAGAGTTGCTCGTACAGAAACCATTGAAGTTTACATTTGTATGAAATAGTGCATCCCTAAATCCAACGGTTGTATAATTACTGGTTGGTGGTTTGGAACATTTTTTATTTCCATCATATATGGGATAATCCTTCCCATTGACTAATATTTTTCAAGATGGTTAAAACCACCAACCAGATTATATATATACATATATGTTATATGTTTCTCCTGAAGGGAAAAAATTGGTGTTCATCCCATTCTCAGACAGACCCATATCCACATATCCATTCTCCATCGGTTGAATATCCCTATGTTTGATGGTTAAAGCGCTTAAATCCCCCATGAAAATGAGCATTTTGGCTGGTGAAACTGCTGAAAACCACCAGATTTTTTCGGCCCCAAAAAAAGGGGCCCGTTGTTTTCCGTTGAGAGCGCAACGTCCGAGGCAACGTGGCGGTGATTTTCCTGGGCGGCTGCATGGTGGGACTGCAGAACTTCAGCTGGACAAAGTTGATGGTTCTGGGCGTGGCACCTGGGCGGAGGATGGGATGGCCATTGGGGGGATTGAAACCATGGTACCTTTCTATGGCATCTATATGCATGGGATTTTCAATGAGATTTTCTATGGGATTTTCAATACTGGGGTTTTGAATGGGGGTTTTGAATGCGGGTGAAGAATGGTAGCTGGTTGGTGTTTGAGTGGGGGTAGTTCTCCACAGTTTTTTCCCCACCTGCCAGGTGAGGGTTGTTAGATTTTATGTCAGTTGCCTCCTCCTCCTCCTCCTCCTGCTCCTCCTCCGCCTCCTCCGCCTCCTCCTGCCTCGTCCTCCTCGTCGTCCTCCTCGTCCAACTGCGACCCGCGATCCACAGTGTTCTCTGTCGGACCTCAACCACGACCATCCACGCCCAGTGTTCCCTGCCGGACCTCAACCAGGACCATCCCCGCCCAGTGTTCCCTGCCGGACCTCAACCACGACCATCCACGCCCAGTGTTCCCTGCCGGACCTCAACCGCGAGTATCCACGCCCAGTGTTCCCTGCCGGACCTCAACCGCGAGTATCCGGGCCCAGTGTTCCCTGCCGGACCTGAACCACGAGCATCCACGCCCACTGTTCCCTGCCGGACCTCAACCGCGAGGATCCATGCCAAGTGTTCCCTGCCGGACCTCAACCGCGACTTCCAGATCGCAGTGGGCACAGCCGGACCTCAACGGCAAGAATGTCAGAAAAGATGTCAGATAGAATGTCAGGAGATATGTCAGAAAGAATGTCAGAAGATATGCCAGACAGAATGTGAGAAGATATGCCAGAAAGAATGTCAGAAGATATGCCAGATAGAATGTCAGAAGATATGCCAGATAAAATGCCATGAGATATGCCAAATAGAATGCCAGAAGATATGCCAGATAGAATGCCAGAAGATATACCAGATAGAATGCCAGAAGATGTGCCAGATAGAATGCCAGAAGATATGCCAAATAGAATGCCAGAAGATTTGCCAGATAGAATGCCAGAAGATAGAATGCCAGAAAATATGCCAGAAGATATGCCAGATAGATATGCCAGAAGAAATGCCAGAAGATATGCCAGATAGAATGCCAGATAGAATGCCAGAAGATATGTCAGATAGAATGCCAGAAGATATGCCAGATAGAATGCCAGAAGATTTGCCAGATAGAATGCCAGAAGATAGAATGCCAGAAGATATGCTAGATAGAATGGCAAATAGAATGTCAGAAGATATGTCAGATAGAATGCCAGAAGATTTGCCAGGAAGAAAATGTATAAATGTCATGGTGGGGATCACACGAAGTAAAGTATTTTTTTCTGTTTGCTCTGTTTTTTTAAAAATAAAACCCTATATTCTCTGTGCTGTTGGACTAATAAGCTTAGTGGACTCATCCATCCTTTTTTCAAGATAGTAAACATTCGTAAACCAGCCATGACCATCCCATATTTTTTTTAAAAATACATATGGGTTTGCCAAAAAAATAAGGGCTACCCCACAATTCCAATGGATTCTCACCATCTTCCCGATGAAACTGGCATTTTTTCGGGTGCGCCGCATTTTCGGGCAAAGCCACATATCAGATTCTACAGATTCTTGGTAATGTTCCCTTAGATTCCCAAGCAAATCCATATGAAAGTCCTCCATTTTTTCAGGATTCATTGTTTTTTGATGGGATAAGCGACCCCTCGAGGCCTCAGCGTGGGTTCTGACGAACCATGTGGCTTTGGGATCCTTTGGGTATCTCATTTTTTAGATAGAGATCTATTTCCTTTGGCAAAGTAGCCTCCAGTAGAAATCGCCGGGCAGTTGGAAATCCCAATGTTTTCTCATGGGGAAACCATGAAACCATCGGCTTTTTGCAAGGCGTTTGTGCCCTGAAGTAACCCAAACCTGTGCATTGAAGCAATCCCAAATGTATCTTTGGTCAAGAATGGTTGATAATGGTTGATGATGGTGAATAATTGCTCATAACTAATAACGGTTATAATACTCGCTAAATTAATAAACACCACCCAGAAACAATGGTTTAAACACACATTTGGACCACAGAATGGGGGTGTTTTGTACCAGGGGGGGGTCCATGACTAGGACCATTGAACCTGTTGAACTTCTTACACGGAGTTTCTTTTTTTTTTTAAACACACACACGCACATATATACACATAAACACACACGCACATATATATATATATATATATGTATACATACATGCACATAATAACACGCACACACAGAGAGAGATATATATATATACATACATAAGGTCAACTCCAGATTAATAAGCAGGTGGCCTGTGGCTGCTCCATGTGTGCCACTGGTGAGTGCCTTGCCCATGCTGAGAAACCAGGAGCTGGGAAATGAGCGTCCCCAAGCATATGATCATGTGGAAAGTATGTGGAAAATAGTGGTTTTAACCCTGAAATAAATTGGATTTGTCTATGAAACAAGGTGTTTGACCATAGACAATGGGATTATCATTGCGTTGTTTTGTTTAATTGTTTGTTCCACCATGGACTTATTATATTATCATTACTTCATACTGTAATGGTGGATATTTGGGAATCAAACAGTAGTGGAGATCTGACAATATGGCTGGTTGGTGGTTTCCGATCTCCAAAAATGCCGAAGTTCACCAACAAGAAGATGATCTATGGTGGTTTTGCTTCTGTTTCTTCAATTTCCCATCCAAATTAAAGTCGGGACCCTTAGTGACCCCACAAGAATTCTCCGGGAGATGGGTTGACACCAAGCAACTCATTTGGTTTGGGGTTTTCCTACATGGGAATCTCCAGTGGTCACCATGGCTGGTACCATCATTGGTTTGCAAAGCTCCGTTTGAATAGATATATAGATACCCTGAGAGAAGTCCATTTTGAGTGGACACTAATCTTCCAAGCCCTATCTGGCAGGGTTTCTGTTACTGGAGGGTATATACCCTCCATGTGGGTTGCTGGAACATCACCCAGCCAGCCAATATTTTTTTCGATAATTTCCCAGCGAAAAACACCTCCATTTTTAGTTTTCCATTGCCACCTTTGATTACCGGAGGGTACATGAAATTTGCATACATATGTATATAATGCATAGCCCAACCCATGTGATGACAACACAATGACCGACCCTGTTTGGTATATCTGAATGAATGACTTCCAGGTCTACAGCGAGTTTCAATGGAGACTTCCTTGCCGTCTCGTTGTTTCACTCAATTTTTTCGAAGGTGACATTACTGACATGACTAGCTTGTGACCTGGTTTCCTCCGATGTCGTGGTCACAATCTTCCTCCCATCCAATGCGATTCTCTGAGGATCAAATTTGCCTTGCCAGGGCTCCTGTTGCAACTTCTTTCCCAGGCGCAGGGCGCTGGCTGGGAAAGGCTAGGTGTCCTGGCAAAAACGGCCATGGGAGACCCTGTTCGGTAAATCAATGTAAATCATCTATAAATGATATAAATGGGCCATGGCTTCCATAGCAAGCTGTTCAATGATCCAAGGGTAGGGACGTTCCCATTGCCAGCCCGGGCAGATCGCGGAGTGCACCAAGAATCTCATTGGAGAAGTGGTGCTGACGGGTGCCGGCTTGAAATTGGACGTGCCACTGGGGACGAATTCGCGGGGCATAAGAAATGGAAAGCTAAAGAAGTGGGATGATCATCGAAAATCCATCCATGGATAGATGATTTTCCGGTAGGTGTCCTATTAAAAGCCTCCATTTTGACCAGGGATTTTCCGATTGCCACGTTTGAGGACACCGGAGGGTACCAACAAAACTTGGAGAAATGTGGGAACATGGGGGGCTTGAGACATCGCGTGTTGGCAAACCCTCGCTTTTCTGGGGATTCTGTTCCTAGAGATTCACCACTTCTTGGTGATTCACCAAAAAAAGGGCTGGTACCTGTCAAGTAACATAGAGATGGACGTCTTTTTCCGGTTTCGCAAGAAACATCAGACGTGGTGGGGCCTTTTTCCCCATATCTTAATCCACTGGAGGGCACATGTCCCACGGCCCTGTTCGACAAGAAGTGATTTTTGCCATGGCTGGAAGTGCCTTGGCTCCCCTCAAACTGGGATTAATTAAAGGGATTTTCCATGGGATATCAGATGGGATATCCTATGGGATGATTTTTATTGAATACGGGTTTATACCCTCTGGTGTCATCAAACATGGCATGAAAAATCGGCACATCCACCATTTTCTTTTGATGTTCCCAGCCCCGAGGTTGACCTTTGTGGCGTTTCAAGCTCCATTCTCCTTGCTGCCACTCTTAGCAGGCACCTCCGTAGACCATGTGTTGTGAAACCACCCGGAACAAAGTGCGCTTTGTCTCCTTGATATGGCGCATTTTGAAGTGTTTGAGATGATATGAGATGATGAGATGATTGATGAACTTGTACTGTAACCCTTATATACTCCCTATTACTAAATTTCCATAATAGAAACATTAAAAACCAGGTGGGATGCCCCATCAGCCCCAAGATTTAGTAGATGACTGGATTCCATTTGTCACCATAGTCCAAGGGCATCATTTTATATACAAAAATGGGCGTGATATATCGTTATATCACATTATGACCATGCTAGTTATAGCCTTATTGATGTGACAATGTGATTGTTGCATCGCCATATTGTTATATCTTATAACCATTGATCATTTTATAATAACAATTAGAACCTCATTATTCTAACAATTAGAACCTCATTATAACCAATATATTGTTTTAAGCTTATTATTATAACCTTATCGTTATATCACCCCGTTGCGGCGCCTCCACCTATCGATGATTTACGGTCTGGGCAGGAGCTTTCTGGCTGTGGACGCCTGAGGTGGCACATGACTTCGGAGTCATGTGGCATGTCAGTGGCCTCAGTGGGGTAGAAATTGCATGGCTCAACCGGTGGTTCGCTATCATCCATGTGTGTATATATATATATATGTGTGTGTGTGTACACCGTTATAACAAACGGTTTTAGTTCTTGTCATTGCTCTTGTACTATTCTAAAAAGCAGGGGGCAGAGATACCCATGTCACTTTCTCTGCCAACGAAGCTGGGTGACATGTGGTAAGGATATAGATCAGGGACGCCTGATCTACGTACCTGCTATGGTTTCAACTGTTGACTTTCTGTTCTTGTTTATGAGCTGTGCGTTGTTTCTTCGATCGCGAACCTGTGTCCGCTGAAATTCTACTGCCAGGCAACTCAGGAAATCAGGCGAAGACTATGACATCCTTCACACTTTTTACTGGCCATTACCCCACAGTGTGTCCTGGGTGTTTGACCTAAATTGGTCGCACCGTCGGTTGGTTTCGGCCAATCAAAAAGTCATGAGCGGGCATTTTCCCGTATTCCGAGTGGAGTATGAATCTCCGAAGCCGTATGCACTTCGAGTGCATTTCAAGCGTCATATGACGGAGTCAAGATTTTACACTGTAAAATCCAATCGAAGCAGCCATAAGGCGAAGCAGCCATAAGGCAGAAATTTTCGTCCAGTTCGGACAAAGCAGACATAAGTCGAAGTTCCCAGCACCACGGGTGCAATACAAGTGCTTTTTGGTCTGGTCGGAGTCTCAGTAGCATTTTCACCTCACTCGTCATCGTCATCAGGTTCTTTTTAGGCCATGTATTCATGCTCTTAGGCAGGCTCCTTAGGTTTGTTTTACCAGGTATAGTACATGGTTCAACGTTTTGTTTCTCACATCACTCATCATCGTCATCAGGTTCTTTTGAGGCCATGTATTCATTCTCTTAGGCAGGCTCCTTAGGTCAGTTTTACTAAGTATAGAACATGGTTCAACGTTTTATTTCTCACCTCACTCATCATCGTCATCAGGTTCTGTTTAGGCCATGTATTCACTCTCTTAGGCAGGCTCCTTAGGTTACGATATAGCAAATGGTTTAGTTTTGATGAATCAATCATGTTTTGATACAGCAGGGAATTTTGTTATGCAGATTGAGCCAAACCTTGTCGGAACCTTTTCGGTCAAGAGCTCAGCAATTACTCAAGCTCTTTCTGCAGTTCCGGAACTCAGAATTTCCACTTGCCAATGTACCTGTGCGATTATTTGTTCTTGACGATGAGATGGAATTACAAATGAGGTCTTGGCTGTAAGGCTTTATCGTACAGTCTTGTGCATCGTTTTTGAACTCAAACGTACAGCATTTGCATACGCATTTTCTTTGCTGTTAGGATTTACGACTTATAGAACACGGTTTAACTTTTTGCTTCTCACATCACTCGTCATCGTCATCAGGTTCTTTTAGGCCAGGTATTCATTCTCCTAGGCAGGCTCTTTAGGTCAGTTTTCTTAGGTAAAAACTAGGCAACTTGCGGTTTTGCCCCATTTCGGGGCTAACGTGTGTGTGTACACCGTTATAACAAACGGTTTTAGTTCTTGTCATTGCTCTTGTACTATTCTAAAAAGCAGGGGGCAGAGATACCCATGTCACTTTCTCTGCCAACGAAGCTGGGTGACATGTGGTAAGGATATAGATCAGGGACGCCTGATCTACGTACCTGCTATGGTTTCAACTGTTGACTTTCTGTTCTTGTTTATGAGCTGTGCGTTGTTTCTTCGATCGCGAACCTGTGTCCGCTGAAATTCTACTGCCAGGCAACTCAGGAAATCAGGCGAAGACTATGACGTCCTTCACACTTTTTACTGGCCATTACCCCACAGTGTGTGTGTACATGACTATGTGTATATATATATATGTCTATACGGGGACATTCCATCTTCTGAGTGGTTTATAAGTTCTTTAAATAATTCGCCAGTTACGAACTGGTGTTTGGAATCCAATTGCAATTTTTCATATTCAACGAACCCGCTGAAAGCATCGCTTCGCACTTTCGGAATCAGATGAAGGGAACACTTACCTGCAACTTCGCACTTACCTTAGACCAAGCCAATTAATCACAAAAACTTCGGTTTCCTGGAATCGAATGGACAGAAGAACAGTAAACAGCCACCGGTGGCCATGGTTTCGGCCGGGTAAATCCATCCATTGAATCGATCATAGCTGGTTGGTGGTTTGGAACATGACTTTTATTTTCCACTCAGTTGGGAATGTCATCATCCCAACTGACCTTAACTTCACTCCATCATTTTTCAAAGGGGTAGGTCAACCACCAACCAGCATCATCAACCACTATTCATAGTAGTCATTGGTTCTTATGGTTATTAAATGTTATTAACCACTATTGATGATGGATGATCATCTAAATAGGCTTGGTGATAGCCCTCCATCTTCAGGTTCTGTTGCTGAACGCCTGTCTGGCCTTTGCCCTGAACGTTCTCATTGCCTTGACCCTGACACTGGCCCGAAATCGATGGGGATGGCAGCCTGAAAATTCAAGGGCTGACACTGGCCCAATATCATAGTTGCTCCAACCCATTCTAGGTAAATTATAGCCACAATTGGCGGGGGGCATATGTATATATATATATATAATTATATAATTATATATATATATATATTTAATTTTACGTCATGTACGTCTTTACCTACCCAGATTTTTCACCTTGTATCAGCTTGGGGCCCTGGGGCGTGAGGACGTGGGATAATCATCGTCTGGTTTGTGGTTTCAAGCTTTCCAGGCAAACATGGAGTTAACTGAATTAACCAACAAAACAGATGGGTGAGATAGCCAAGAAAACTTGTGATATGAGTCAACTTGGTGGCTTCACACACGCGCACACACACACACACATATATATATAGATATGTATATATACATTTATATATACATATGTATATATACATACATACAATATGTATATATATATATACATACAATATGTACATATGTATATACATATAATTATATATGCATATTTACTTCAAAGAATATGGAAATAAGATTATGATCCCGAACGACTACAGTAATTGTTGAAATGGGTATATAGGTGAACCCTCAACAAGTCATTTTATATACGTTCGATGATTTATGTTTAAGTATATACTTCGATTTCGTTGGCTAACCTATATATCATATATAATACATTCAGGCAGATGCAGTTCCCGTTTGATAAGTAGGCTGTGGCCATAGTTGTGGTATCCCAAGTTATGCGGGGTGTTTCACCATGGGGATATCAAATGCAATCCCAGGTACTCATTGATGGTTGAAATCCCTCATTTTTCGCCATTTTTTAGGGGAATCCACCATCAGAATCTGGGTCTACTTCTTGATCTTCTTGTTTTAGGCAACGCTCCTAACGTTGATCCAAGTCTACGACATTTCGCTTATTTGATGGGCAAAACCTACGTTTTTTTTTTTGGGGGGTTAATATCTATATACATATATAGATATTTATACTTACACACACACACACGCACACACACACATATATATATACACATACATATACTCAAGCTGTAATATGTCTTATAATCAGCCCGTGACCGAATCGATCTGCCAGGAAACGGCTCTCGGCCCTGTCCTTCGTTCTCATTGGCTTAGCCAAGGTGCCTTGGAATCCCAGCCTTGGGGGTGGTTTATCGTGGTTTATAATGATTATATATAGAATAACAACCATTGGATTGGAATAATGATATTAATAATAGTTGGATAATAATAGAATGGTGGTTTATTACAATAATAATTGTTATTATATCATTATTACTGTGATTGTTTTACTGACATTACATCATGTACATATCAAATAGATATGGAAAGCGAGGTGCACACGCACCAATATTACCCTGGGGCAAACTGGCACAGACATGCACAAACCCATATTCATATCATTACATATCTATCAATGGTCGATTTTCCCTATCTATGCTAATAAATAGTATAGGGCATCTATCTAGGCAAATTCTAAGATTAATAAGGACCTCACAAGGAGGTTACATCAAGATTTCGTTTTTGGAAGGGGCGTTTTTCAAACATGGTTTCTTTCTGGAAATTGCAGTCATTTGCCCCGATACATTCAGATGTTGGCTGCGGTTGATCCATACCAACCCCGGAGTAATAAACGGTTGGTGAAAAAAGGGAGTTTGTCACCAAAAATAGTGACGATTTGCTAGTGACTGCTAGTGAAATGGTAGCCACTCCAATTAAACGGCCTGAGGGACTGATTATCCCATGGTTGACATTAGCCTCCAATGAACCAACGCAAACATGGAACATCCACCATGACTGCAGATCACTTCCGAATGGGAAACCCATGGATTTCTACAGCTATACACACGTTGAGTGGAGGGACAAATTGTCCAGATATGATATATCATATATCCATTCCAGATCATCCCAGAAGCGAAAGAAAGGAACATTTGCCCGACTTCTTCCCTCCCCATTATTTGGGGTGGGTAGAGGCAATCGTTGCCGGTTAAGATGTTCCCTCATTGAAATCCAAATCTTGGTTGCGTATCTCGTCTGGTAATTTAACGCATCCATGGAAAACTGCAATTTTTGATAGGTGAACCATTGAACTGAATGGGTCATTTTCTATAGTGTAAACGTTTCCTGGAGGGTAGTTACTACATTTACCAGATATAATATTCCATTGCAAGCCCATTGAAGTTGAACACATTCTATTGAAATCCCATCAAATTCCATTGGGTAGATCTCACTAAATCCCATTTGCATGCCATTAGAATATCATCAACTTTCTGTGAATGAATTCCGTTAAAATCCCATTTAAAATCCCATCAAATCCCACAAAAATCTCCATTCAATTCCATGAGAATCTCATAAAAATCCGATCAAATCCCATTAAACCTCACTCAATCCCATGGACATCTCCTTTTACCTCACAAAACATCCATTTCATGTCCATCAAACCTCCACTCCATCCGACCTCCACCCGGATCATCGACTCAGGACGTGACCATCGTGAGCTCCTCCTCGGTGGTCTTTGGGGATCCCATTTCGCATCAGCAGATGGTGGGTTTTCTGGTGACCCTTTTTGGCATGGCCCTCTGGAGCCCCTGGGATGGATCTGAAAAGCACCAAAAAAAAGCCATGAATGAAACGATGGAAATGGGAAAAACATTGGAAGAGTTATGAAAAAGTTGCTATGGATGTCTAGAATTTGTATGGGAATACTATAGTCTGGATATATCATGATTATCATGATATATCGACCATGGTAGCTTCCGCAAACCATCGAATTCACCGAGTGAACGAAAGCTTCTCCAAGCAATCGCTTGGCTCTCACAGTTATCTGAGTTGAAGAATTGAAGGAATGGTGGGAGAAAATGAAGGGGAACTGTCGGAAATGTATGGAGAAATATCGGAAAGAAAAGGGATTTTGAGCATCGAAGATGGTGGAGGATGCGGATTTCAGCAAACATGCTAAAGAATTGGGCTTTAGCCATTGTAGGAAATGAACTTTCACAAACGGATATTGGAACTGGGTTTGCCTGAAAATGGTTAAGACTGAGCTCAAAATGCGGTTTGGAAATCACGATGTTCCTGGTTGAAATGTGGCGCAATTGATGGAAATTGGTTATCCCCTCATTCGGAATGTCCGAGGCCACCTGAAGTTAACAGAGCAAGCCCAGAACGAGGCGAGGCGAGTGCGGAAAAACAACGCCACAGCTGTAGAACACCATTGAAATAACATAGCTTTATCAACTTTATCAATGGTAATTCATCAGAATTCATCTTGAAAGCCATGGCTTCCCAATCGCTATGTTAGGCAATGTTCAACAACCAGAGGGCTCCATGCCGCAGGAGATTCCCATCATCAACAAGAAAGCGGAGAACGCCTGAGCCGCCGAGCAACGGGGGCCTCCATGGTGAGGAAAGGTCACCACCTGGGATGGGATGTTTACCACCAACGGGTGCAGGATTTCGCTGGCCCATCCACCGTAGTTTCTGAAGTCCGGTTTGTTAAAACTGGACTTTCCGGATCTTTCTGGGATAGAAACTTGTTTTGAAGGTACCTGTTGGACTGAAAATCGTCGCATTTTTTTCTGTGGCCTTTTCTCACGCCGTGGTCCCAGCATTGGAAGATGAGTTCAGATCCCATGCCGCGTGGCAATGGCGATCGATTGGCCAGCACTGGTGGCTGCTGTACAGGCAGCATGCCGAAGAAAAGGCACATGAAAAAAGGGAGTTGGCCAAGCAACGGGGTTGGCGCTTGGCTATTGGCCACACATCAGAATCAGATTCCCCACCAGTCAGGTGTCTAGGGCTTCATCACCCAAGCCGTCCGCGGGGCCGGGTAGATAGCCACGATCGCGTCTAAGGCGGTCAATGGACGACGCTGGAGGATGGGCATGGGCCGCCAAATGGCGTGATGATTTGCCGATGATTTCCATGGTGATTTCCATAGTATACCCTCTGGTAAACATACAAAAACATGCAAAAACAATGGAAAGATCCACCATTTTCAATGGGTAAACCCACTATTTCCGGACAAAGCAACATCCATGCTTGGTTGGTACAATATGGTTCAATCCCAATGTTGAATGATAGATCCCGATTTTTCAAACAAGTTTTGATGGTCACATCTAGCATTTTCATAGGGATTTTTAAGGAGCCCCCAAGGTTCCCTTTCGGTGCCCTACTGTCCGTAGCGTACTTCTCGGCGCAGAAGTTGGGCCGCTGAACGTGTCGGACAACGAAGATGAACAGGGAGAAGAGGAGCCCATGGGGGATCTTATCATCTATATGGGGGTTTCCATGGGGGTATTCCAAAATGGATGGTTTATTTCATGGAAAATCCTATGAATAAATGCATGATAACTAGGGGTACCGGGTACCACCATTTTAGGAAACTTCAATATATATATATATATATCTATATCTATATCTACATATATCTATAGATCTTATCTTATTCATATCAGTATCCTACATATGAATTAGTGGGATCCCACGTATATTCCTATTAATCTTCTATATAGCTATCTAAATTATGTTGACATCACGTCGTGACCGAACCCTGGAACCATGGTGAATGTACAGAGAAATCATCCCCAGCCATGGCCGAACTATTCAGGTTAGTGAACTATGATAACTTATTTCAGTCCTAATCAACAACCCCCGGGCTCTTTAAGTGCGGAGGTCGTACTATATTTTCGTCGGCAGTTTTCGAGTTTTCTGGATTGGGAAATACGTCGCCTGAGATTTTTAAATCGGGATTGGATGGTTTATCCATCCAGACTTGGTATTATGCTTCCCAAAAAAAACATATGTGAACCATAATTATGATATCTTATGATATTAAGTTAGATAAATTATAAACTCTAATAATAATATATAATAATAGATTTATTATTAATCTAGATTTAAATAAGATCCAAATTTTGACGCGGCATGTGTCCGCTTGGGGTATCCTCCAGATGGCCATTGCATGGGGTTGGGTCGCCAGGACCCACGGCCCACGAGCTTTGGCGAGTGGCTCGAATCCTTCACTCGGGTACAGCAAGTGCCAGGTGCGATGTCAACGGGCGGAATTTTCTGGAAGCATCTTGGGGGTTAGGGGAGGAAGCTTTTAATGATTTGAAGCATTGGAAAATTATGGAGAATTGATGAAAATTGTGACGCTTGTACTCAATTGTAGTTGCTTTGAGTCTTTCTATGGTTGTTGTCTGTTGCTACGTTCGGTTCAACCTTCATTTGCGTTAATAACAACGCTCTGGTACCATATCCCCAGTCTGTTGTTTGCTGGCCACTCTTGGCTTTTGATGGAAAGTAGACCCACCATGACCATTGTTTGGTATATCTTGGGGCTGCTTGGGCCAAAAAAAACAGAAAACATCCGAGAATGTGCCTATATATCACATGTGGCATATCATTAAAACAACAGGTCATTATACCAGCATGTTTGTTGGTGAAATCAGCGTTTTTCATGGTTAAACCTACCATAAACCCAAGGAGTCATTGGGGGTTTTCGCTGTCCCCGCGCCAGCCCTTATGGTCATGCGACTCATTCAGCCCTTGGGCTTGCGGTTGGATGTGGCGGCCAACAAGGCATGACCATGGGCGGGTTTTTTCCCACCCAAAGTGGCGATTTATCCACCGAAAATGGGGAGATTTAACATGATTTAACCATCGAAGAAAAACGGGTTTAACGGTTTGAAATTGGGGTTGAACCGCCAAATATTGGGCCATAGAAGATGATTTTCTGCATTCGGAGATGTTCGGAGATGGTCATTTTTGGGTTCCATGTTACTTCAATTCAGTCAGTAGGGTGTAATGCTTGGTGTTTGTTGGCAACAAACACGGTGACAAGACTTGCAAGAATCATCGAATATCACAGGGCATCAGTCACATCAAAAAAAGATCATCCCAAAGTCGGAGTTAATTCTTGCAGCTTCACCACTCATCGAATGCTCAATACCCTCTGGCAAACATACAAAAAGCCATTGAAAATGGCCATTGAAATAGTGGATTTACCCATTAAAGATAGTGATTTTCCATAGCTTTTGGTATGTTTACCAGAGGGTAAACCCTTCACAAACTGCTTCGCTGAAAATGGGGGATCCGTTGCAGGTGCAATTGAACCGAAAGTTAGCAGAGCTCACAGACGTATCTTGGCTGCGATCAATGCTGATTGGGATGGGAAGGATTTCCCAAAGCCTGACTTTTCAGAGTGAACTATTGCAATTTACCCAAGAGAATCCAAGAGGTATAGAAGGTATAGATAGATGTTCATCACCCCAAGATTTCATACATGTCTTGACCCATCCACTTTAGGAGAATCCTTGATTTTTCCAACCCAATTTTGGATTGGGAGCTTCGTCAAGGGATGTTTCAACAAAATCCCCTGTCTATCCTTTCCGACCAATTGATGGTTGAATCCCAATTCTTCCTGAACTCCCAGCCCGAGCCTTGTTGGCGAACTCGAAACATCGTCAAAGGTCAACTTCTCTGTGGCATAAAATCACCGGTGAATCTCATGGAGATGAATAGATTTGAAAATCGTGACGTCAATGGTGATTACTTTATTAAATCAATGGTGATTGCAATTCAGATATAATTAATATATATTAATATCAATTAATAGTGAAATGTCATGATTCATGAAAATCGAGTCGTGTCATGAATGGTTCGGGTTACCATCCCAGAGGAGAACATGGTTAAACGGTTCCTGCAAACGCTCAAAAACGCTTGTGACTTGGATCACCCTGAGAAAGTAACTGTCAAGAACCATGAATATATAGAAATTAATATAAGTATATAACCATATATAGATAGATATATTGACATATATATATACACCTGTATGAAATAGCATGAATATACACCACTTACTATTTCCATACAGGTTTAAAGTCTCGGTTTTTTTTTCCGTGTAAAATCCGACCAGGACGCGGGTCTGGACTTCCCCAGTTTTCTGCAGCTCATGCAGTGCCTAGAACTGGAGATTTCTGGAGATTTCTGCCTGGTTTTCTGCCTGGGAGACTGCTGGGAGATAGCTGATTTTAGGGTTGATATTAGCTGATTATAGTGGTTTTATATATATATATAGCTGATTTTGTGATTACGCTGGGTGTAATTCGATACAACGGGATATGGGGGATTAGACTCATGATTTTATGGGATATTCTGGGATATAATTACGATGTCACCAGCAGTGTGGCGCCCCAAATCGTTAACCAAGTGGCTATAGTTAGCTTCTACAAACCAACAAACGTAGTCAGTTGATCTAGAAAATTGAACACCATGGCTGGATCAATGAGGGGGTTGCCCCGAAGAGTGATATGTATATATATATATACTATACATGTCTGATGAAAAGCTACCGCCCCATAAATGCAGAGAGAGAGAGAGATATATATATATATCACTCTGAACTCTTGGAGAGAGCGATGGAGAGAGAGATATGTATATCACTATTGAACACCGTGCCCAAGCATGTTGTTTTCAGTCAGGCACGTGGCATTACCATGAAAAGATGATATGTCTATAAACCAAGAGTTTACTCTTTGGTTATTTAACATAGCCATGGAAAATGGCCCATTTATAGCTGATTTTCCCATTAAAACCTCCATTTATAAGGGATTTTTCCATGGCTATGTTAAATAACCAGAGGGTATTTTCCTCCATCCTTTCGTTCAATCCCAAATTTGCGGTGATCCCTTTGCCACTTGTAACTCCTCTTGGGTTGATACGAATCATTTGTAACGTGTCGTTTTATTGATGGGTAGCTGGCGATTAAACAGGGTAAGTCATTTCTCAGGACGAAACCCCAATTTGGGCACCTGACATTTCCCAGACGTGATTATTTTTGAGACTTACAAAGTAGCAAGGAGCCCTTATGTGAAAAACAATTCAATTTGTCGTTTCTTTTTAAATGAATTCAACATGCGGATTGAGTTTACGCTGAAGTCTATGATTTCTGGACCACTTGGGCCAGAGTCCGGCTCTCGGAATCATGAACAAAATCAAACAAAAATAAAAACAAAACATAAAACTTATGATATTTTCAAATGTTTTTTTTTTTACGATTTGAAATGTGTGAGAAGATCGTAACAATTTCATTAGAAAACACGTAAAAACATCATAAAGTTAATCGTTTTTTTTAAATGAACATTTATGGTTTTTTAATGTTCATTTTTATGTTTTTTGGTTTAAATATATATTTTTATGATTCCGAGAGCCAGACGCTACTGGGGCCAAGCGGTTCAGAAATCATAAATTTCGTCATAAAAAATCATAAATTCAATCATAAAACCAAGACATTTAAACAACATATCTGAAATTTTACTGTTTTTCCAACATAATGAAATCATTAATCAATCATAAAAAAACATACATTTATATAATTCTTGTTTTAGCTAACTTTCAAAGTCTCAAGATTAGTTGAGAAAATGCACAATTTGTTTGACAAAGTGGTTTCCGTGACTCATTGCTTGAGTCAGACTTTTTGATGATTGAATTCCATTTTTAAGCAATTTTTGATGGTCAATTCCCAATCTGTTCTCAACTTTTGTTGGGGACATCTCCATTTTTAATCTTGTTTATAGAACAAACATGTTCAAACCCGATGTTTTTACATTTTTGGATGGTCAACTCTATCTTTTTAATTCATTTTCCATCACCCCCAATTAACTATAGTTATATCTACCATAAACCACAGTTGAGTTGAGCCACTTTTTTAGGCAACTGAACGCGAGCTCGACTGGGGGCCCCATCCTGCAGGTGGATGTTAGACAACGATTTCTGCGACATCAATCGCCTTGCGGCAAAGCACTTGGAGCATCAATCCACGGCAAGAGAGGTGCGGCAAAGCGAATGGTGCGGTCGAACGAAACCATCGGTGATGGAAGATGTGGGATCCCCGATCTGGGATATTGATCTGGAAATTTATGTAGATAAACATGTTTTCATGGTATAAGAAAATTGTTGATATTGAAATGGGTTGTATACCATCTGTGAATATACCTAGGCTCCTAGGAATCAAACACGGCTGGGAAATCCTCCATGGTAACAACAGCAATGGTGATTTTCCATGGCCATGTTTGATGACCAAAGTGTATCAGTTCAGCTTTACAGCAACTCCCAAAAAGATGCCAAAAAGCCATTCACATAGATATAGATACAAAAATAGGAAAATAGATAGATAGATAGATTAGATTAGATTAGATTCGATTAGATTAGATTAGATTAGATTAGGTTAGATCATAAGATAAGATAAGACAAAATAAACAAGAGTATGCGATAGAAATATGTATAGATAGATAGATAGATAGACAGACAGACAGACAGACAGACAGATAGATAGATAGATAGATAGAAAGAAAAATAGATGACGATATATAGAAAATAGATATAGATATAGATAGAGATATAGATAGATAGATAGATAGATAGATAGATAGATAGATAGACAGACAGACAGATAGATAGATAGATAGATAGATATATAGAAAATAGATATAGATATAGATAGAGATATAGATAGATAGATAGATAGATAGATAGACAGACAGACAGATAGATAGATAGATAGATAGAAAAATAGATGACAATATATAGAAAATAGATATAGATATAGATATAGATATAGATATAGATAGATAGATAGATAGATAGAGAGATAGATAGATAGATCGATAGACAGGTAGGTAGATAGGTAGATAGGTAGATAGGTAGATAGATTGATACATTATTAATAGCTATTTATTTTTACACATCCAGGCTATAACTTTTTTGACGTCGCAGGACTCGGGAAGCGACTTCGGTGAAGACGAGGAGCAATCCAAGAGTGTCTCCTTCGCCGCTTGGATGTCTCGGTGACGGATGGGTTTTTCTTGGGATGTCCCATGGTCTAGGCAGAAAAAATGGACAATTTATGTCAAATTTATGTGGAACATGGTGATTTTCATAGGCTTTGGATGGATTTAGGAATGAAACACATGTTAAAAGTTAAAAGTTTGTGATTTAATCCACGAAGAATCGCGGATTTAACCAATGAATCATGGGGATTTAGACATAAAATGATATTTTTTTTTGGCACTGGATCTCTAAAAACTGGTGGCACTGGAAATCATAAGCCTTTTCAAGGTGGGAAGACATCCCGGTCCGACGGTCCATCAGGTGGAGCGTTGGCGTTCACAGCGCCACATGTCAGTGATTTGAGCCACTTGGCGGCCTGTGAGTGCCGGGTGGGGTACAGGCGGTAGAAACTCACATGGGGAATGAGGAAACCATGTGGATTTGCACAAAAATTGGGGATATGCTATGTGTCATCTACATATCAAGTGGGGGTTTACCCATGAACGCTTGGTGAAAACTCGAGTTTTTTTGAGGCAAACATGGGTTCAACAAACGAAGGGATTTCATTGAGATTGCCTTGGTGCACCTGCAGAGCCATCGTTCAATACATTCCGCTAGGCTTTCGTTTGAGGTGACGGAATTAAGAAACAACCAATTTTTATTTTCGGTGATATGCAGCTGCTGTGGACTGACTTCCGGCATAGCTTCTGCCCAAACTCCTCCTCCTTTATTTTCGGTGATATGTATATGCATGTACGTAGACTATTTACATATACATACATGAACACGAATATATATATATATATATGCATATGATTTCACATATGTGTATATATAAATACGAACATCTATGAATACATGAGTAAATAGATTACATAAAGCAGGATAACTATAGAATATGCACTGCTGCGCTGCAGACGCACACATTGGTTCTGTCCATATCCCCATTGATGTCCGATGCCGAGGTCAAGTGGGTGGCCCCGGTGCTCCTTTTCTTGAAAGGAAAGGGTGCATCTGGGATCCTGTCGATATCGATAAGCGATGGCCATGGCTGTGTTCCATGAGGTTTTGGACTTGGAAGGGCTACAAGTCCAGCATTCCAGGCCCTCAATGGATTTGGAAGGGACCCAGTTTGATTGGAACAAACAAGCGTTTCTTGTTGCTGGGAATCTTTCATGACCAACATTTGGAAATTTGATGAAATTTGGACCATTTTTACACACCATTGTTTCCAGTCATCGGTGAAGCAAGGAACCAGCTACGTCGCACCACAGTTTTTTTTAGGACGCTCTCGCGAGCCCGCTCCGGTGAGGGAAAACGCCAGTCGAAGGCCAGGATCAAAGTCGTTTAGCAAATGTGATTTAACTTGAATGACAAAATATGGAATTGAAGCATCCAAGATGTGGGACATGTGGGTTGCAACCAGCAAATTTAATCGAACTTGATTGGTGCACATGAGTTTTTTTTCACTCAAACGATGTTGAATCTCAGCAGGGTCGTGTGACCTATGAGTTACCCGAGGTATGGGCCCGGAGGTAAATCAAAACAGCATCAGCTGCTGAAAAAAAATACCCAAATGACAATGGAAAATCCTTGTTTTGAGATATTTGAGTAGGAGAGAAATAAAGGGAAGTAAAGATAATGAAGGGATATAAAGGCTTGATTACCAGAGGGTGTGCGTTCATAAATGTGTTCGCATATCAAGATGTGCCAACAATATCTAAGAACATCAAATATCTCCGGCCTTTCTCACTAGGCAAACCAATGACTGGGGGTGTTTTCTGATCGATGGGCAAAGCCCGGGTTCCAACCAGTTGTGACCAATTCGGATGATTTTTTGCCATAGGAAAGTAGCTTTTTGATAGGGAAAACCCACCATGATTGTAGATCATATTCCAAATGGAAAAGCATTGCTTTTCATGGCTTTGACATGAATTTCCCGGAGGGTAGCTTGCAAAAAAGCAGCTTTTGATATTCTCCAAGATGAGCAACGCATATATTCTCCAACCTCGATCTGATCCCCATGATGCCAGGGTCCAGCAGTTAAAAGAGTAGCATTTGAGATCCCAACTGATAGTGGGCAGTGAAAATTCTTAGTCAGAGACCTTTTTTCCTTCAAGGATGATCTGTACCTATGGCATGTTGGCCGGTGGTGTGATGGACATTTTTTAAGTTGGCATTTTCTTTGATTGGATGAATTATGATGAAATGCTTCAGCAAATTGGATGCTTTGAAGCCCCCAAGCAGTAAATTGAAACACAAAGCTCTCATCGGGCAACCGGTCTCGCTGTGTGCACCGGCAAACGTCGGTGGGCTTGTCGTTGTGTCAGGGCCAGGTCTCCAAAAAGAAGGGACCAGGGTGACCAGGCAGTTGCAAAGTTCCAAGTGATGCGGTTCTGAGGCTTTGCAGTTCAGATTTTGCAGTTCTTTTACCGTGTAAAGAATCGAGGTCTTGGGGAGAATTGTCATATAGATAGAATCATGTAATGGTTGTATGAGCAGATGGTTAAGGGTGGGTGGTGGGCGTTGGTTTTGGCGTGCGGTTTTGGACTCTTAATCGTGAATCCAATCAATGCGCTCTCCAGCATCTACTACTGGTAGGCAGCTTCCCTGAAGACAGCAGTATTCTTGCAAACCCATGCGTTTCTTCCTGAAAAGTCTAGGATGTCTTACCAAGCAAACGTAGTATTGCTTTGCAACAAGAATGCAAAACACATGACTTTTTCAAATGTCTATCTATATCTATATCTATATCTATATCTATATCTATATCTATATCTATATCTATATCTATATCTATATATGTAAAATTAATAGCGTTACTTAGAGCAGCTCTTTCTTAAAGCATATGTTGCAAAAGATCCAGCTTTTGGACCCGGAGCATATATATATACATATGTAGATAGGTATGCACACATAATCACACACACAAATATATATATATATATACAATATGTAAATATACATGCACACACATGTATAGTGCCTATCATCATAGCGAAGGTCGAAGGATAGGTATCCACAAATTTCGCTGCGATGCTCAGATGGGACGCGAAAAAAACGCTCGATCTCCATCAGCTTTGGATGGCTGATGGCCACCCAGAAAATGAGTGATAGGAACAGATAGAGTTACCGGGATGTAAATATCATGGTTATGTCCCTCTGGTTCAATCAAACAACTAGAGGGTACATGATGGTGTTCATATTGATTTATGATGTTTATATTGATTTATAGGTAAATAATCATCATAAATCAATATAAATCATCTACCAATGGGCCATTTTCGGTAGCTATGTTGAATAACCAAGCAACATCAGCAACCATCAGCTGGAGGCCTCCATTGGTTGGTTGGTTGATGATAGGGGATTATATGGGGGATTATAATATATTATAATAATCCAAGAACCGGGAATTTCTATAAGCCAACCAGTATTTCATGGAATGATAGAGGGATTTTGAACACTGCGAAAAATTGACAACCCATTTTGGCTTCAAGACAGCTCTTTCTTCGTATTGTTTCTTCGTATGCTCAGAACGGCAGGTCATTTCTAGAGACCTTCATTGGTTCTTCCTGTGAAGGGGAGGCTGTGCAGAATTGGCGGCGAAAATGTGGAGCTACGATGGGGATTTCCGCTGGGTTTGCTACTATGGTATATAGCACCCCCAAAAGGAGAGAAAACTCAGGTCCCATTAAAAACCTGATATTTTTTTAAACATATTTTTAGAGGTTACTAGACATGGAAAGAGGTGAGCCTAAGCAGCTAAAGATTTTTTTTTGCATTTTTTTTGGTTGCAAAGCACTATATATGAATATATATAGTTTCAGAGACCTCATGAGTGATATGAGTGGGACTATTTCTGATGGTCGATGTCCTACCTCGGAGTACGAAAGGTAGCGCGACCACAGGCCAAGTCAAGTCAGACGTGTGGTCCTCCTCCCCCTCCTCGTCCTCCTCATCCTGATCCATCATGAACTATTGGCATTGAAATTTGATTTGTGCTTTGGTTTATTTTGGTTTGCACTATTCACTATGCACTTTTTCATCTATATTCGTCTCATCATTCAAAAAGGTATAGGTCTTCACCCATCCAATCTGGAATTGGTTCAAGTGAAAATCTTCAAAAAAAAACCCATTCCTGGATGGCCCCATGTTAGATTTCAGGGGTGTTTTTCTTGTGGGTTTTCTAAAAATAGGGGAACAACGGAACAACCAGAACCAGTGGTTTCCCCATGAAAAATGACAAACTCACTTGGATAATAAATTGGGGTCCCACCATAACTGCGGAAAACCATATTCTTGGTTGGAAATTTTCTACCAGCATGATTGCATGATATCCTATTTATATCCCCATCATATCCCCAGCCCCCAGAAAGATAGACAAGTTGCCATCCAGGATGTTAGTAAGGAGTTTTAAATGATGCTTCCGCCATAATTTCATATACCCTCTGGTAAACTAACAGTTTGCTATTGAAAATGGCTCAGTCGAAATAATGGATTTACCCATCAAACATGGTGGATCTTTCCATGTTTTTTTGTATGTTTACCGGAGGGAAACTTCATATATCTTCATACCATATCCAGGGTTCCAACTTTTGGGGGGTTTCTACATGCATAAAAATGTGCCTATCATATTGATTCTTCAATATAAATGTATTTTAACCAATATTAACCAATAAACCAATACTAAATGTGCCATTTCTTACTGCTTTCCAGGGGAAATGTTTGGCCTCAGGTTGATGAGCCCATTTCCCCGGTGGCGCAAGAGGCGATGAAGGAAGAGGCCGACTGAAGGGACCGGGGATGAATCCAAGTTGTAAGTGCTTAACATAGTATAAACGATGTATAAGCGATTTATATATGGCTTATATGGCTTATATGGGTGTTATATATATATATATATGAGCTATATATATATATATGTCAACTATTTTGATATATTTCAAATATCCTGAGCTAATCAGAGTTTGCCAGCCACATTATAGTTTGTACTAAACACTTTAATACGAACTATTTTTCCATAAGCTACTTTAGTACTAACTTGTGCCTATGCTATTTCAGTACCAACTGTTTTTCCTATAAAATGGAAGTACATGAACCTGTATACCCAGCTCCGAATCCAATTGTTGCAGGGTATCTAAGATTTGCCATGTACAAGCATCTCAAAACTAATGTCTTGCATCATTTTTAGCCATAAGACTGGTTTTTTGGACAATTTTTAGCGGACCTGTTCCCCTTGCTGGTGAGATGCTTGCTGGAGAAGCAATCGGGCTGCACATTATATATACATACATATATATATATGCATATATGCCAATATAGCTGGCAAGGGTGCATCCCAGTGTTTTTCTTTGCCCAAGTGTCAACATAGATATTTTTTGATATGTTTGTTGGATGAAACATGAAGGCATATGGCCTCAAAAGTCATTCCTACCGGACATTTGGGTTTTGAGATCACATGTGCTTGCCAGCCACACACACATGTATATATATATATATATTATGTATATACATGGTATGTGTATGTATCCCATTCAAACCTCGTGTCGGGGGGATGGGATCATTGGAGTCATTGTTCCAGCACCTCGCCAAGCGGACCAAGCGGACCAAGCGGACCAAGCGCGGCCAGAAGAGTTCACCACAGATGATGATACAGGGAGGATCTTAAACAGATTGGTCCATTAAGTATACCATATAAATAATGAATCCATATCCATATTAAATAATCATATGGATTCATGATTTATATGGATATGGATTGATGAAAAACCATTGAGTATCTAAAACATAATGTCCATTAAGTATATAGATATGTCTATCATTGTCTACCATCATCCATATAATGTTGGAAACACGGTGCCATAAACCATCCATATGGGAATGGTAACCATACCACCTATAAACATGGTGATTTGGGGGATTGTTTATTATGTAATCCGGCACCTTTTTTTTTGATTACTATAGACGCATTATTATAAAGGTGGTACTCCATCATGGTATATGATTAACACTGGTTGGTTTATCATGCCCCCCATTAAAACATGGTCATTTTTTAGGGGTTAATGATGGTTAATGCCCAAGTTTCACACACCTGGGAATCCTCAAGGTAGAGACCATCTCAAATGTCTTGGCGCTGGAAAAGACAAGCCTCTAGAATCTGCAAGCCTCCCGGATCCCTCCAAGTCATTTGGGTTTGTCTGAAAATAGTGTACCCCTAAACCCAATGGTTAATGATCATTATCCCTATTAAATGGCTATAATTGGGAATATACCCTATTTTCAGACAAACCCATTTGCCAAAAAGTTTTCGCACCCCAAATCCCGATCCATCCCGATCCCATGAAACCATGAAATCCGATGACATAAATCCAAGTCATTCGGCGAATTCGGCCATCATTTTCGGCTTCCATCATGGCGACGTTTTCTGCTGGTGGGGTAGCCCAGGTGCAACGGTTCTTCCTTTCCCAGTGGCTATAAATGATGGTTATAAATGATGATGAATGGTTCATAATGGTTAATAATGGTTAATACTTGTGAATATTGGTTAATAACGGTTAATACTTGTGAATAATGGTCAAAAATGGTTAATACTTGTGAATATTGGTATTGGTTAATAATGGTTAATACTTGTGAATATTGGTTAATAATGGTTAATACTTGTGAATATTGGTTAATAATGGTTAATACTTGTGAATATTGGTTAATAATGGTTAATACTTCTGAATATTGGTTAATAACGGTTAATACTTGTGAATATTGGTTAATAATGGTTAATCATACTGGTTGATGAAGGCTATTAGTGGTTAATAATGGCTATACAAATGCCCAGTTGATGTTAAACACGCGCCGCAGAAACCATGGAGATCATTCCCAGAATTGGATGAAGGGAGACGTTTATAGAAAACAGTTAATGGCTTAATGGTTTTTAACTATGGTTTATAACTATTCTTAACCAGTTTACAGCAAACCACATTTTTTTTTGTTAGAACGCTTGCAGCGCGATGGTTTCCGGCGAAGATTTTCCCACAGAATCCATTGATTTTTGATGTTCCCATTACCCGTTGGTCCACCGTGTGGGATCTACAGAAATTGATGAAGCAACGAAGCAACGAAGCAACGAAGCACCATTTTTGATAGGTAAATCAACGATTTTAGAGAAATAAACATCAGGGGTTGGTTTGCCTGTCCCATTTTGGGAATATAAAGGACATCACCTGAAAAAGTAGCCATCTAGTAGACCATATACCATTCATGGTTGGGTGATGTGAAAAATGGGGACATTTAATGATCCATGGGGAATAGATGTTGATAATTTAACATAACTATGGAAAATCACCATGCTATTAATGGGAAAACTCACTATTTCTATGGCCATTTTCAATAGCTATGTTAAATTACCAGAGGGTAACCAATCGACAGACAAACCCTCCACTCCAGCTCCAAGGGAGCTTCCCAGAGTCCAGCGCAGAGCTTGAAACTCTGCGCGGCAATGGGGGGTCCTTTGTGGTGGGATGATTAGGTCACTAACCATTTTTTGCCCAACAAAAACATGGAGAAGTTGACCCCTCCAATTTCAGCAGCACACTGGTTTTTTTTTCAACTTAAAACATTGAACTGATTGGTGGTTTTGGAACATTACTTTTATTTTTCCATTCAGTTCGGAATGTCATCATCCCAACTGACTCATATTTTTCAGGGGGGTAGGTATACCACCAACCAGTATAGCTGTTTTGGATGGATGAATAGATACATGGATGATATATCTATATATATATAATCATATGTATATATATATAATTATGTATATACTACATAGAATCAGGGGGCCAGGGCCCACTTGTGCTCTGATTCCCCTCCACCAACCAGTCACGTCACGTCACTGGCCACGTTTTGGGAGGTGAACTCGGAGCGCGCTTGCCGCGGCTGGGGGTATGATATACTGCACAGGTAGAAATACAGTGACCAGGTGCTTACTTTGTGTGCACATATATATATATTATATGTATATATATATATATATGTATTATTCAATATATGGATTATATAGACATGTAGATACATATAAAGATACATTTGATAAAGAATACATTTGATAGATATAGATGTACACATGCCCACGCATATCCAAAAACATTGGAGCAATGAGCAACTTCGATGAAACGGGGACCTGTCTGTCTTAGCAGAGACAATCCACCTTTCATGACGGGTATCCATCCCCTGTCCTTACGTTTAACCATGTTGAATCATTAACTGATGTAACAAATGTATACAAATGTAACATTGAAATCAACTAATCAACAATTGATACTGATTGTTGACGAACTGTTTCATTCATCAACTCTTCGCACAATATCTTCACCATGTTTCACCACTTTTCATGGTGGAAATCTCCCATTTCACGGCTGTTTCGCTGCCATGGCATGGTCAGCTGGACCCCTCCCGCGCGACGCTTGCAGCAGCTCCACTCGCTCCTTTCCGACGGCGCCGCGGAGCTGCCTGAGTGGTGCGAGGCATGGCGTGCGCAGCCACGCTTTGCCACGTATTTCCTGTGACCTGGCGGTTTTCCGATGGAGTCAGTAGGTGTCCCAGTTCAGGTAAACTGGAGGATATTCGAGGTCAGTAGGTGGCGCCATTTTCAACACCAAAATCACCATGTGACACACACGCTGCAAAGCCTACTTTAACGTTGCCTTTTCAGCTGTTTGCCGCCCCACCTTGCCATTGAACCACTCAGACACATGCTGCGCCATTTTTTTTTCAGCTGCAATGTCCAACAATATTTTAAGCTTCCCTGCCACACCTGGCAGATCCTGGCAGTTCTTTACCAATTTTCACAAGACCCCACTTTGCTTCCCCCCATTTTCATGATATGATCCTCCAGTGCACCAGATCCACGAGGTCGCGCCTCACTCTGCAGAAGCAGCTTCGCTTGCTGCAGATGATGAGAGAAGCCGCGTTGGAGACGAACGTGGGAGGCTTTGTCTTGCGTTGGAAAGGATGTGTGTTGTGGTTCTGATGTTGGGTACGAAAAGTCTGCAAGAGTTGAAACTTCCATAACATCGGGCCTATACATTAATTACATGTCCAAAGATAATAAAATTCATTGAGCTTGCCTCTCTACTTTGAGGTATGGCATTTGAACTGCGCCATCGCTGGCTGTGACGAGGCGCCAAAACCCCGTCACAGTTTCAGGTGGACAACTTCAATGATGGCATCCTTAGAGCTGGCTTTTCCCACCAAAAACATCTACCGAACTTTGAAATGAGTCATGTTTCCGTTTCCCATGAAATTCCATGGCCATTCACCTAGGTGAACCAGGACTGGGTGGTGCCATGGGCCATGGCCTCAATTAAGCCTGCACTTTTGAGCAGGCTTGGCCGCAAGCACTGCAGCTGCTCAGATGCATGCTGCTGCGCCAGGTGCAGGATGGTGTCATCCGAGGTCTTGCCAGTGAGAAAACGATGGTAGATACCCTCTGGAAATTTAAGAGTTTGCGACATTGAAAATGGCCATTTAGTTCGTTGATTTACCCATTAAACATGGTGATTTTCCATAGTTGTTTGTACGTTTACCAGAGGGTACGGCTCGTAACAGGTTAGGAACCAACGTTATAACTACCTCATTTGTAAATGGAATAAGCCCAATGAAAGGGGACTTACGCTTTTGAAGCGCTGAAAATGATCCTCCAAGTAGCATCAGCTATCGGCAAAAAAAAAGACACGGGCAGCCCCAAAGGATGGAGAAATTGCCATTTGTAGATCATTTTTCTGAAAGGGATTTTCCTTTGGTTTTTCATATCTCACAGGTGTGCTGGAGGGTAATTATAGGTCCAGGACGCACAAAAGGTTGGAATGGCGATTTGAGGATGTTGTGTAGCCCCCCAACAAATATTCTGGTGAATCATGTTCTCATGAGTCCCCCTTGCCTGCGCGAAGATGCGGGCAGTGTGGGGCAAATCCTCTGAGAAGCCCGGAAGCCCTGGCAAAAACAATGAGTTCCCCATGAGAATTGCGAGCCTTGGAGTACATGATGGGGCCCCCCAGTTTTAAGTTGGTTCATAAACCACTATAACCCCTATTAACTATAGTTATATCTACCATAAACCATAGTTAAGCCACCTACAAGGCAACTTAGCTATCTTGGGATCCTGTATGCATAGGGAACCCTCAGCCACTTTCAGATGCAGGTGCGCAGCGACAGCACCAGCATCAACAGCCTTTCCCGCGCCTTGTCACCATCGACTTGGCGTGTGGCGATGGCTGTGCTGGGGGCACGGCAGGGAGCGGCAAAGGTGGAGGCAGGGGCGGGGCGGGGTGAAGAATCATCTATTCAATTGGCACAGAACAATAGTTAATCTATTATAGTTATAGTTAATCATCTATAGCTTAATTAATCATCTATTCAATTCAATTCTATTTATAGTTATAGTATGATTAGTTTTGGCTGTGGGATATTATCAATTAATGGATATTATTAGTTAATGCTGTTGATAATAATTGGACAATGGATGTACTAGAAATTATTAGTTGATCATAATTGGACAATGGACAATTGGCTGCTTACTAATTGATAATGAGATAGCGATGGAAATCTACAAACAATCCAAGGACAGTTTGCGAACAAATGGGTTACTCCATGAAGACGGATCAACAAGGATCTCACATACGTGCACCATAAACAAAAAATGCGACCAGTTCGTATGGGGGCTCCACCCTGTACAAGGTCCTCGCGATCTTGTGAGATTCTGTCATGAGCTTTTGCCGGCAGATGTTTTCCTCAACACAAAGTTTCGGGAGTGAAATTACTAGTTGGGGGTGCCTCCCAGTCAGCAAGTCAATTATAACTGATAGCACGACATATATGATTCGGGTATATCATGGTATATCATGCCATAAAACCATCTTTCGGCTGATTTTCACTAATGTCAACCCATCTAAAATCCCGTCAACATTTGTAAATCCCATCAAAGTCCCATGAAAGTCCCGTTGAAATCCCATTAAACCTCACTGAATTCCATTAAGATCCCCCCCAAAATCTCCGCAAAAATCCCCCGAAAAATCCATTCCAATCCTCTTTTGACCTCCATCTCCCTGGCCCCCGGGCAGGTGCGCAGCCTCACCGCCCTGGCGGCCTGGTTGCCGTGGCCAACAGCGCTGGGCTTGATGTGTACGGCCCCTCGGCCGTGGTGTTTCTTTTTAGCAGAGCAGCAGGGAAATCCCGGCGAACCATGGGAGATGTGGGTAAAACAATGCCATAAACCATCCGATTTTTGATGGTTTATACCACCCATTTATATTCATTTATCATTTCTGGTGATTTTTGGGATGATTTATGATGGTGTTTCATGGGGACTTCATGGTGATTTGGTGATTTAATTATGATTTAATGGTGGTTTAATGGGATTTAAGATGATGCTGCCATCTGGTAATGACTCACAGTTTGCGACATTGAAAATGGCTATTGAGTTCCTTGATTTACCTCTTGAAAATGGGGATTTTGCAGTTCGCTATATTAGTTTACCGGAGGCTAGTTGATTTATATGGGGTGGGATATATATATATATATTATATTGATATATAGGTGAAGATGGATTTTCTTATAACCATGGGATATTTTGTCGTTCATTGCGATGGGCTGGAGACGGCTGTGGATTTTTGTTGAACCAGGAGCCGGCAGATGGAATCGCATGGACGGCTGTGGTGCAGGGAAAGGACGGCTTTTTTTGCTAGATCTTGATTATCCTCTCCGTGGAAAAATAAGTGTCCATGTTTATACAGTCTGTGTCTCTCTCTCTCTCTATCTATCTATCTATCTTTCTTTCTTTCTTTCTTTCTTATCTATCGATCTATCTATCCTATCCATCCATCCATCCAGCTATCTCGCTATCTGTTGATCTATCTACATCTGCATATGGATCTACATCAAAATACACACACACACATATATATATGCATACATTTTTTTATCGCCTACGGTTACTATTGAATTTGCAGCGTATATTTGTATATATATATATGTATGTATGTATGTGCGTGACACTATGTTTTATGGTATATGTGCAGATTTGACATAAAATATTTAGCATACATACATTCATGTGCGTAATATCGTGTATATCTTTGTACATTGTATGTATTATGCAAATGCAAGCGTGGGACGCAAAACATGAAGAAATTCAATACTGAACCAAACCACGGTTTTCGCTGGGGAGTGTTTGTTGTGATGGTGAGAAGCGGCTAACAAGTCGCCCCATGCTTCTTTGGCTGCGGCCTGCCTCCACTCAGTTTCAGCGGAAGTGAGCTGATGTGGCAACATTCGCCACATGTTTATCTAGTGTGCTTCTTGGCAAGGGATGAGTCTGAACTTAATGTTTTGCCCCCTGCCACAATCCAACCATTTTGAGGGTGATGGTGTTATTATATAAATTGGAATCAGATCACTTCCAGAATCCCCCGAAACTGGTCTCTCTAAACGGAAAAATCACATCATTTTCCCCAAGATCTATGATATCTATGGCAGTTTTCCATATTTTTCCTTTATCTCATCCACAGCTGGGTTCCGAGTTGCCTAAAGTTCATCGCCAGGATCAGCCTTGGACCCTGGCGCTGCGCTTGCTGTGCTGGATGGGGCAGGTGGGGGATGATGAGGATGATGGGAGGTTTATAGAACCAGATTGAATATGGCTTATGGCATATATGGATGTTTCCTAAGTCATGCGGGTACCCCTAGTTATCATCCATTTATAGATGGATTTTTCATAAAAAAACAATCCAGCTATTGGGGTACCACCATTTATGGAAACCCCCATATATATATATATATATATATATTATATATATTTTTTATATATATATTATATATATATATATACACATACACATAACTATAGCTAATGGGTTTTTCAACCAACCAATCTAGTTAAACTATAGGAACCAGAGGAACCATGGGATTATAGTATGTTGGGGATTGTAATTCCATTAGCAATAGTTTATGCAGTGTTTAACTATAGTGGCATCACCTTTGGATCCACTTCGGAAATGTGTGGCACATGTACTTTTTTAAAGCATATTGTTGGCTATGAACTACCCATACCCTCTGGTAAACTAACATAGCGAACTGGAAAATCACCATGTCTAATAGGTAAATCAACTATAAATGGCTATTTTCAATAGTTATGTTAAATTACCAGAGGGTAATCACCCCATCCCCCAATGGTTCCCACCTTCCCTAGGCCCGTCTGCGTGCCGACGCTGTGCTGCACCGCTCCTGCTGCGACGCGCTGGAGCGTGGCGGCGCCTGGCCGTTGGCGCTCCGCTTGGCGCCGTGGCGCCAGGGCGCGGCGCTGCTGAATCAGAGCATGGCGGGGATGGCGAAGAGAGGCGGGATGCGGCCGGGAAAATGGCCCCACTGAGTAAATGGGTGAAAAACCAGCAGTTGGATTCATGGAATATCCCCACACACATATAATATATAGTTATATAATATATATATATAGCCATATATATATAGATAGCTATACACACACACAGATATATATATATATACATATATATACACACGCACACACACACACGCGCACACACGCACATATATATATATATATATTGTGCGTGTGAGATGATATGGGTTAATGGGTTATTCATGGATTGCAAACCACGGATCCTAAGTGGGATGCACGTCCAAGTCTTGTGAATGAGGATGAATTATCCGTGGGAAACAGGAAGTTCACCTCGAGAAATGGATGGAAATGGTGGCTGTGGTGTGTACTGTAGTCATATTAATAATTCCCATCTGAACAAACATAGACCCTGAAACCTTGATGAGCGAAAGTGTTCTTGGAGCATCTTGGCACTGTGGATCTTGCAACTGTCGTTTTTGGAAAATAAACATAGACCTCGCTTTCTCGTTTCTCAGTTTCGAGATCTATGTTTGTGATGAGTGTCATGTGGCAGGACTGGGGGTGGTGTTCAATATCTTTAAGGGCTCGTATCTGGCTGGGGTTGGGGTTGATGTAGTATCTCCAAATCATAAACCGTTAATGAGAATTTTGCGATACAAAAAACTGAAAAAAGGGGATTGGGACATATTGGGACTAGGGAATGGGATCGCGATGATGATGTAGTTGGAGATAGGGCTCAAGAGTGAAATGATCGGTTGGGGGAGTTGGGGGAGTTGGGGGGTTGGGGAGAAGGGACTAGTAATGACTAGTACGTGTTGAATTCTTGGTACGAAGATGATGGAAGATTTGACATGCTGAGGGAACTGCGCCTCAATGGGGATGCCACTGGGCAGCACTGCTCCCCGCAGCGTTGAACTCCATAGGTGGACCAGTGGTAAACCTCCAGGAGATGGGTTTGCACCGTGCATTTCTTAAGAGTGGAGTATGGTTTACTTCTTGGGTTGACTCACATTAATATACATTAATTATCATTAATTCATATCATGAGTATGTCCCATGAAGCCACCCATTTCTTCCCGTGTGCGCCCCATTTTCCGTGCTAAAAACCCATTTATTGTTAAATGTTCCCCCAGCCACCATTCCGGCCACAAGAACCATATGACCTGCGCAGGGCAATGGGAGGCCGCCCTCAGCGGTTGTTGCCGTGACATCAAGGCATGTGCTATGCCGGATGAGCACCATGGCACTGGTCAGCATCGAAAAAATGGGATGCGAAGTAACGATCAGAGGAAATCGAAGTCGGGAAAGCTATTCAGAGAGAGACTATGATGTTGGGCAGAAAGAACGGGGGGACTAACCCACAGACCGGAATCTGTCTTCTCCGATGGAATTCGGGGATGTCTCGACTTGAAATATATATAATATAGGTGTTTGTATGCTTTCGTAGAGCCAACACGTACTAAACCTCGGTGAGCATTGGGAATCTCTTTGTTGGGGAGCCAAGTTAGCTGGGTAATGTATGTACCCTCCGGCAATCAAATGCGGCAATGGAAAATCAACCATTCTAGATGATTTTCCCATTTAAACCTCCTTTTAAAAGGGATTTCCAAGTGCAATGTTTGATTCCTGGAGGGTATATCTATGTCATGGATCCATGTATCCCCATTTTGGCTAAGAATTGCACCGTGAAACTACCCTTCAAAAAGGTTTACCCACTGCTTGCTTCAAGTCTCGTTCACCAACCCAACTCTCCGACAACATCTTGCTACTCGTACCAAAGATGACGGCAAAGTGTCCCCAATGGTGAATGATATTCCGTAAGTGTCCTGACGATACACACAGACACATACACACAGAATCACATATATATATATAATATACATGTATTATGGTCATGCCCATATATATATACACATATATATATATATATGTATGTATAACACACACACATGTATAAATATATAACATATAAATAAATAAATGAATAAATCAATAAATAAGTATATATATATAACACGTACATATATACACACACATATATATATATATATCTAAGATATTATACGCACACATATGTGTATATATATATCATACGCACACGCACACACATATACATATATACATATAATATAGTATGATATGATATAACATAATATATTTTAATATAGTATAGGATAATATAATAATATAATTGAATATAATTCAATATAATTCAATAAATAAAATATAATATAATGCAATTTCATATAAATCGATGATATAAATAAAAAATGAATGAATAACTAAATAACTAACTAACTAACTAACTAACTAAATAAATAAATAAATAAATAAATAAATAATATATGTATATATATATATATTTATAAACTATTCAACCATTACAAACCGCTCTTGTTGCAGACCTCCCCCAGCTGCCCAAGGTTCACCCTGAGCTGCTTGTTGGACGCCCTTCAGCCGCTGAGCCTTTGGCGGAGAGCTTTTTTGGTGGCACGAGATGCGGCGTCAAGGAGCTGTTGATTGGTTATGAAATGAGGGTTACCCATGTATTTTTCTCGATCTTTTGGGGTGTTTGGACCCATATCCCAGAGCGTTTCTAAGCTTTAGGGCTAGAACTTTGCAGTAGCTTAGGAACTATGTTTAACACTGACAGGAAGGCGTATTTGGCTCTTAGAGATGCAGTTCCACTGAAATTGTGTGGGCAGATGGTCATTTATATCCCAGATTATGGTGGGTTACCAGTAGTACCCGCACGAGGCCGGGCGGAAGTTGCCTTAGGGTTATACTATAAGATCTTTCTCATCTATAGAACTTGCATGCGCCGTGTGCTAGCCAGGCCCGTGCGTGCGTGCTTTGTGCGAAGCTGTTGCCGTGTTGTTAGAACATGACCTGCGCGATCACGTTGCAATGCAACGCCAAGCGAACCTTTTCTTCAGACTTCACACTGCGCTCTTCACACCCCGCACTTCACACTTCACACTTCGCACTCCACACGTCATCCCATCTCAAACCATGAGAGCTCTTCTCACCTCATCTCACCTCATCTCAGCTCTTCTCATCTCATCCCATCTCTTCTCACATGTCATCTAAGTAAGCTCTTCTCAAAGATGCATTTACACAGAAAAGCCTTTACAAAATACTTTGTACTACAAAGCTTGCACAAAGCACTTCTCCCAGTACTACTTTGTACTACAAAACTTGCACAAAAGACTTCTCTGTACTATTTTGTATTACGAAGCTTGCACAAAGCACTTCCCAGTACTACTTTGTACTACAAAGATTGCACAAAGCACGTCCCAGTACTACTTTGTACTACAAATCTTGCACAAAGTATTTCCCAGTATATACTACTTTGTACTACAAAGCTCGCACTTTGCACTACAAAGCTTGCACAAAGTACTTTCCAGTACTACTTTGTACCACAGGGCACGCACAAGTACCTCTTCCCAGTACTTTTTACTTTGTACTACAAAGCTTGCACAGAGTACTTCCCAGTACTACACAAAATATTCCCAACACACATCAAGCTTTTACACACAGCAATCTTTTACAAAGAGAAGCTTTTACACACAACAAGCTTTTACACACGGCAAGCGTTTGCACACAGCAATCGTTGACACAGAGAAATCTTTTCACCCAGCAATCTTTTCACACAGAAGCTTCTACACAGAGTTACCTTTTACACACATCACGCTTTTCCACACAGAAGCTTGAGAAGCTCTTACACAGAGAAGCTTTTACACACAGCAAGCTTTTACACAGCAAGCTTTTACACGCAGCAAGCTTTGACACACAGCAGGCTTTTACACACAGCAGGCTTTTACACACCGCAAGCTTTTACACGCAGTAACCTTGATGCAGCCACCCCAATGCGATTCGCAACTATCAGCTGCAAAAGACAATAGTATTGCGCAAACAGCTGCACGAGCCAGGAACCTTGACGCAGCCATTACACTGCGATCTACAGACACTGAATAGCAAAACACAATAGGACTGCATGCAACGGCGCCAGAAATTGCAGCTCCAAAACCGGCTCTCTCGGCGCCAAAGGGAAAAATCACGATTCTGAAGAACTTTTTAAAAGGAATCCAAAAAAGGAAAATCACAACCCCAAAAACGGAGAAATCTGAGAAAGCATTATCGCAACCTTGATGCAGCCACTCCAATACGATTCACAACTCTCAGCTGCATAAAACAATAGTATTACGAAGACAGCCGCACGAGCGAGGAACTTTGACGCAGCCATTCCCACTGCGATCCGCAACCATGCATTCCAAAACACCCTAAGATTGCGCACGCACAGACGCATGCAAAGCAGCTTGAAGCCACAGTTACAATGCGGCCAAAAAAAACCGTCAGAACGAGCGTGCCCGCAACCGCCTCCCACACGAGCTACCCTTCATCGCCGCCTGCAGCCACTTTACACGGAAAAACACAAGGTTTCGTGCTCCGGCTTCCTCCCCAACACGAGTGTATTGTTATGTGATGTAAAGTCCCACGCCGCCCTTCATGAATGTCTTGTTATGTGATGTGAAGTCTCACGCCGCCCTTCATGAATGTATTGTTATGTGATGTAAAGTTTCACACCGCCCTTCATGAATCGTCAGCTGCAGTCACTTTACACGGAAAAACGCCAGGTTTCGTGCTCCGGCTTCCTCCCCAAAACAACCCCCATGCAACACTCATGCAGCTATTACAATGCGTTTTGCAGCATCACGTGGCAAACCTGCATGTATCTACGCACGTGGCAACACAAGATGACAACAATCAGATGCAGGCATTCCAATGCAATCTGCAACCAGAGATTCCAAAACACCCTAAAACTGCGCACACACACAGACGCATCCAAAGCTGCTTGAAGCCACCGCTACACTGCGGCAAAGAAAAAACGTCAGAACGACACCAGCCGCGCCCGCTGCACACACGAGCTGCCATTCATCGTCAGCTGCAGTCACTTTACACGGAAAAACGCCAGGTTTCGTGCTCCAGCTTCCTCCCCAAAACAAGTCCCATGCAACATTCATGCAGCCATTACAATGCGTTTTGCAGCATCACGTCGCAAACCTGCATGTATCTACGCACGTGGCAATACCAGATGACAACCATCATGCAGCCATCCCAATGCGATCTGCAACCACAGATTCATCAAGAGACGCATAGACGCATAGAAATATGCACACATGACGCAGAACACCAAGGCGGAACCGATTCGACGATGAAACGAGCGCAGCCGCACCCGCCGCACACACTGAGGTACCTTTCATCGCCGGCCGAAGCCACTTCACACGGAAAACTAGACGACGGATGGCCCGAGAGCGTAGAGGAGCAGGGTCTTCTGATGTTTGTATTGAGACACTATATTACACGACATATTAAAGATCTATTATAGGCAGACGAGAAGAGTAGTATCAAGACAACATTTTACAAGTACAAGACACTAGTTTGCATCGTATCCTTCCTAAAGTTTTTCACACACACACAGACGCTTTTACACACAGACGCATTTGCACACAAAGGCTTTTACACACAGACGCTTTTACACACAGGGACTTTTACACACAGACGCTTTTACACACAGAAGCTTTTACACACAGAAGCTTTTACACACAGACACTTTTATACACAGACACTTTTACACACAGACGCTTTTACACACAGACACTTTTACACACAGAGACTTTTACACACAGACGCTTTTACACACAGACGCTTTTACACACAGACGCTGTTACACACAGAAGCTTTTACACACAGAGACTTTCACACACACAGACGTTACACAGAGACGCTTTTACACCCAGACGCTTTTACACAAAGAAGCTTTTACACACAGACACGTTTACACACAGAAGATTTTACACACAGACGCGTTTACACACAGACGCTTTTACACACAAACACTTTCACACACAGAGACTTTTACACACAGACACTTTTGCACACAGACGCTTTTACACACAGACACTTTTACACACAGACGCTTTTACACATAGAAGCTTTTCCGCACAGAAGCTTTTACACATAGACGCTTTTACACACAGACGCTTTTACACACAAACATTGTCACACAGAGACTTTTACACACAGACGCTTTTACACACAGACGCTTTTACACACAGACGCTTTTACAAAAAGAAGCTTTCACACACAGACGCTTTTACACACAGAAGCTTTTACACACAGAAGCTTTTACACACAGACACTTTTACACACAGACACTTTTATACACAGACGCTTTTACACACAAACGCTTTTACACACAGAGACTTTTACACACAGAAGCTTTTACACACAGACACGTTTACACACAGACTTGTTACACACAGAAACTTTTACACACAGACACGTTTACACACAGATGCTTTTACACACAGAAGCTTTTACACACAGACACTTTTGAACACAGACGCTTTTACACACACAGACGCTTTTACACACACAGACGCTTTTACACAAAGACGCTGTTACACACAGACGCTTTTACACACACACACAGAGACTTTTACACACAGAGACTTTTACACACAGACACTTTTACACACAGACGCTTTTACACACAGACGCTTTTACACACACTTTTACACGAAGAAGCTTTTACACACAGACACGTCTACACACAGAAGCCTTTACACACAGACGCGTTTACACACAGAAGCTTTTACACACAGAAGCTTTTACACACAGAAGCTTTTACACACAGATGCGTTTACACACAGAAGCTTTTACACACAGACACGTTTACACACAGAAGCTTTTACACACAGACGCTTTTACACAAAGACGCTTTTACACTCAGACGCTTTTACACACAGACGCTTTTACACACAGACGCTTTTACACACAGACGATTTTACCTCAGTTTTTGGCGATCGAACCTCATTTCGTGCGAAAGGGTTGCCGCGGCACACTCAAAATCGCAATTTCAGCTCAGTTTTTGGTGATCGAACCTTATTTCGTGCGAAAGAGTTGCCGCGGCACACTCAAAATTGCAATTTTATTGCAGTTTTTGGCGATCGAACCTCATTTCGTGCGAAAGGGTTGCCGCGGAAGTTGTGAAATCACAATTTTACCTCAGTTTTTGGCGGTCGAACCTCATTTCTGCCCTGCGCCTTCAAGAGAGAAATAGAAGGGCAAGAGAGCAAGAGGGCAAGAGATAATGTGAAGATGTGAAGATGAGAAGATGAGAAGATGTGAAGATGAGAAGATGTGAAGATGAGAAGATGTGAAGATGTGAGGATGTGAGGGTGTGAAGATGTGAAGATGAGAAGATGTGAAGATGAGAAGATGTGAAGATGACAAGATGTGAAGATGACAAGATGTGAAGATGAGAAGATGTGAAGATGTGAGGATGTAAGGTAGAAGATGTGAAGATGACAAGGTGTGAAGATGTGAAGATGTGAGGATGTAAGGTGTGAAGATGTGAAGGTGTGAGGATGTGAAGATGAACAGATGTGAAGATGTGAAGATGAAGATGTGAAGATGTGAAGATGTGAAGATGAGAAGATGTGAAGATGAGAAGATGTGAGGATGAAGATGAGAAGATGTGAAGATGAGAAGATGTGAAGATGAGAAGGTGTGAAGATGAGAAGATGTGAAGATGAGAAGATTTGAAGATGAGAAGATGTGAAGATGTGAAAATGTTTGACAGACCCCCGCTATTAGAAGAACCCTTCGCTCAGATGCTCTCGGGAAAAACACAAGGTTTCGTGCTCCGGCTTCCTCCCCAACACGAGTGTATTGTTATGTGATGTAAAGTCTCACGCCGCCCTTCATGAATGTATTGTTATGTGATGTGAAGTCTCACGCCGCCCTTCATGAATGTATTGTTATGAGATGTAAAGTCTCACACCACCCTTCATGAATGTATTGTTATGTGATGTAAAGTTTCACACCGCCCTTCATGAATGTATTGTTGTGTGATGTAAAGTCACACACCACCCTTCATGCGTCTAAAGTTTCGCACCACCCTTCATTCAGTAAAATCATCCGTAACTCGGAAAATTGCTTCGCAACTTCCTTATGAGAAGATGTGAAGATGAGAAGATGTGAAGATGAGAAGATGTGAGGATGAGAAGATGTGAAGATGAGAAGATGAAGATGAGAAGGTGTGAAGATGAGAAGATGTGAAGATGAGAAGATTTGAAGATGAGAAGATGTGAAGATGTGAAAATGTTTGACAGACCCCCGCTATTAGAAGAACCCTTCGCTCAGATGCTCTCGGGAAAAACACAAGGTTTCGTGCTCCGGCTTCCTCCCCAACACGAGTGTATTGTTATGTGATGTAAGTCTCACGCCGCCCTTCATGAATGTATTGTTATGTGATGTGAAGTCTCACGCCGCCCTTCATGAATGTATTGTTATGAGATGTAAAGTCTCACGCCACCCTTCATGAATGTATTGTTATGTGATGTAAAGTTTCACACCGCCCTTCATGAATGTATTGTTGTGTGATGTAAAGTCACACACCACCCTTCATGCGTCTAAAGTTTCGCACCACCCTTCATTCAGTAAAATCATCCGTAACTCGGAAAATTGCTTCGCAACTTCCTTATGAGAAGATGTGAAGATGAGAAGATGTGAGATGAGAAGATGTGAGGATGAGAAGATGTGAAGATGAGAAGATGAAGATGAGAAGGTGTGAAGATGAGAAGATGTGAAGATGAGAAGATTTGAAGATGAGAAGATGTGAAGATGTGAAAATGTTTGACAGACCCCCGCTATTAGAAGAACCCTTCGCTCAGATGCTCTCGGGAAAAACACAAGGTTTCGTGCTCCGGCTTCCTCCCCAACACGAGTGTATTGTTATGTGATGTAAGTCTCACGCCGCCCTTCATGAATGTATTGTTATGTGATGTGAAGTCTCACGCCGCCCTTCATGAATGTATTGTTATGAGATGTAAAGTCTCACGCCACCCTTCATGAATGTATTGTTATGTGATGTAAAGTTTCACACCCCCCTTCATGAATGTATTGTTGTGTGATGTAAAGTCACACACCACCCTTCATGCGTCTAAAGTTTCGCACCACCCTTCATTCAGTAAAATCATCCGTAACTCGGAAAATTGCTTCGCAACTTCCTTTGATAACCATGATTTACGGTTTTTTATTCGACCCAACTGCACTCATTTATCCGTTATTTCCTGGGTTAAAACCCCTCATTGATCATTGATTTTAAGCCATGAACGTGGCCATAAACTCGCCCCTTTATGCACCAGCTGCACCTGCGTCAGATCTCTCCGGACTGATCTCGTCTCGCACAACGCCCTGCTGAGCTGCGCTTTGCCAAAGTGGCCCTGGGCACTGCAGCAGTTGCAGCAGCAGCGGCCGGATCCGTTGAGCTATGGCTTTGCCCGGCAGCTGAAGGGTTCCGGCAGTTCCGGTGGTTTGTCATGATGTTCTCCGTTAAAACGGCATTAACGCATTAAAGGAGATCCCGTATATGTAGATGAAACCAGCTATGCAGTTGGAAGAAATTGCAGAGCTAAAAGCGGAGTTTACTTCCCCAGTCAGATTGATTACCCTCAGGTAATTTACTAAATGATTACAACGGGATAGTACGTGGGCCATTCTTCATAGCTATATGTCATTTTTTTTGCATTTCTTAGGTTCCCGTGGTTTTGTTTGTGAAATCATTGACAAAACACCATCCCAAAATCTTAATTTACCATGGCTCCTCTTTCCCTTATCAGCACTATGTGCAGTATCACTATTTTCTTCCATTATTTCGGTAATTTATGTGCACTGTGTACTATTTCTACGGTAGACGGTTCTTATTGCTATTAATTATTATTGTTGCTTTTATTTATCCTACCAGCGTTAGATTCTTTAAAATCATAAATGTTATATAAATTCTTTTTGTCATCATTGTTGTTATTAGATGCGTTGGAAAACAAAAACCACTTGTATATTAATTGGACCATCTACGACCATCATATTTGATGAAATTAATGACGTGATATACGATTGTTATCATATTTGATGGGGTTAATGTGCGTACTACTTCTACCATTACTGTTGATTATATTCTTAGTTCCAACATGGTATTACTAGCCCAATTACTGCGACTGTGGTCGACCAGGTCGCTGCAGCGATGGCGATCTGCGAGGAAAAGTCCGAGCTTTGATAGCTGTCATGGAGACATCGGGTAGTCTAGCCGTTGAAGGAACCAAAAGGGGGTTTCAACATGTTTCAGACATGTTTCAACTGACAGGAAAAATCTGAAAACACACCAAAACAGAGGAAAAACATGTGAGAGATCCCCCCAAAATAGAAACAATCAATCTGCATGTTTATACCATTTTATTCCAGATATATAGTAAGTATAAACAATCGCAACGGCGTCTTTTGAGATCTTTTAAGTAGCACGGAATTACGTTCCAACATCCACTTTGTATCCAAAGAATTACCACGCCCGAAGCTGCGCTTTTAATACGAAAACCATGCGTTGTAAGTAGACCCTACCACGCGAAGCATTCCACTTTGTTGGTATAGACTCCATAACTTGCGATCTAGGTTAAGGTTGCCTACCCCAACTTACAACTGGACTTTGGCCTTCCTGCAGGGTATACAATATTCAAGATCCGTTTGGAATCGGAACAATTTTTGACCCAGAACTCTTTTTGATCCAGTTGGCTAGTGGTAAATGGCTGTTGGAAGTTTGTTGTGATTTGATCCTGCCCGGTCCAGCTGCGGTCGTTTCTGTTCGTCATGGGACATCCCCTCCGGTAATCAAACGTTGCTATCTGGAAAATCCCCGAGCGAAACGGAGGTTTGAATATGAATGAAAACATAGTAAATGGTGAATTTTTAATTGCCATGCTACCATGAGGTATCCAAGAAGGACATCTATGTCCCAAGAACAGGGCTTGGAGCTCCAACTTTCGCCATGTTCGGAATCCCTGGGCCACCCTAAACGATGAGATCAATGAGATCAAATACCAGACCTTTGTTCACAATCAATCCCCGAAATCACCACAAAAGGGTGCTATAAACTATTCCTAAATGGATCTAAATGGTAGGTTTATGGCATTGGTTTTCCCATATTAGCTTAAGGAAGGGTTTAAAGACAACACGCCAACGAAACAGCAAGTTTTCCATCGCTCATTATGCGATGCCGCTGGCAACAGCTGCGACTTGCAACGCGAAGAGCAAGAGCATCAGGTGCGGAAGGTAACACCTAAATTCTGGTGACATCAAAAGGCCCTCTCTATCACTTGATGGTTAGTAAGGGAAACACCCCCAAAGAGGATCAAACATGGTAGAATATGACAGTCATTTGGTCCGACAACTCCGATTTCGTTAAAAAAGACTGTTCCAGCGGAAAGCTATGGTGGGGAAGGGAACGCAACTGATTTTGGTAGAAAGCTCATCAGACTCATCGGACTTTCCGTTTCCATGTTGCATAGGTTAAAAAAAAGGTTGCCACAGAATACCCACTGACATTTGCATCCAATCTTTCAGACTATGCAAGCACCATGTCAGGGATCGTAAATCTTGGATTGGCAGAAGGTTGATTGCCGCACTGTACTTGGACGGACTGCAAATTTCGAGATGTTGCAGCTTTGACTAAGTGACTATTTTATAGATTTAAACTTTACACCCGACTACGCCACAGTTTGACGCAGGTACTCTATACATCATTATATACGTATATATATATATAATATAATATATATATATATAATATATATATATGCTGTAACCATTTGTAACCAGCATCAACCATCCCATTTCCAGTCTCCGGCCGACTTCGGGTAAACCCTGGCCCACCTGGCCACAGGTCGTATGCTGTCTTCATCGCAGGCAGGATGGTGTCCGTAATTGGGCCATGTCCCTGAAAAGAAAACACCACCAGTCACCACCAAAGCACCTTGGTTAATGATGGTCAATGATGGTTAATGATGGTTAATGATGGTTAATGATGGTTAAGGATGGTTAATGATGTTGAATGATGGTGAATGATGGTTAATGATGGTTATACAGGGATATACCCTCTGGTAATTTAACAGTTTGCGAACTGGAACACCACCATCTTTAAGTTCGGTAATCACCTATAAATGTGCCATTTTCCAGTTCGCTATGTTAAATTACCAGGGGGTAAGTTGTAGTGGATGAACATCGTTAAAATTCACGGGAAGTGATCCAACGTGAAACAGGTCGATGAGCATTTGGGAAACTGATTCAGCGGAGGGATGCTGGAGCAGGGCACGCTGGGCGATGGCCGGGGTGTGAATTCCACTTTGTCTCTTGAAAGCCACCGCTTGAAGCAACAAACCCCTTGGAACACCAGAAAAATCACCAAAGTCGATTCCAAAAAACATCCACTTGACATGTTTTTTTTTTTCCGGAGCATCGATGCCCTTTGTCCGGTTGATGAATAGAGGGGCCGCTCCCATTGAACAAGCGACAAAGGTGAGGTATGGTGAGGTAGGATAAACGGCAGGCCACGACGGTCTTGCAACAATGTTCCCTCCCCATAGTGTTGGCTATATCCCCGTTATATCTAAAATGCTTGTGAAATCAGCTGTAGCAAGCGCAATCCTACAATATTCCCATATATTCCCATTACATTCCCTATATTCCCATGATATTCCCCATGTTTTCCATGGCGTTTCCCATCTTTTCCCGTGAGATTCCCATCCGTCACGGCACCGTCACAGGTGCCGCGCCCTGAAGTCCGACCAGACTTCGGGCGTGGTTGGCCTCATCCCGATCTGCTTGAGGGGCAGTTGCCCCAACAACTAGCCGAGAGCTTTCAACGAGGCCCGGGGGTTGCGGTTGGGATTGGGCATTGATAGGGCATTGATGATATATTGGACTTATTGGAGATTGTAATTAATATTGAAACCAAATGGTGATATGGTATTTAGTATCAGTAATGGACTAGAATGGGACTATAGTGGATTATTTATGGTAATAATATCATGTGATTATAACGGTTTATCATCTAAGGACCAGGGATAAATTGGATAAATTTCAATGGATCGGTTTTGAAGGGAACAAATTAACCGGAAAACCCCATATTTGCTGGTTTTAATGGGACACTCGATGGTTTCCGGTTTCGATTTTCCCTTAAATAAATCCATTGATTATAATATCTAAGGGAATCTAAGGCATCCATTCTTTTGGAGAATTTTGAGCCATGTCCAATTTGGATTATTTAGAGCAGGTGATGTTTCTTTTTGCACATACAGTACTTGAGGCGGAAGTTTGTCGGGTGAAGCTGACTTTTGATGGTGAGAATTGATTCATATTCATACAACATAGTAATACCGGTGGAACTTCTCCCATAAATATCAATGGGATGCCACTTTAAAAACAACTTCATACATGACTGATATACCTCATGCAAGGTCCAAGGTGCTGCCCTCCAGTTGTAATTTTTATAATGTCCATTAAGATCATTAAGTATATAGATATGTCTACCAAGGGGTCTACCATAATCCTACTATAGTTGTTGGAGTTCTGAAGCAAAATTTTGCTGACTATGACTGACGACTTGGTGCCCATGGTTCCCATCGTTCAACGTTCGAGATGTCAGGCCTGCCCCTGGCCCGCGAATCGCTGAACTACGGCACCGCGACTTCGTCCTTTCGCTTCGGGCATCCGGAGTTCCTCAAGGGGCTGGCAGGTGGTGCGGGACGCGGGATGGTGGGGGCTACAAGTAGACTACAAGAAACCACAGTGATTTTATTTGGTGATAAAATATGATAAAATAAGTTATTGATGTTGATTATATTTGATTATTGGGTTACAACATCAGCAAGGATAAATTATGATTGATGATGATGAATGATTACACCCTGGCAATTTGCGAATTGGACAAACAAGAATATGTTTTGTGACACCTTTTTCGATCGAATCCTCATTTTGATTGATGATTCCGGAAACCAACCCTCATTGTGATTGTTTAAATATCATGTTGTTGGCTTAAATGACCTTGAATCCCTACATCGAACGGCGATTTCTGACCCCAAAGAGACAAACATGATCTTGATAGATGGCTCATAAATCCTCATTTTGATTCTTTGAATCACTTTACATCTCCAACCTGAATTCTGATTGAGTCTAAACAAATCCTCTCAGATCATGGTTGGTAAATCCTCAGAAAAACATATCTACCAATCCCTATTTCTGAATCATTTCGTCCGAACTTTCCCCCAGAACTTCTGAGTTTCTGCCCCTTCAGAAAGCCTCGTTTTGGAGGCTTCCTATCGCAGCAATATGGCGCCCCAGTGGAAGCCAGCTGTCTGATGACCACGGGTGGTGCTTCCATGGGGGTGGACCTTGCTTTGCGAAGCTTCAGAGGAAGTGGAGGAGTGCCATGGCTGCCATGGTGGATTGCCATGGAGCTTAGGATGGATATTTCATGGTGGTCAAATGGTGGTTAGATGGGGATTTCACCATCTTGCAATACAATGATATATGATTTAAACATATTTAAAATCTAAAAGGTGATGCCAGTTGTAAGTTGTTTTTTTTTGACCCGCATGAATACTACCGCGAAAAACGCCTAACCATTCAGCGTATTTTTCCAATTTCCAACCCAGCTATATGCCCCACAAACCCAAACGTCAAACCAGTGATTTGCGCCAACTTAGCTATCGTACACGGGGGGGCTCACCTTGGATTTTTTCTGCACGTTAGAGTGCCAGAGGGTGAGATCTATTGGGTAGATGTAAAGGGTATATAGGTTGACGTTTGGCAGGTAAATCTTGCTTTTTAGCTATGTTTTGCCGGAAAGTCGTTAATGAAGAGTAATTTATTTAATTATTTGGAGGATTAGATGAGTAGAAATGTAAATGGTAGGTGGATGACGGTTGAAAAGGAACACTAACCACCAATGCTATGTCACTCAGTAAGCTGACCTGTACAAATAAGTGGTAAGTTGATGCAAGTTGATTGCAATACCCTGCCAGCTAAATATCAGTTTGTTGGGAGGGATTTGTTTTACTGTGTTTTACCAAAACAGTTTGGATAATGGACAACCATAGTAAAGCCATTAATCAATGTATATCTTTATGTTTGGAACGCACATTTTGATAATGGAAGATGACGAGATGCAGCTGATTTTTCAAAAAACTATGCTTCTCATTGCAGCTACGCTTCTCACCGACCCAGATGCCATGACCACAAGAAAATTCTATGCAAACATACATTCATACGTACGTACGTACGTACGTACGTAAATACATACGTACATACATACACACACACATACATACACACACACACAGATACATACATACACACATACATACACACATACATACATACACACACACAGATACATACACACACACAGATACACAGATACACAGATACACAGATACACAGATACACAGATACACAGATACACAGATACACAGATACACAGATACACAGATACACAGATACACAGATACACACACACATACATACATACATACATACATACATGCACACAATAGCATGTTCCCAGGCCCATCCCTGAGGTGTGCGTCTTTGAAGAACCAAGCTACTACTTGTCCTTCAACATGGCCAGAGATCAAGGTGCGTCCCTTGAACGGGCCTGCGGTGGTGTTTAATGGGGAGCCAGTTGGAACTAGGTATTGAGTTTCCCAACCATTTTATACATCACGTATAACTATATCATATGCTAATGCGTTTGCGATAGACAATAAGTTTCAATTTGGGTAGACATCGCGGCTGAACGTTTTCAAATCTTCAGTGTTCACGACCGGGGACTGTAAAACGGGTGGCCTACAGCCAGGTCAACAAGACATCCCACGCAAAGACTTCTCAGCCTACCCGGATCTACCCGGCCTATCCGAAACCAAAAATCTCCCCATTTTTCACTTCGGCTAGGCCTGGAGTGTCGGAGTGTGCCGCTGTACCAGGATGGCATGGACCTTGATCGACTGGAGGACTCTACCTGGATGATTGGCAAGACGAGTTGCATTAATCTGAGGGTGTACCTCAAAAACTTCCAGACAGATGTTCCATGGTGGGAATCTACCGTTAAAAGAACCCAAAAATGAATTCAACAAAAAAAAGACATTCATTTTTTATTCTCGGCATCATACAAAGATGAATGGCAACTTTTCTCATTGTTTTCCGGTTGTCCCAACACCCACCTTGAGCCAGGAGATATGCATGGAAGGCAATGTCCGGAGACTTGGATTTCGATACCCTTGGCCACTGGTGGGTTTCCCGAAAACATCGAACTCAAGATCTGCAAAATAGGAGGTTTTTCAGCCAAGGATTCTTCGATATTTTTTCACTTTTTTCAATGTGAAAATGTGCATATAATACCTATATATACATAGATAGATATATGTGCATTGTATATCATTACAGATATATAGATATATCAAAATGTATATATATATATATGTATAAGGACACAAGTTACAGTAGCACAACTCGTCCCGATTCTTGGCCGTTTTTCTTGGCTAAGGATGGTCTATACCATCCCAGTGCACCACAATCCCACGGGCTACACCATGGGAAACGAGAAGCGCCAAAGACTTGTCGAACTCGCCAGGAATCCCTGGTGATGGGATGTTGGCACTTCATGGACCAACATCCCAACATGACTAATCCATGGTTGATTGGGAATAATAACTAATGGTATATGAATGTTAATGACTAATATATTACTGGTTATGGTATAGATGGTCCATAGAAATAGATGGTTTACCGTAATTAAACATGGGTGGATTTTCCATGGCTATGTTAGTCGTAACCAGAGGGTATATAATCATTGGTAATAATGGTTGATGACTAATGGTTAATCATAACTAATGGCATGACTAATGGTATAGTAATGTTAATGTGAATTAATGATGCTTAATCACTAAGACTTAATATTGGGAAAGGTATGGGAAATGTACTACAGAAACATCTCCTGGTTGATGAAGCGAAGACTTAGTTCAATGAAAACAGTGGCTAAATGATGAGGGAATTTTTGGTATACCGGCTTCATTACTATTCCCACAAGGACCCATTGTTGACATGTCATTCCCCAAAGTGTCTGGCCACGGGCTCCGAGATTTCCGCGGCACCAGGAAGTACGATTTCATGGTCGTGGCAGATGAGGTGGGCCGTTGAAGGAACGGTGGAAGGTTTCGATGGGTTTTGTATCGGTTGGGGCAGCAACCAAGAAAAACAGCTTGGATAAACTCAAGAAAACCTATGAAAACCATCCATAAGAAGCAACTAATGAATGGTGACATGAACAAAAACCATTCCAGAAGTCGTAAAGCCGCACAGATGTCATGATGTGATCCTCAGTGCATCCCGGCTGTATGATGGCGGGGCCAAAGCAGCCCAGGAAAAGGCCAGGGGTTGGCAATTGATTTAACCATTGGACCATATCTAGATGGATTGTATGCTACACTTAGATCTTCACCGTTTCACCCTTTTGGGACTAAATGGATTTACATGAATTTACCAAAAAATCCCAATAGACCTCAATATAGAGGATCAACCAACCATCAACCAACCATCCAGATATCCTGCTGGATGAGGCGTATCAGCTCTTGAATTTCGGCCCGCCCGATGCTTGGGCGTTGATCTGGCAATTTCACCATCACTGGGAATTCTGATTGGATGCAATAACCATGATGATCTATAATGAAGATAATGGACTATAATTCATGATGTCTCCAAATTGATGATTATAGGATCATTATGATCATTATGGAATCATGAATTATGATGATCATAATGATCATAATGGGGATATCATGGAATATCATCGAATTGTTCAATGGACTATAATTAAGTAGATAACTGACAATTTGGTCTTGGGGCATGTTTGTATACGTGGGACGGGCCTCCTCCAATTCATTGCGTCATTTTTATGGGAAGGTGATGGACCATCTGATAAGTTCCATCAAATAAAAAGGGACACCAAAATTTTGTTTCAGACGGCCAGAGTCCAGTGGTAGCTTGAAAAATCAGAATCCCACATACCCTCTGGTAAACTAACATAACTATGGAAAATCACAATTTTTCATGGGAAAATTCACTATAAATGGTCATTTTCAATAGCTATGTTAAATTACCAGAGGGTATCCTTTTCCCACTGGTTGATTGAGGGTTCCCATGGAGCAACCAATAGCACACGTCTGGATTTCCGGGTTCGCCCCAGGAATAGTGTTTGTGGCTTAGTTCACGGCAGGGATCGCTGTGTAACTAGGGCTCATCCACTTTTCTTAAGTGGGTCACAGCCAAGAAAATCAACCCACTTCCCGGGGTGAACTACTTCAAGATGAAAGCTGGTGAGCCACCCTATTTTTAAACTTGTTCACTGGTCAAAATCACACCTCATTTTTCACCAGTTTTGTTTTTCAAAACCAACCAGCTGAACCATTATGGTCAGAGTCACACCTTGCTTTACCATTTGTTTGGAGTTTGGACCAAAATCAAAATCATATCCTCTTTTTCCCGCCATTTTTTGATGCTTAAACTGTCAAACCACCCAGCTTCAGCCTTCAGCGACTTTCCAGGAAGTGCAAGCGCTCCACTTCCACGACTCCGCAGAGGATCCCCGGGTCGTTTCGGTGGGCACCTTCTCCAAACTCATTGGCCCCGGCGTGAAGGTTGGATGGCTCCAGGCTGATGCGCGGCTGCTGAAACGGATGGCCGCGGTGGGCTATGTGGAGACGCCTGGCATTGCATGGCTTAAAAAAGGCTTGGAGGAAGGGGAAAATATGGGAAAATGCTGGTTTTTATGGGAAACATATGGGAAAATTGGGAAAACTGATCAGGTTTTATCCAATTCATGATAGGTAAATGATCGCCACAATGGTGGTAAATGTGTCATTTTACATCTATATATATATTTGGGAGGGGACTGTTGTGGCCGCCTCTTTTTTAACTATTGTTGTCAAGTTTTTAACTAACCATGAACTATTTCACTGGGAAACCTACACAAAAAAGTCATGAATAACTCTTGAACCATTGTTTAGCCAAATGTCTTGCAATTTTATTTGGTAAGTTCCAGGCAGTCTTGACAAATGTCATGGGACACATATGAAATTATTTCGTGAGAAACATTATTTGCAGCCTTTACCAAGTTTTGAAAAGGATCTGAAACTTTAGCAGCAATGGCCCTCAGGTTCATTTCATCAAAGTATCTTTGGTTCAGTTAGTGGTCTGCCTAAAAGGTCTTGCATGTGTATATATACTTTTTCTTTCTAAGTTGTCATCCTTGAAAATCACAAATTTTCTTGCAGCAGCAGTTCAAAATCTCAAGCTTTCAGCTTTCCAGGCATGTCAAAATCATTCAAAATCTGTAGATTTTTGGTATGCAGTTTATATGCAGTTTATATGTAGTTTATATGCAGTTTATATGCAGTTTTCAAAACTGCATATAAACTACATGTAGTTTGGTCAAAACTGCATATAAACTACATGTAGTTTTGAAACTGCATATAAACTGCATATAAACTGCATATAAACTGCATATATAAAACTTCATATAAAATTTATATGAAAATTCAAGGGCTGACATGTGGTTTTTAAGGATTTTGATTATACATTTGGACTTGATTCCACTGATTCCCAAACCTTTGGACACCAATATGGACATATAAAATTCATAGTGTGATGCAATCAAAACTGGCAATGCCAGCAACTTGTTTCCTTTCCCAAAACTTTGAAACAATTGCAAGTGCAAAGGCCCAGTGCACTTGTTTACAAAAATGATTTGAAGAATCATAAAAGGTTATTTCTGTTCACAAGTAAGTAAGCATCTCTAAAGATCCAAGATCATCATATGTAAATCTCAAGTAAAGAGGTTTCAAGGAACCATAAAAGATTCTTTTGGCTCACAAGGAAACATCTGTACAGGCCCAGGATCATCCCCTACACATGTAAATCTCAAGTAAAGATGCTCTAATATACCACAAAAATCCAAGAACATCACATGTAAATCTCAAGTAAGGATGTTTTAGGCAGGACAATACAAGTTTCTGTTTGTGTTCACAAGTAAACATCTGTACAGGTCCAAGAACATCACATGTAAATCTCAAGTCAAGAGGTTTTAAACAAAACAATAAACTTCTTTGTATTCACAAGTAAGCATTTGTACAGATCCAAGAGCATCACATGTAAATCTCAAGTAAGAATCTTTGGAGGAAACTGTCAGTGAACATATAGAGATTGAAGTGCTAGCTACTATTGGAAAAATGTATATGGAAAATCCAAAACTGTTTCAAGTATCCCCAGGTTTTTGCCTGCAACAAAGAAGCATGTTTCAAATGTTATGGATGCTTGGTCCCAAAATGGTAAAAAGACAATGATATGATCTTTACATGAACCTGCGCCTGGCATAAAGTACTCAGGCTTTGTTTGGAGGGTCACTTGATGGATCCTTAATTGAAGAAACTTCTATGTGCCAATCTTTACTTGTGGATTCAAACAATATGGTATATATTTGATGGATCCTTACTTGAGGAAACTTCCATGTGCTAATGCTTACTTGTGGATTCAAACGACATGGCCTATATTTGATGGATGAGCAGGGAATATAGAAAATTAGCTAACCACATGTTGGAAATTAGTAGTTAAATAGATCTGATGATCTTAGATTAACTTGCTTCAGGAGTCCAGACACAGAGAGAGCGGCGCTAAAAGCCAATAAAGGCAGATGACCAGAGAATATAGAAAATTAGCCAACCACATGTTAGTACTTAAATGTTAAATAGATCTGATGATCGTAGATTAGCTTGGATTAATCTGGATTAATCTGGATTAATCTGGGACCAAAAAAAACAAAAAAAACAAAAAAAAACAAAAAAAACAAAAAAACCAATGTTTTGGAGACTAGTCTAAAGATAGCCCTGATCCAAGTAGTCCTGAAAACATTGTTTTTTTTTGTTTTTTTTGTTTTTTTTTGTTTTTTTGTTTTTTTTGTTTTTTTGGTCCCAGATTAATCCAGATTAATCCTTGGGGCTTGAACAGATATCAACACACAAGTTATCGGAAGGGAATGTTGTGACACCCAAATCTCACAAGAACACAAGTTATCGGAAGGGAATGTTGTGACACCCAAATCTCACAAGAAGTATTCTTTATACATATTAAGTGTGAGATTTGGGCGGCCACAACAGTCCTTTCTGATATATTTACCCAATTGACTCCCCCCCAAAGGTACCCGGGGTGGTTGGAGCAAGCCTACTGAAACCTGGATTGTTGAAGATTTGACTGTTGATCTTCTTACTGGTTAATCCATGTTAATCCACCACTTGGGGAATCCAATTGGCCGGTTTTGTTGTTTTTGATGGCGAAGCAAAGCCCAGATTTTTCACGGGGAATTTTCCGGATGATTGATATATATATATATATTGATGTCATTTTTGGGCCACATCCTTCAACATCCTCCGTCTTGAGGGGTGTGAAGTACTGAGTAAGTACTGGGTCTGGACACGCTGATGAATCTGATGATGGGAACAGTAGGGTACTTTGGTATTTTGATCCATCCCCATTTGCACAATGTTGTGGGCTGCTGTGGGTGACCCGCAGCCTGAAAGAATCTTGGTTGATGCCATGCAGTCATGGAACGATGGATAGGGAAATTCAAGGGAAATTGTACCTGTCTTCAACCGGTTGCAGCATGTCCAGAAAACTTTCTGCGAGTGCTCTCATAAATACATGAATAACTAAATAACGACAAAATAGATAGTGATGATGATGATCAATCTCAATAGATCTAAATATAGGATTTCACATATATATATATAGGGTGTATCTAGGTGAATAGATGTATTATGTGTTTGTTATCATTATCTTCATGTTTTTATGCACAGAACTGCACTTGCTGTAGATCCACGTCTCGGAATCTCCATGATCTCCATGGCCATGGTCCCCAGGAGCGGTGGCAATCCGGTGACCTTTTCCTCCATGGCCCTGCTGCATTTCATGACTTCTGGTCAGTTGGACAAGCACATCGCCCACGTCTCGAGCGAGCTGAGTGACTGGCGAACGTTTGGGTTTGTGTGGGATAGTCATCAACAACAAGTTATAGCTGGGGGGGCTCACCTTGTACCCTCTGGTAAACGTTTACAAATAACTATGGAAAGATCCACCATTTTTCATGCGAACACTCACTATTTCAGTGGCCATTTTCAGTGATCTGAGTGGAGGGAAACCGAAAACCGGAAATGTTCTAGTGATTCTGTTATTGTTTTTCAACAAGTGCCATCTGGTAATGACTAACATAGCGAACTGGAAATGGACCATAGAAATAGATGTTTTACCTATTAAAATAGTGATTTTCAATAGCAAGCTGTTAGTTTACCAGAGGGTATATCAAGTGGAGGAACCCCCTAAGTACTGCCCCATTGAGGCCAGCGGTGTCAGTGGCTGTGCCGCAATCTTCGTGAGCTGGGGTTGGAAGTCTATGAGCCCAGAGGCTAGGGGGTCAAGGGAGGGGAGGTACCTGGTGATATGATAGGGATTTGAAAGGATTTTTTTTAGGGATTAATTTGGATTAATGTTGATGAATGGTGATTTTATAGGGGGGTAATGGTGATTCATGGTGATTAATGGTGATTCATGGGTTTGCTGAGATTGTGATTTGATACCAGGGGGGACCGAAATGGGGAATATGTGTTTTGTTTGGAGGCCCTGGATGGCAACATCTAAGTGGAACCTGCAAACATAAGAGCTTTCACCTGGTTACCTGGCTTAACATGTGCCATGCCCGACAATAGGCCCATGACCAAATCTTACACCAAACAAATGCTTTGAGAGATGTGTCCCCTGAGATATTTTTCTGAAAGACTCAAAACACTGGCCCTATGCAGGGATTTGAGCATGTCAAAACGTTTGCGGCGAACATGTTTCGTCGATCTGAACAAATGTTTGAGCAAGGATTTTAACAAAGGTTTCAGGCAACAACAGAAAGATCAGAAAGGGACTGTTGTCGTGCAAAGTTTGAGTGAAATGAGTCGCGCTTGTTGAGAAATATTTCTGGGATGGCTTAGAGCCAGCAGATACGGTAATGATGCTGACACAGCAGCTGGCTGAAAAGTCCACCAGTTAGTTCGAAGATTTTCCCAGCAAACCTCCATTTATAGATTATTTATAGTGGATGTTCCCATATTTTCCCGCGGCAGTTTGCCAGAAATCGCCATATTTTTAACCCAAAAAATGAAGGCTTTTGTTCGCCCACTCCGCCCCCTCACTTATGAATTCCCGTGACATCTCACGAAATATGATTGCAGTATATTGCAAGTAGATATTTCCAAAAACCAGAGAGACAGTAATCAACAGCACAAAATCTCATGAAACATCTCAGTAAATCCCATTAAATCCCATTCAATCAACATATCAACATTGTTGCGAGCCACTTCTAAGCTCCATTGGGCAAAAAAAGGACACCATGAGGTTGACCGTAAAGACTTAAGGATGGGATGAGGGAAACCATCCCCAGCTTTAGGAAGATGCAATGGGATTTTTAATGGGAGTTAACTATTTTAACAAGATTCTAGTAGGCTTCTATGGGATTTGATTGTGATTCAATGCAACAACCATCGGGTGGTTTTTTCATGAGTTTCAAATGAATGACCTAAGAAGGTTATTGAGTTGGCAATGTATTTGTTTAAAGTTTAAATAGTAGTTCTCCAACTGGGGCTTAAACTCAATCATCATTCAGGTCACTCATTCCACTGGATTGAGGATTCAGGTTGCACCTGACTTCACCTGCTCTAAAATCTGACGAAGTCATGTGGCTTGGACAAAGATGCAACGACTTTTGCATTTAAACATGCAGCATGGTTCATCATGATTCACAGGACGAAACAATCTGCAAATCGCAGGAAAACGTGCTACAAATGGATGCACATGGTCATGTTTCGTACCCAGCATTGGTTGAGAATTGCATCTACATTTGTCTACATGCAGACTTGGCCAGCTTATCTCACCATAAATCATCAAATAATTTCAGACAGGTATAGATCAGCAATCAGTACATATTACATACCCTCGCGCTTGATTATCTCATACATATTAAATAACCAGTACTTAAGTCATCTTAAGTCCCATGGGTAATGTTATATTATGTAATATTAAATCAGCTAACATTTATTCAAGCTTGAGATTTTGAGGATTTTCGGTCGCGCCCCGATGCCGCTGGCATCGCGGTTATCGCGCTTCGCCCAAGATGATCCTGGGCTGCGGCTGCGCATGCCTGGAGTCTACCGCCAAGGGGAAGCAGGCGAGCAGTGACTCAAAGACCGGGGAAGGTGGTGTTTTATTGGGAAGGATCCGTCAATGTTAGGGGTTTCAACTGTTTCAATCAAAACTATGGGGGGGTGCGATAAAGTGATGAGTTGATGATTGGTTCGGGTGTTTTCTAGCTTCTACATTTTATATATATATATATTTATATTTTTTTATGGATATTGTTATTACTACTACTATTTAGTATCATCATTATCATTATTTATTAGCATTATTATTCTTGTTAGGCTCCAGGGTTGTTTCCGGCGTTCTCAAAACCGATGGTTTGTGCGGACGCCTATCCCGCAGATGTTAGGGTTACACCTGAAGTGGGGAGAAATCTGGATTCAATGTTTCAGTTGCAAAAAGAAGCTTTTAGATTCAGCAAAAAGAATCACAACTTGGAAGCGTGCACAAGGACATTGAGGTGCCCCGGCATGTGCTCATGTACAGCTGTGTCAGTCAAACTTCTTGAAATGTTGCGCTGGGTTGCCGATACTGTTAGCATTGTTTGTGCACCTCACTTGCACGGTTGCAACTTTTTCCTCTGCAGTCATTTTCTTGCTACAGCAATCATCCTTTTCAGCTGTCATCCTTGCTTTGCTGCCACCCCTGTTCATCACGTCATGTACCACGCCTTGGAAGCGGCCAAGAACCACATCCTGAAGCACTACGGGCAATACCACACGTTGACATAGAGGAGGGCGCCGCGACCTCGTCGGATTTGCCGTTGATGGCTGTTCCGATGAAGGGCAAAAAGTCCATCAAGGAGTTCTTTCAAATCGCGCGCAACGTCTCGCAAGGCGATCGGGATGCCATCATGGCAATCTGAATGTCGCCGCGCTACCTCCCTCAGTACGGCCCCGTGACAGCTTAGGTGAACCGGTCAAGTTGCAGATTGTGGTGGAGGAAGGCGCAGAAGAATGCCATGTGCTGAAGTTCTTTCATTCGAACCTTGACATCCCCATCGGCCTGGCACGGGTTTGGTGCCACAACGACGTCTTGCTCATTGACTACAGGATGGCCCCCAATTCGCATCTCGTCAAAGTGGGTTTCATGAAGCTGCTGTCGAGCATTCCAGGACGGCAGTGGCTGACCCAAGGCATCCGTGCCAAGCCTGGCCGTGCATCTGGGATGCCCAAGCTGACTGCGGAAGGAAAATGGGAGCCTACGGAAGATCAACACCGAGAGGGCATGGCATTCATCAATCTCAACGCATCCTTGTCCAATGCGAACAACCAGCAATACCTGTGGGTGCTTCTGAATGTCTGCGCTAGTGATTCCCGACTACATGGCTGGCCGGAACATGTTGTCCTCATGGCCTGCGCAAACCGGACAACAGGTAACTCACAGGCAGAGCCAAGAGTGGTTCTTCCCTCTCCTGCTCGGTGATCTCAACCGTGAGTTTTTGCGAAAGATCATTATCCGTTTGATGACTTCGCATGGTTTGATGATTCTGGGCAAAGCTGGTATTGGGAAGACACCGGTCGCACAGGTTCCCACATTGTAGGGACCACGCTTTTTGCTCACAGACCGTGTGCGTGCGGCAGACGACCGTATGGCAAAAGCACACGCAAAAACGCACGCCGAAAACGAACCTGTAACCTCTTATTATTAGTGTTATCATTATCATTCGTCTTCTTCTTCTTCTTCTTCTTACTGTCATTATCATCATCAATCATTATCATCATTTATTTTTATTATTATTAATGATGATGATGATTATTATTATCACTGTTATTAATGTTAGTTATATATATATAGACAGATATATCGAGTGGTACCACAATCCATGAGCTGGGAACCCCATTCACCTGTTCAGGTGGAATCGATGGATTCAAAGAGTAGCATGCAGGTGGATTACTTGATGGAAAATCTCGGTCCCGGAACCGCCAGTGACAGCGAGGAAAGCCATCCTTCATCCCCGGACTGGCCCCTTGCTGATGGAAGGTACCAAACTTTGCTGAAAGAAAACCAATCTGAACGCATTGCTTTCCTGGGCAGCTTTGAAGGTCTTTTTCAAAAGGGGCTGCCGGTGGTGTGTAGTTTCCCCGGGGCCTATGGCAGTGCGTGGAACTTTTTGACCACTCAGTCCAACTATGCCCAAAGCAAGCTGCGGACGAGCTGTATCTTTCTTCCGGACAAAGATGCCCCTGGCTTCGGCGAACACATCTTGACCGGGGACAAGGGTTCTGCCTGTCATTGTTTGCATCTCTATGGGCAGCCGCAAGATTCCTGGGTTTGATGCGGGTACATGCATGCATACATACACACCTTACCTTACATTACATTACAATACATTACAATACATTACGTTACATTACGTTACATTGCGTTCACATAATTACATGCATACCATACCATACATTACATTACAATACCTTACGTTACAGTACATTACATTGCAGTACATTGCATGGCAGTACATGAACATAATTACATACATTTCATACCATACCATACCATACCATACATTGCATTACATTACATTAACATGATTACACGATATTACACGCATACCATACCATACCATACCATACATCACATTACATTACGTTGCCCTACATTAAGCTACAGTACATCACATCACATCACATCATACATCACATCATACTTCAAATGATACATCACATGATACATCACATCATACACCACACCATACCCCACATCATACATCACATCATACATCACACCATGCATCACATCATGCATCACATCATGCATCACATCATACATCGCATCATGCATCACACCATGCATCACATCATACATCACATCATTCATTCAGTCATCCCATTCCATTCCATTTCCATTTCCATTTCCATTTCCATTTCCATTTCCATTTCCATTTCCATTCCATTTCCATTTCATTTCCATTTCCATTTCCATTTCCATTTCCATTCCATTCATTCCATTCCATTCCATTCCATTCCATTCCCATTTCCATTTCCATTTCCATTTCCATTTCCATTTCCATTTCCATTTCCATTCCATTCCATTCCATTCCCACATTTCCATTTCCATTTCCATTTCCATTTCCATTTCCATTCCATTCCATTCCATTCCATTCCATTCCATTCCTTCCATTCCATTCATTCCATTTCATTCGTTCCATTCATTCGTTCCATTTTTTCATTCCATTCATTCCATTTATTCATTCCATTCACTCCATTCATTCATTCCATCCATTCGTTATTTATTCGTTCCATTCATTCCTTCCATTCATTCGTTCCATTCATTCGTTCCATTCATTCCTTCCATTCATTCGTTCCATTCATTCCTTCCATTCATTCGTTCCATTCATTCGTTCCATTCATTCGTTCTGTTCATTCGTTCTGTTCAGTCGTTCCGTTCAGTCGTTCCATTCAGTCGTTCCGTTCACTCGTTCCGTTCATTGGTTCATTGGTTCATTGGTTCATTGGTTCATTGATTCATTGGTTCATTGGTTCATTGGTTCATTCATTCATGCATTCATGAATTCATCCATTCATTCATTCATTCGTTCGTTCGTTCATTCATTCATTCGTTCGTTCGTTCATTCATTCATTCATTCATTCGTTCGTTCATTCGTTCATTCATTCCTTCGTTCGTTCGTTCCTTCAGTCATTCATTCCTTCGTTCCTTCGTTCGTTCATTCAGTCATTCATTCGTCCATTCATTCATTCATTCACTCAGTCAGTCAGTCATTCAGTCAGTTAGTCAGACAGACAGACATACATACATGTTGAGTTTTTAGTTTTAATATGGGAAACCCGCGGAAATCCATTTGGGAATCTCTGGGGAATATGTTTTATTTTTTATTTGGGGGCCTGGATCGCAAATCCGAGGATTTTGGCTGTGCATGGTACAAGCTCTGGATGCGGAAAACGCTTCAGGCTGTTGAAAAAGATTGCGACCTGATTGTCGTGACCAAAGAGGATGGCTCCCTGGGAACATCGCAACAAGCAGAGGCTCGCTTTTTGGAGCAAGGCGGCCATGTGTACTGCCAAATGAACATCAGGGAGTTTCTGCTTGATGAGTTCAACAATTTTCTCATGTTCCCCTTTGCTTGTCCTGGGTTTGTTTACAAAAGGGTGATTTTGTAAAAAAAATCGCAATGGAAAATAGACCACTTGGTAAATCGACGGGGAATATATGAATAATATGAATATATATATATATGTGTGTGTGTGTGCGTGTGTATTTGGGACCCCTTAAGCAAATCCAAGTTAAATAGGACGTTTCAACCTTCATTGGCTGACATTTCTTCAGACGGTTTAAAGCAGCAACCAGGTTTGTCCTATATCACGCAGATGATGTGCCGCAATCCGACAAGACGAACATCACCCGGGACCTAGAGGATCGCATGGAAGAATGCCAAAGAGCCAAAGAAATCAACCGGGCAAAAGTGAAGGAGATCCCTGGGCTATATTGAGGTGATTTGAAATTTGGGTTACTTCCTCGGAAAATCCAGCAGTTCTTTGGGGGCCCAATGGAAGCAAATCATAGCAAATCTAAGGATCCGTGCGCCTTTTCAACCAAGCTACAGTTCTCTGCATGCTTTGTGGCACTTGCCAAAGAGGTGTCTTGGATTTGCTGCTTTTTGTCTTAAAATCCCATTGCCCATGCGAAAATCCAGAAACGGAGAATCTTCATGAATCTTCTGTTTGTGAACTATTATCAAATAGAAATGACCAGTTTTTTGCTGCATGCTGTTTCTTGGCCTGCCAAGCCAATCATGTGCAAACAGGATCTCGACGAAGGTGGCCTGGTGGGGACAGTCATCTCCCAACCAGCCACCGTTGGAAGAGCCACGCCAGCCGAAACGTCTTTCAATATTCTCGCGGGCGATGTCAAACGATACCAGACCTTAGGTCACCCGATGTTTTAAATAATTTTCTGGGTAAATTATAACCTCACTGTTCTCTGTCACCGGAATTATGGCGAATGTATATCATCCCAAAATCGCCAAACTTTTTTCAGTTTGGTGAATTTGGCCGATAATTTGCCCAGACCAAAATCGATGGAATGTGACCCAAAGGGGTCCATCGCTGATCCAGGTGAATCGACTGGAAATATCTTGCGATAGATACGTATGATTGTTTGTTTAGCACATATCTCCATTGTTTATCATGATTTACGATGAGGTATGTATATATATATAGATGATTTTAAATAATATAATATATAATACTGTATAATATAATATATAATATAACATAACATATGATATAATATAATATCATATCATACAATATATAATGTAATATAATATAATATAACATACTATAATATATAATTATATAATACAATATATAATAGATAATATTCAATATTTACTATAATATAATATAATAGAATAGAATATTCTAATATAATACATAATATAATTCAATATAATATAACATAATATAACATAATATAACATAATATAATATATACTATAATATAATAAAATATGTTATATGATATATATTATATTAAATTAAATTAAATTAATTTATATTCTATCCTATGCTGCTATATTATATTTTGAAATAATGTTAACCGTTATTTTATATATTATAATAAATTGTATTATTTTACGTCATACAACATAATATAATGTAACATAAAGTAATGTAATATAATGTAATATAAAATGATGTAATTTAATATAATATAATATAATATAACATAATATATTATAGATATATATATATAGATAGATAGATAGATAGACAGACAGACAGATAGATAGACAGACAGACAGACAGATAGATAGACATCAAAAAATGTTCCCATCCCATCGTGGCAGGCGGCTACTTCCTGTGGGTCAAGGGCCAGTTGTGCATCGGGAAGGAGGGTAGAGATTTCACCATCCGCCAGGAGAGCTGTTCGGCACCTCGGTGAGATGGGGCTTGAAACATGGTGACAACCTGGATGCGAATGTCTTGAAATTTATCGGGATTATATAAACTAGAAACGATAAACAATGGTAACTTCTAGGGATTTAGCATGATTTAACCATCAAAAAAGGTGAAACATGGTGACTCAACAATGGATAAAAATGGGGAAATCTTCGCATGGAAACTAACCATCAAACATGTGCCATACAAAAATCATCGTAATTTCAATGGAAATTCATGGGGTTCTAATGGGATTTCAATTTGATTTCAGGGGCATATTAACTCTGGTGAATGAGGAAACTACCCTCCAGCAAACCCTTACGTTACTTGAAATCCCACTAAAATCCCTTTTTAATCAATATTTCGATCCCATTGACATTCCAAGAATCTCATTAAAATCCCATTGAACTATGAAAACCCAATTAAAATCCCATTAGCATTCCGTTTTCTGGGGATATTCCCTTACATAGGCCTCAAGAATAGACCAAACATATATGGTAGGTACCTCCAATCTAGGAACCTGAAATGGCCACATCCCATGGCTCTCAAAGCTCCAAGGACTACACTCGGCTCAGTTTCAGCTGGCTGTCCTGGGAAGAGATGCAGCGGGGTGTTGACCTGCTACGCACGGCGTTACGCAAGGAAAAGTGGAATTTCGCAAGGAAAAGATGGGGATTCCATGGAGGTTTTACCCTCCGGTAAACTGTTACATAACTATGGAAAAATCCACCATTTTCTATTGGTAATTCAACTATAAATGGCAATTTTCAATAGCTATGTTAGTTTACCAAAGGGTAGGGATTTCATAGGGTTTTTCCTTGATTTTTTTTGGGGGGATTTTATGGGCATAGAAGATGGGAATCTATGGTGTGTGGTTGATGGCCGGGTTTGATGGTTATGGGCCAGTATGGGTAAAACGCCTTCAGAAAATCAAGAGAATACCAAACGTCAACCCACAATGGAACAAATCAAGATAAGATACCAGACAAATCCGAACAGTTGAATGATGGTTTCTTTCAAGAGATGGGTTCTGATCGATTCCCTTGGCAGGTTCGTTGAATTGGAAGGGGTTTTCCATGGAGGAATCGGATCTCTGGCCTTCTCTCATCAGCGCAAAACTCTCAAGGCTTCAGAGGTTACACAAGCACAATCTTGAGACTCAGGAAATCATGGAAAAACATTTAAACATATCATGAAGCCTTGTTTTGTCTTGATCAAGAATTCAACACTTTGTTTTTCTGAACTTGGGGCGTTGGCCAACCTCCAGCTACGCGCCAACCGCCGCCGTTGCACTGGCATCAGAAAGACCTTCTTCCAGAAGCGGCGGCATGCTGCCGCGGAGAGATTTTCGAACGATGAAGGAGCCTAGTGTTTTTCTTCTCTCATGCCTTACATCAGAGGAAACTTGACCAACTGGGGGTGCTATGTTCAGTATTGGGTTTGTCACATTGAACAGATATGCTCCATCCGAGTACCAATCATGGAGGTACCATCCTTTTTGCAGGCCTCAGAAGCTTAGGTATTTGCAATTTAGGTTGCACGTTCCTTTCAGTTTCTAGTTTTTAATGGCGATGGTATTGGTGCCAGGATTTATCGCGCGATGGACACCAGTGCCTCAGGTTCGGTCCGAACAGCTGGCTCCCAGTTTTTGCTGCCTGGTCATCTATCAACATGTTACATTTTCTTGCAATTTGATAGATGTTGTTACTTGTATATTTTGATGCACTGTATTATTACACTGTACATTTTCCACATGTTGTTTTTTTGATATTTTGCTGGTTAGGATCCGCTTTTCAGACTCCCCGCAGGTCAACTTTTTTACATCACCAGGCTCCCGAGGGATCGGTGGCGCAGTCGGTGAGGGAGCAACGGAGTCAACGGAGCTATGGTATCCATATGTATCCATATTCCTTCCTTCCCATGGGGAGCCAAGGAGCCACGAGTTCCCAACCTCCAGCCTAGCAGGCCTAGCAAGCTTATTTATGTAGAGAAGGATGAACCTGTGGAACAGCTGGCTGGATCTCAACACAGCCAAACCGGCTGGTTGAAGCATCCAAAAAGGATAACGTTGGATTCAACCAACAATGCAGGGAAGAATTTGGGATGTAATTAATCGACAAAAAATGGTGAATTCATCTGTTTCACCAAAATGCACCAACAAAGACTAGGACCATCTAAGATCTTTTCCTATTTGCCCAGCCTGTTGCAAGGCGTTTGGAGCGGCGAAAACGCCGGCGCCCAGGGTTCAACGCCTGGGTGGAGGTGGGGGTGTATCCAAGACCCATGGTGACGACTGGGGATCACCTTTTTTAAGAACCCCCCGATATAGTTTTACCAAGTTCTTAGTCTTACCATTTGATTTCTATAGTTCAAAAAGTAGTTCTAGTAACTATGAACATCTATGAACTATGATTGGAAATCGACTGGTTGGCAGCTTCATTTTTCACAGGTTTGTTTTATTGTCTGTTTTAATTGAAGAGGATGCTTCAAAATGATGTTCAGTTTATCATGGAATTTGAATTTGAAATCTACCAAAAGTTTCCATGGGAAAATCATCTTCCATAACATTCTTGTAGGGGTCCTTCCGTAGCCTCATGAGCCTACCTCTCTGGCAACGAACGCGCGTGGAGCATGGACCTGGATGAAGTGAAAAAAGATGAAAAAACGATGGAAACCCATACCTTTGGATTAAAAACCCATGGTTTTCCCTTGCCCAATGATCCACTTCAGGCCGTCCATCGACTGAGAGAGGTGGCTGGCACCAGCTTCAAAGGTGCATGGCCATGGCTGGTAGTTATGGATGCGCACCCATGGCATGAAACGTTTTGACTCAGCATCTCCAAATGTTCAAACGATGGTTGAAATACGTCAAAATAATATTAAATATGTATATCCCAGAATTGGTTGAGAGGAAACTTTGCAGAAATCTAGTAGGTTTGCCTGTAAAATGCAAAAAGCAACATTTTCCATGTTTTTTTTCGATAAAATATCCCGTAAATCAATCTATTAATAGATGAAACATATTTTTATAGACCTCGTTGGTTTTTCGGAGCTCCTTGACCCCCCAATTTTGTGGGGAATATGGATGCAGAGGCTGCAGAGGTATACAGCCATAGCAAACCTGGACAGCTTTCATTTCTCCCAAGTATCCCATCATAAATCTCATTATACTGTAAATCCATTGTAAATCCCGTTAAACCACCATTTTCTGTTGAAGTCACCATTCTTCAACCGTTTCTGTTCATGCCAAGTGTCCCATTCAAAAAATCCCATCATAAAAATCCATCATAAATCATGAGATTTATGGGATACTTGGCATTGTATTCCATTTTAAATGCCATCAACCCCGCCGTCACAGCATCATTTTTTTGTCTTCCGCCAGGCGAGCAGTTCCACTTCAACGCTCTACTGAGTTTGGGCGCCAAATCGGGCCCTTGGGCTCGAGTGCTGCAGAGCTTCCATGAGGCGCCCGATGGATTGGAAAAACCTCTGGATGACCGGCCAAAATATGGGACATAAAGCGAAAAGGTGTATGAATTCGTCTGAATTGATGAAGGTTGGAGACATGATTCGATTCACCACATGATTTGATTGAAGTGATCAATGGGAATTTCAGGATCCTAAAATGGAGGCACTGTACCAAATAAGGCAATATTTTGTGGGGATATTCCCTTACATAGGCCTTATATAGGCCTTATATATGGTAGGTACCTCCACTTTAGGTTCCTGAAATGGCCATTGAAGTGATGGGAATCCCAATTTCGATGGTAGCTGATTAGTAGCTGGTAAATGTATTGTTTGAATGTGTGATAACATGATTAACATGTGATAACCACATTGAGGGTAACGGTCCCAAAGTGTCAAACTTTGGGTGATAACCACATTGAGGGTAACGGTCCCAAAGTGTCAAACTTTGGGACATGGGCTGGGCTGGATATTTGAGAAGCCATGATCACCCCCAAAGCACCTGTGAAATGATTGAAAATAAGGATGTTGTATGAGTCTGGTAATGGTTAAACCTCCATGTTTGCCGCTTGCGGCGCGAGACTTGACCAGACTTTTGGTCAGATCAGACCAGCGGTAGCGTTTCAAGTCAGTCATCCTGGAGTAGATAGAACTCACTAAAAAGGACATGTGTTTGAACATTCCACATTCTATCATTCTATCTACTTCAGGATGTTATACGCTTACTGTATATCACTTATTCACTTTTACACTTATTCACTTTTACACTTAAACACTTTCACGCTTATACACTTATACGCTTATACGCTTATACACTTAAACACTGATACGCTTATACCCTTATATACTTATACGGATACGCTTATACACTTTTACACTTATACAGTATACACTTAAACACTTGTACACCTATACTATACACTTATACATAGATTTTTTTCTTCATTACACCGTACAATAATACAATACAATGCAGTGCAATACAATACAATACGCACACACACACACACGTACATACATACTTACCTACCTGACTACCTACCTACCTACCTACCTACCTACCTACCCAGCTACCTACCTACCCAGCTACCTACCTACATACATACATACATAGATACATAGATACATAGATACATAGATACATAGATACATAGATACATAGATACATAGATACATAGATACATAGATACATAGATGCATAGATACATACATACATAGATACATAGATACATACATACATAGATACATAGATACATAGATACATAGATACATAGATACATAGATACATAGATACATAGATACATAGATACATAGATACATAGATACATAGATAGATAGATAGATAGATAGATAGATAGATACATACATACATACATACATACATACATACGCACATGCGCACATACGCACATACACACATACACACATACACACATACACACGTTACACGTGTATACTTTTTCATATGCTACACAGTCATGAATGATTCATACGTACCATTCAGGACGGAAACACATCTGCAGCCAGGTGTCGCTTCAAGCCACAGTGGTCACTTACAACATTGCTCTCCGAGTTTCTTCGCGGATGGTTGTGGTGAGTGTTTTGCAGGCGAAAAACTGCAAGAAATCGAAGGGGAATTGCACTAAATCCCATGAATTAATATATAATTAATGCTCAAAAAGAGGGAGCTGGATTACTATGGATTACTATTTCAGTACGGGATGTTTCCTGTCTATCTTTTTAAGGGTTTGCAATAAATGGGGATCTATATACTCAAGTTCGAAGCAACCATGGCTTGGTAGGAACCTGCAGAACCAAGAACATTGGCTCAACTGCGTCAACATTTTTCACCAAAATGTCTTTTCACCAGTTTCTGCCATGTAAAGATCAAAGTTCCCGATCAATTTTCCGCCACACCAAGCATGTTTCTAGGTCAATCTTAGATGGGTAGTTTAATCCTTTAGACTTTTGGCACCAATGGGATTATCTACTAACCAACTAAGAATTTGTCAAGTTTTTGCAGGGTATCTAAGATTGGCCATGTTTTTTTCTGTTGCCGAGTCAGAAGTGTGCCCTACCTGCGCCACAAAACTCAACCGGTTTGCAGATTTAAAGTCAATGCCAAACCCAATCCCACTGTGACTGTCCTTCACCTCCGGGTGTTTAGCAGACACATCTCGAGACAAATCATGTCAAATCTCAAATTCATTTGGAAGATCCCGAGATTCTACGTACAAATACCTATGAATATCACTTAAGCTATCAGAATCTATCAGACTCACTTACGTCACTTAAGTTCAGGTCACTTAAGGTCACCCCAGCTCGCTAAAAACGATCTCATCGTGAAGTCTGAGGCGCTCCCATGGCCCCTTGCCACACAGCTGCTCCATGTATTGCCGCAGCGCAGGGTGGTCACGGACACGGTGAGCAACTTCGCTGATCGGGGTTATCCATGGTTATTTTGTTGAGGGTCGTCATGGGGTGGCAAGGAGAGACCCCGATGGGGTGGGGATGGAGAAGTAAATTCAAGATGGTCCCAAATTTTGGGGCGACTGGCTGCAATTTTTACAGTAGCGGATAGAACAAGTGGGGGGTTGCCTAGTATACCTTGGGTGAAAACCCACGGGTAAACTAATGTAGACGTGGAAAACCTATGGTTTACTTTGGTTTCAGTAGGATTATTATACACATGGCTGATTCTCAACATCTATGTTAGTTTAGCCTAGGCCAACATCAGGAAATGGGTGATGTTGGAAAGGCCATAGTAGGTGGGTATGATCTGCACCAACCAACTGGATCGGTAGTCCAATCCTTTTTTTTTTGAGGGGCTATACTTGGAAACGAAGCATAAATAGCAAAAAACAATCGTTTTTTTTGGGACTACCAAGGATTGGCTATGACATGCAATGAATTGGAATTCCAAAATGAACCAGGGGCCAGATTGCTAAATGATGCACCATCGGAGGCACGATCCAATCCCTTGGGTGATCCTTAAAAACGTGGCCAGGAAAAACTCTAAACATCAACTGAACCATTGTTGGGTCGACGGCGGAACCCCCTTACAGCTCAGCTTGGGGAATTGATGGTCTGGCACTGCCAGGTTGGGTGGAACTTCCTGGAGTTTGTGAGTCATAGTATCTTGATCCATATTCCATATATGAACAATAAATATATGATGTGTTTATATATCCATATATGAACAAGTCACCATGATTCCACCATATATCCATATTCATGTCTAGTTTTTTTTTGGGGGTTGATGCGTTCATAGAGACATGTATTTGCGTAGATTTGGTTGTGCCGCTTGTGCCGAAATAGCACTGGAAAGAATTCCGGGAAAGTGCACCTGGAAGGAAATCAATCACTGTGCGCGGCCCGATTGGCTGGAGGTCTTAATTGGTGTAGTCTGACCTAACATAGCCATGGAAATAGCTATGGACATGACAGGTAAATAGATCATCTGCAAACGGCTTCTTTGCCATGGTCATTTAGATTACGAGCCATTGTGGCCGACGGATATTGTATAGATATGTATTGTTTGGGATGCTTTCGGGTGGGATCATTTTTTGCCGATCCGATCTGGTATATTAAAGGGCACCCGCCAATCAGTGGCGCAGCATTCCTTTTGCCCATCATCATCATCCTCTACCCTTGGCATAGTCACATTGCAGGTGGTGCAATCTAATATGATGCAGTTGCAAATGGTCCCAATCATGGAAGCCCGACCCCTTCAAAAAAGAGAATAGCCTTTGGTGGCCCCATGGTTGACGCATGTTGACGCATAAAACGCCGGCCCCAAGAACAAGTTTAGATGCAGGGTGCCCCCAGCAAACACAAACCGACTTACTCACATACTTACTGGGCAAAATCCCCAAGTGATAAGATAAGCAACCAGGCCTTCAGTTTTCAAGCTTTCTAGAAAGAAGCACCGGCCAAGATCGCGAGCTTTCAAGAACGGTCAATGCTTGCCGCCCTTTAAGTGGTTAACTTTGGCGCGGGTATGCTGGGGTATTGTCATGGCCCAGAGCCAGGTTCAAGCGCCAAAGCAACCCAAGAACAACCAAAATTTGTGGCCCTTGGGGCCCTTCAGCCTCCATGGCTGGCGAGGCTTTGCTTCGGCCATGGATGGCAGTCGCTGGGCCGTTTGCCTGGCGTTGCTGCGGCACATGGGCGCCAGCGCGGTAGAGGCGAATCTCATCAGTGCCTTTGCGTGCAAACCCGGTGGGTTTGCGCTCAGAAATAGTTGAAGACATGCAGGCCCCCTAAGCAATTTCTGGGGTATAGAATTCAACGATTTTCATTCAAACGAATCCAGTGATTTAGAACTGCTAGCAGCCTAGCGGACCCCGAACAGAGCCGCAGGTAGATCCGTGCTCAGTGAAATTTTGGTGTCGGAGTTCTTTGGAACTGCCAGAACATTCTACTGCAGCGTTGCAGGGTGTTGGATGTTTTTGGAGGATCAGAAGGTGTAGCGCACCACCCCCCTTTTGCAGAAGGCAGACGCGTTCGTTGCATAGACATCTCACGTACAAAAAAAAGCAATCCTGCCTATGCCACCCGCTTTCTTCCTAATTGCTTTCCCAAAAACAAATTGTATATGTTCACAGCCATTGCCGTCCATCACCATCATCACCATGCCTTGCCTATGGCCGAGGCTTTAGTTCCTGCATCAGCTCTTGCGAGAGGAGCACAGCTCCTTGGTTCCACGCCATGGGCTTGATGAGGCCTTTGAACCAAACCACACAGAAAACCACGGCCCGCAGTCATCCGAATTCCGTGGAATATGAGCAGCTGCCCGGCATTCTTGATGTTGCATGAGGGTGTAGTCACGGTGTAATCTTTTGATGCAGGTTTTTTTTTGCAAGAAGCTGCCTACGAGACTGCGTTTGCGATAAATTAATTTTTGGAAAACTAGCATGCATCCACAAAGACTCTGCGACCAGGCCGCTTCTATTTTTTGAGTGACTCGCGTGATCTCAAACTTGCAATCTGCTTAATTGTCTTTTTTTTAATTCTTGGCCTTTGGTGCGCTTTCCCAACTGCCAAAATCCCATGGACCCATATGGGCCCTTCTTCTGACATGGGAGGCGGGTACTGGAAGATGGCATTGAAGTGGACCGCATTGCCATGAACAGCGCCATTAGCGCCAGGTTCCCAGCGGTTCCATGGTACCCACCCATTGGTTAATTGTCCCATAGGATCCCTATTGGAAAAATTACACTTGAAGGGCCCCATTGTAAGACACACCCAAATGGCCTATTGACTTTGTACTTTTTACCTTTGTACTTTTTACCATTAATCACCCATTAATTTTAAATCCATATCAATATATCTCATGCATGGATTGACTGAGTTGACTCCAAGGCTTGTGGCGCTGCTTGGGCTGTCGCTCTGGTGCTGCTTCAGACCATGAGCCCGGAGTTGATCAGCAATGTGACCGCAGAGTTCAACCGGGGAAGGGGGTTCAACGTTTTTTTTTTGCACCACCCCTGGTTGGTTGGTTGGTTGGTTGGTTGGTTGGTTGGTTGGTTGGTTGGTTGGTTGGTTGTGTATATATGGAGGTATCCAAGCCATGGGGTGCCCCATATCATCCAAAATAGACTACTGTATTTTAGTAGTGAAACCTGGGTTTTGGGGATTGCACTTTTAGCAACCCCCCATATGTTGATCTTGTTATCCATGTTTTGATAGGATTTATGTGTTTATTTTTTGAAATAAACCACACAGTACGGGGTTGCAACTGATGGATGATGGTTGGTTGGTGTCTGTTTCAGTGGGGATGCCTGCAAAAATAAACCAATTGAGTTTCCCAAACATATGAGAACTGAAAACTATATTTGGTCAAACATCCAACATTTGCCCCTTATTGATCATCAAACTTGGTAGTGAACAACACGCACCTTTGATAGGAAAACCATCGCACATCATCTAAAAGCGGTTGTTCCTCCGGCACGTTAAATTACCAGATGGTAAATCACCCACCTTTGTTGTCGAAATCGAATCCAATTCGCCGCTGGTGAAATCCACGATTTTGCTGGCTAAATCCACATGTTATATCATGTTACTAGTTATATACCATGTAGGTAATTCGGTGTTTGTGCCGGTTCAAAAGAACATTTTGTCATCCTCTTGTAGTTGCTCGGTAGAGGGTAGTCCACAAACAGTTGCATCCCCAAGGTTGCAACAGTTTGCTGAGCTGTTGCGCGCAAGCCGGGCAGTGGCAATTGTCTCTGCATGTTCTGCATGTGCTGATGCCACAGCTGAGAGTGGATCCAAACGTGTCCTTTGGCGCATGCGCGAAGATGGTGTATTCTTTGGTCATTTGACTTGGAAATCAACAATTGCCACATGTTTTGGGGCATATTATTGCATATTATGGCATATTGTGGCATATTTATGCATACGGTTGGTATTTACCATTTTCACGCTACCAGTACCGCCGCTGCGGGAAGGCATTCATGGATGAAGACGATCCCATTGTCACCGTCACAAATGGCTAGAACAAAAATCCTAGGGTCAGCACTCATTTACTCACCAAGTTTCTATTTTTCCCAGAATTGGACGTACAATTTGCGGTTGAAACTCCCATATTGGATGGGATTTATCATGGTTTCCGGCAAAGATTTTTTCAACATATCCCATCCATTGATTTCCGGTGATATTCCCATATTTTGGGTCATGTTTTCATTAAATCCCCTTGCGTCCCCTGCTATATCCAATGGTTTCCCATACCATTCCCCCCATGTTTGTTAAGAATAAGCTGACACCGAACCCCGATTTTTAAGATCTCAGATGGCTAGATCCCTTATCAATACCATGTTCCCCATCCCATTTCTAGTATCTCATCCCATGAAATATCCTCAATTGGGTACAAGGTGACGCCCCCCAGTGATGTTTCTTAGTATATACACCCCTAGTTCCCTAGTTCGTTACATTCCTCAAAAACCCAAACATCAAGCGAGTTCTGTGGGTCAACTTGGCCATAAATCAGCCATAAATCCTATTCAATCCCCACTTATGTTCCCATGGGTTTTCCCAACGTTTTTGGCCATGGCCGGAGCATTTTCCCCTGGAAGGATCTCTTTTAGCTGCGCCATCAGCGCCTGTGACAAGGCCAAGAGCGCCTGGAACGTGGCACTGGCGCCTGGGAAAGTCATGTGAAATCTGGATATCATTGGGGATATATGATGGGATATATAACATTATATAACCCGTTGAAGGGAGGGGGTGCGATTTTTTAATTTATCACTATTTTGGTAGTAAAGAGGAAAATTGTTCCAAAGCCTTTGTTTGGCGGGGTCTATGTCAGTTGGAGGGTAACCTACGCAGATGGCGACGTTGTGGCCAAGTAGGAATTTCACGAATGAATGATGGATTTTGAGCAGGTAGAGAACATGATGTTTGCAGCGCCTTAGATCCCCATAACATCACATTTTTGTGATCTTAAATGATTGGATAAGAGCTGTTAAATCTCCCAAACCCGTTGAAACCACGTTCAGGTACAGGAAAATGATTGTAAATGTAGATTGAATCAACGCACCTATTCAGTGATGTCTGACTTTGTATAGCATGTATAGCCACTGGTTTGGGATGATGATCGCTGCTTCGGGGTGTGGTTCCACGGTAATTTCCATGAGCATATGACCATCACAATAGGTATGGCTATGTCATTTGAACTTACTGGGATTACGCAGGATTCTGAATTCTCTCTATGCAATTATGGCTATGCCAATAATTTTCGCCTCAAATTTATCATCATTTATCCAGACTGCAGTAGCCACATCCTATTTTATTGAATTAGAATCATACAACATCCATATTTTTAGACCAGTTTTGATGCTTTTCTGGTAAAATCCCACGTTTTTAGCATTTTTCATGGTGAAATCTCGCTGAGGCCTTGCTGCAGTGGATGTGGAAGCAGCGGGTGACGCCAAACGTCATCAGTGGCCAGGCGGCAGGCGGCAGCTCAACAGCTCGACCAGCTCGGGACCAGCTGGATTTTTTCCGTTTTTTTTTTCAGTCTTCACTATCCAATGATGGGGAAACCATGGGAAACCCCAAATTTTGACCAAAAAATAGGGAGATCCTTCGGGAAATCCAGCTGAAATCGCCCACTGGTCCCATCTGGATCAAATTTCCGATGAACCCAGCCTGGAAGCTGCGAAGTTGGCAAAGCTGGGTCAATTGATAACATATCTCCGAAGATGTATACACACACACACATATATATATATATATACATAATACATACACAATATATATATATAGATATATTGATTTATTGATTTATTTTTCTCCATGAGCCCGATCCCCATGAAATGGCCATGAAATGGCCGCCATTTTCTCATGGCTTTTCGCGACCGAGGCTTCAGCAGTGCCATGTCGGCCTGCGAGAAGTGCAGCCGCTGGGAACAGGCCTTGGAACTCCTTGGGGCGCCTTGGAACGTCGCGCAGATGGGATGTGGGGAATCTGTTCATGGATGGTTTGTGTGGAATATCATGGTAAATTATGGTGAATCTATGGTGAATCTATGGTTAATAATTGTTAATAATGGTGAATCTATGGATAATATATGATATATCTGGGTAAATTTGGTGAGGACCTCACTGCGACTTTACTAGAATCATGAGTAGTAAGGGGAATCATCCCAAAATGGCCGAACTATTCAGGTTGGTGGTAGCCGGCCGAACTATTCAGGTTGGTGAAATATTGTAATTTACCCAGATGGGATTAATGAATGATTGTTGATGGAATATATGGACAGATGAAGATATTTTCATATTATTTTCATGATTTAATGGAATATATGCGAATATATACTGGATGGATTTGATGACTACCGAACTGTGATGTCACTGGAATGATGGGTTATCATCCCCAACGGCCGAAGTGATACCAACGATTTTCAGCCAAATGGGATGGCGCTGCAGAAGTTGATGGCTGTCATCTAAAATGGGCTTTTGAAAACGAGGATGAAGGGTACCCTCTGGTAAACTAACATAACTGTGGAAAATCACAATTTTTAATGGGTAAATCAACTATAAATGGCCATTTTCAATAGCTTTTTGTATGTTTACCAGAGGGTATTTGGAGGCAAAATCTTGGGAGTGGCCTTGGACCTAAGCCCTAAGCATCTAGATCTAAGGTGGGAAGTGTAACACTGGCGGACTGTGTTACACGGGGGGGGATCACGGGGGGCCAGCAATCTAGCTGGGAGATCCCCCCCACAATTGTGGGCATTTGAGTGGACTTTCCCATCTTTAAATTGGGGGATATGATGATTGATTAATGCGGAGAAGTAATTTTGAGCACATGCATCTCTACTTGAGTATTTAAGAGTATATACTAGTATATATATATATATTTATTCCCCCAACAGTGTGTCCTCATCATCATCATCCTCCACATTATCATCCATTATCCTCCCACTCCCCCACACTGTTTGGGGTCTCTTGCCGGGATAACATATATATATATATTTATGGGGTTTATCTACCAACAAACGTTTAACTGGGCCCACACATCGCAAATCCCAGGCGCAGTTGAAGTGGGACATCCTGCCTGATGGGGTCAGTTCCGCGGTCCGAAATCCGCAGTCTGCGACACGGATTTCAGCCGATGGATCGTTTAGGATGACCGGTAGGTCATCTTTTGCCATAATGGATGGAACTGGATGAACACACACACACACATATATATATATATATATGGATCTAACGAACTTCAAAGAAAAGGCATAAACTTCAAAGATGAGATGTGAAACTGCATGGTGGGAAACTGGAACTGTTAATCTTCCATTCGGAATGCCAAGGAGTCACACGAAAACAGCTTGGGCTTCCAGATTGGCAGATGGAAAGGTCGTGCAAATTGAAAGTATAGCCATCATGTTTTCGGGATCAATGATTGAAACATTGCTGGAAATGGTAGTAATCTTGCTAATGTACTATAATGTACTGTACTATTGTCATCTATTGTCTATCGGAACAGCGTTTCTCATTGTTCCTGCTGTTACAGTATCTCAATATACCTCAATCCTATCGGAGCTTCAAACATGGGTTGCAGCTTCACAGCATCTTGGCAACCCGATGGGTCAAGATACCTGCGGGACACGGGTATGGCTCACATAGCTACCTTATGTGTCCTTATGTCTATGATTGACAATCCAATATTGTTGACCTTCTAATATCATCTAATGATTCAGGTAATCACTTGGTTTCCGACCTCGACCCCACGTAAGTTCATATCTCATCTCATCACATATCTATATATTCTCTATGCACTTGCGTCAAGGGTTCTGCGCTTCCCAGTCACGTCTCCACAGGTTACAACAGTGCCATCAGTGCATGTGAGAAGGCCGCTGCATCTCGGCCCTTTGTATTCTTCCGGTGGCACATAAATCTGTGTTTAATGGAAAACTTATGGAAAAATGGTGCTTCAACCAACAACACTGGTGGTAGAATGTGAATAATTATGGGGATATAATATATAATAGATATACCCCTCGAATTTGGGCTTGTACTACCGTTGTGCATCACCCAGGTGCAATGCTTCCCTGCCATATGACATGCTATACGCTATACTGTCTTTGCAATGATTCCAAGAAAAACGCTATCCACTTTTGGAGGTCGCATGTTTTCATTGGATTTGCCGGCAGCAACCCATCATAACCAATCTTTCAGAAAAAACGGTTTTCACGGGATCTGACGAAACGACCGAAACGGTTTTCGCGCCGCTTGACCGCGCCACTCGAGAAATGGGAGCTGGCCCTCTTGGTGTCCGATGAGATGCCCAAGGCACAGCTTTCGCCAGATGTGGTGACCTACAATAGCGCCATTGCCGCCTGCAACTGGGACTGGGAACGTGGCGAACGTGGTCAACCAATAACGATGGGAAGGGTCGGTGTCGCTGTCGATGCCAAAAAATTGTGAAAACATGTGAGAAACCTCGAAATCAGCAGGAAATATGAAGAAAACATCGAAGTACTTCATCCTGGAAATGCTTTTGGGCATTTTTGTGGGGGTTACTCTACACAGAGAATGTGGCAAAACCAATGGGTTTTGCAGGGTAACCGCTGGAACATAAACGATAGTTTCGTTTTTTGTTTCTGGTAACCATTGAGCTGCCCAAATCATTGGTTGACCAGACACTATTCAATGCTTGGCCTTTTTGCCTTCCAAAAGCGGTTAAAAAAAGTGCCCAGGGCCCAGCTCAAGTTTTTTTGGGGGTGTAGGATAGGGCCATCCCGGACCTCCCGGTGTTTCCCAACACTATCAAGGAGGGTTTGGTACATGCAAATTTTGGAGAAACACCTATTCCATCCACTGATTCATCATCACTATCTCTATGAGTCGATGGGTTCGCCCTTTAAAATGGAAGATACTATCTTGGTTGGTGGTTTGGAACATGACTTTTATGTTTTTCCATATATTGGGAATGTAATCATCCCAACTGACTTTCACTAACTCATATTTTTCAGAGGGGTAGGTCAACCACCAACCAGGATGTAATTAACCATCATTAACCATCATTAACCATATATTAACCATATATTAACCGTATATATATATCCCCCAAATGACAATTTTTTCAACCAAAATGGATGACAATTTTTTCATCGAGACCGGCCAGGTGAGAGTTGCGGGGTCTGGGCAACGGCCCTAGAGCTTTTGGATTTCATGGACCAGGTGGGCGATTTCGGAGGTTTGGGACCCCTGGGACCCGATGGGATTTTGTGGCTGGGTCCAACGGCTTTTTTTCCATCGAAAAACGCCAGTTTGATGTTGAATATCTTGTTGAATATATATATATATATCCAGTGAAAAATGGAGAATCTTGAGGACTATTCCCAGTTACGGAATATATATATATATATATTATATATAATATATATATATAATATATATATACGGATATATGTGAATATATATATATGGTTCATATCCATGAAATTCAATAATGAATATATACTGTATGGAATATATCAGTTCATTCGGGTCCAAAATTCACAATTTCCCAAGAGGCTTCTGTGATGCCAGACCTGATCAGTTTCAGAGCCTCGTCCTGTGAGGCGTGGGTAGTGAAGGTTAGCCTCTGGTAAACATACAAAAATCTATGGACAATTACCATATTGAAAAGGTCAACCATGGTAAATCAACCGTAAATGATTATAAATGGACCATTTTCCGGTTCGCTATGTGGCTGTTTACCAGGGGGTATTGATGTTGATTGAATGTCAAAGATTAAAAATGTGAATGTGAAAATGAATGAATAGATTCAAATATTGTGGATAGTGAGGTAGTGAAGGTAGATAGCTACCTCACTGCGACCTCACTGGAATGAGAATTAGTAAGAGGCGTAACTATCGCAAAATAGATAACCTTGTTTCAGGTCAGCAAGCTGTTTTAATTTGCCGAGATTCAATTGCCGAGCTATGGATGTGTTTCACGAAATGGGGTATAAACCATGGGATTTTGGGGCACCCTTTGTTCTGCGGCAAGTAGATAGACAACTTGGACGCCTGGACATGTGGAAATCATCGTCTATACCATCCTGCAAGTACTTGTCGATCTTTTTCACGACACTGATCGTGGTTTTCCCGATGCTTGCGTTGGACGAATCCGGATTGAGATAGCAAACCTTGGGATTCAATCGATGAAAAATAGGACGATCATTCAGTGGTGTAGATACCCTCTCGTAATTGTTCACGGTTAGCTATGGAACAACAAGACCATTCAAATAGCAGTAGGTCAATCATTTGTAAATGGGCCATGGCTTCCATGGCTATATCTAGTGACCAGGGGGTAGACAGATGAATTGAATATGAACATGTTTTTTTTAATAATTAATAATAATAGTAATGCCAGATAAAGTGAAAGTAGATGTATGATACTTATTGACAGGCACAAAAAGCAAGCGCACACAGGGTCACAGAATATTCGGAATATCATTCAATCGTACGACCCTCCGGTAGCCAAACGTGCCTTTCTGCAGAATCCACCATTTATCGTTGATTTTTCCAGCTACTATAAACCTTCATTTCGTTGGGGAATTTCCAGCGGCACGTTGAACCGTTGGATGACACCGTTGCGGGTAAGATCCCATTCTACTCCCACCATCATGAATCCCATGAATTCCTATTTAAGCACGAATATCACACATATTAGTCCATATTATATCCCATTACATCCCCATTCCCATTAAAACCCCATGACATCTACATTAAACGCATCCATTTGCATGGCAGAACACTTGAGTGAGGCAGCGCCATCACTGCATGCGAGAAGGGTTTCCAATGGACTTGGGCTTTGCACCTTCTGCAGAGGCTGGGGAGCCAAAGTTGATGCATGGACAGTACCTATGATGAGTAAAAAAAAATCTTGGGCTTGGTAAAGCTTGGAGAGTGGTGTGGCAACGGAATCTATTGCCTACCAACCAGCATTTATGGCAATGGCGAGTCGATCTCTGGCATTGGAGTCCAAAACTTTCGCTGATAGTAATGTACAGGGGGTCCGAAAAAGATAAACATGTGCAACAAGGGTTGATGGGTTTCCCTTGCATATACATATGTAGCACAAGCATACAGACACACACACACGATATAGATGTATATATATATATATAAGTACATCACATGCATCACATGCATCACATACATCACATACATCACATACATCACATACATCACATACATCACATACATCACATACATCACATACATCACATACATCACATACATCACATACATCACATACATCACAAACATCACATACATCACATACATCACATACATCACATACATCACAAACATCACAAACATCACATACATCACATACATCACATACATCACGTACATCACACACATCACATACATCACATACATACATACATGCATGCATACATACATACATAGATACATAGATACATAGATACATAGATACATAGATACACAGATACATACAGACATACAGACAGACATACAGACAGACATGCTACAGACATGCAGACATACATACAGACATACATACAGACATACATACAGACATACATACAGACATACATACAGACATACATACAGGCATACATCAGGCAGACAGGCAGACAGGCAGCCAGGCAGGCAGGCAGACAGGCAGACGGGCAGACAGGCAGACAGGCAGACAGGCAGACAGGCAGACAGGCAGACAGGCAGACAGGCAGACAGGCAGACAGACAGACAGACAGACATCATATATATATACCACACACACATATATATGTCTATATATATATATATATGTACATAGATCATATACATATATATATATAAATCACATATATATATATGTATGCATCACATGTACATATATATACTTTTACATATACACCATATATATACACACTCACACATATATATATACACAGATCATAAGTAGATATTTCTACATGCACATACACATCATTTATCTTTTAAATACACATCCTATATATATAAATATATAACAATTTTTGTTTATATTTATGTACACATGCACAGCGTATATTTTTAAATGCACATGATATATATATATATTTGCATACGCATACACATCATATATATATGTATATATTTCAATGCACATCATATACATATATATTTATATATCTACACTGTTTATACATATATATATATGTGTACATGCATTGTGTATGTATATATATGTATAAGTGACAACATCAATATTTATCTATACGCATATATACACATCATACGTAAATAACCGTAAATAAATTATAAATGAATAAATGTATATACATATATGCACATCACACACACATATATATATATATCCACTTTACTCTTTTTTTGGCACGCCACGCTGAGAAATTTCGACTCAACTTATATATATAACTGGTTCCTCACTTCATTCTGCTGATTTCTCACCTTGGACTAACAGGTCCGAAAACGTTCTTGAGCAGCTTATTTGGTGGCACATGCGCAATGCATAATTGGGCTTGTTGAAGCGGACATGGAAGATGATAAACTCTCAGTCTTAGTAAGTGTTCTCTTTTAGCTTTGTTTGTGTGCTCTGTGTTTTCCCGCAGTAGATAGACGTGGAAGCTTCCAGGCATAATGGGTATCTATTTTGCAGTATCATTAGTGTGTACATTTGCGGGTTTGGAGATCCTCACAAGCTCTCTTGAACAAAATCGCGTTAGACCAGACTTCAGCCATGAAGTATTTGCTGCATTCCTTTGGCCAGGTTGGTTTCTTCGCAAAATGAGCAATTTATGGTAATTTGGTGTTCCTGGCTCAAGATTTGAATATGGCATATCATATCTAATTTAATTATTCATCAACTTTTAAAGTGTTTTCTCGGGCGAATGGCTGGGGCAAATGTGCTGGGCAAGCTACATGATGCTTGCGAGAGTTCAGTACCCCAGGGGCCCCAGGAGCTGAATGCCATCGAAATTGGCATGGATAACAGTAGCAGTAGCATGCGCCACTGTGACACCACCTCAAGTCACTGCGTGGACTCTGTGGGCAGTGAAACCAGTGAAGCTGAAAGTGACATGATGACAGAAACCGATGGAATTGACCTGCAGATCAAGAAACTTACGAAGTATATGGCCCAAAGCATTGCACATATGGAGGTGCTTAGCCCGGAAGTCTTGAGAGTGACATCGGCATATCAGGCGTTCCAACAATGCGGTGCAGCATTGCGCCCTCGACAGCGTGGACTTTTGTACCAGAAGAGTCGCAAGAGCCACAAGATATCAACTTTTTGGAGCCACTCTTGGCGTGGAGGGCATTGGAAAAAACTCCTTACCCTCGTCATCTTCTACAACGGCACTGCTGCCGTATCCTTGGGTTTTCTGGCAGGTCTTGTGATGATGCTGCTCTGTAGTTTTGAGCTGCTCCCTGGCTTTGAGCGCCAGGATTATCAGCTCAAATGGAAATGCTGGTCCTTGTGTTCAGGGTGTATTGTCACTTCTTTGGTGATGATCTTTTGGCGACCGCAGACGGAAATCTTTTTAGATCGAATTTGCATCAACCAAGTTGGCCACTTGAAAGCTCAGGCCATATTTAGCCTGGCTGGGCTGCTGAGAAAGTCCGACGCACTGCTCATCCTCTGGGATCCCACATGGACTGAGCGGTTGTGGTGCCTCTTTGAGCTTGCAGCCTTCTTACAGAGCCAAAAGACACAAGAAAAGGTTTTGATGATTCGACCCATCTTTCTTGGCCCCGTTACCATGGTGCTTTTCTTGGCTCACTTTGCTGCTATGTTGCCTGGTGTGTTGGTACCTCATGGGTCACGAGGAACAGTTTATACCCCTCTAGCTGCCGCTCACCTGTTTGGTCTCGCAGTTGCTTACCCCTGCGTGAGCACTCTGCGAAAGTATTTCAGAAATTTGGATGCGATGAGACAGCAGTTACTGTCCATCTCTTTCGATACGGCCTGCTGTTCATGTTGTGACCAAGACCATGTAGGACCTTCCGGTGAGGCGATACCCTGCGACCGCAAGATTTTGAAGGAATGTGTGAAGATTTGGTTTGGCAGCGAGCAAGCTTTCGAGGACATCATTCGTTCAGAGGTTTCGGAGATTTTGAACCGTGACCTCAGCGAACAAGTCTTTAGCACACCATGGATTCTCGGAGTAGCTGCTCCGATCATGTGGCTTTTCATGGACCTCTCCTCCAGCTTCGCTTCCATGTCAGAGTGGCCACTTTGGTGGGAGCACCCTGCGCCGGCGTTGTTGCTTGAAGGCCTTGTGTTTTGGCTGTTGGCCATTCCAAGCGCGAAAGAGATTCACTTATGTGTTTGCCGCATAATGCGGGCTCGACCCCAGAGTCTTTATTTGGAGGTCTTGAAAAATTCAGTGACAATGTTGCTGATTTTTGTTCCATACGCATTGATTCTAACATGTTATTTTCTTACCCAAGTGATCATGCACCCGCGAATACATCGAGCTGCAGCGTTTGTTGGCTGCATGCTGCTCCTTTCACCCTGTAATTTCTTGTTCGCAGTTGGGTTGAAGGCCCTTCTGAAGCAACCTGGATGGTAAATCCGCAGGTCAAAAGATGTAGTGAAGGGCTCCATTGGTTCCGGCATACAAGGGTTTCCCTCGTTTGAAAAGCAGACGGGAAATGATCAGGGTATCAAAATGATGGAATCTAAAATATGATCATCGAAGGAAGTTTAGAAGTCAAACTTCCGACAATACGGACAGATGGAAAAGCAGAGGTGGGAAGAGTCAGAGAAGAGAAGAAGAGAGAAGATCAGAGAAGAGAAAGAGCCAGAAGAAAGAAGATGCAGGTGCGCGAAAAGGTAGAAAAGTCGGGATTCACTGTGTTTTTCCAATGATTTGTGGCTCCGGAGGAGGGTCGAAAAGTAGGCTCGCTAAATCGACGAGTGCGGAGCCATCTGGCCGGATGAGAAATAAATGTAATAAGAAATTGCACGCCGGTGTGGCGCGAAGCACATTTCCAAGTCAAAATGTACAAAACACACCATGCTCGGACGACTTTTGGAAGTTGAGATGATGAAAAAGTGTACGCCGTGGTGGCGCGAAGCACATTTCGAAGTCAAAAGTGTTAAAAACTGACGGTCTCGGAGCACTTTTTGAAGTTGAGATGTTTAAAAAGTGCACGCCGTTGTGGCGCGAATCACATTTCGAAGTCAACATGTGCAAAACACACCACGCTCGGACCACTTTTGGACGTTCAACCGCGCCACACTACACAACAACGACAAACCACAACAACAACAACAACAACAACAACAACTTATAGAAACCCGTGAGGTATTTCTAAAACCTGGATGTTTACATTGTCGGCTTCTGAAACCGTTTTGTGCTCCTTATATTTTTCTAGTGTCAGGTTTGATGGTTGTAGCCCTGGCGGGAGAAGGGCGATGAGAAACTCTAAGATTACCCGCTTAAAATGCCGCAATCTAGACCTGACCCACCTCATCTGCAAGGCACCCAGCCGCCAAAAAAATCAAATTTTCATTTCGTTCTAACTATGAATTCGAATCTTGTCATCTGCAAAATTCACAGGTTAGTACCGTGATAATTGAGGTTTCCTTCTGTATTTTGCTCATGTTTGTGCCAAACTGCTTCCAGTGCGGGGTAGCCATTCACGGAAACACTTGCTTCGCGTTTTTCCCTGGATTTTGCATTCTATTGACTGGCTTTCTGTTTAATTCGGGAAAACAAACACGGTACAAACCAACCACCAAAAAGACAACTAAATAGATGCAAACATTGTACTCGGCTCATTGTGGCAAACCTCTTAATTGCATGTCTCCCATCACCACCGCCAAAAAGAGCAACCATGGCAGTGTTGTGAAAGGCTTTGCAGGACATGGTGAAAGCAAATGTGGCAAACCTTGTGGTAAACCGATGTGGTAAACCTGTCCCAGGAGAATGGCAAAACGCACAAAAACAAAGTTGTAGACATTGCGGTAAACTTTTTTTGATGTTTTCTTAGTGGTAAACATTTTTCGTGATAAACCTTTTTGTGGTAAACCTGTTTGTGGTAGACCTTTTGTGGTAAAACTGTGGTAAAGGTGTGGTAAACCTTTCAAATTTGACCATGGTAAACCTTCGTCATTCATACTGCATTTTTTCCGGAAAAATGTTTACCACACCTCTACCACACTTTTGCCGCATAAAAAAAATACCACGAGACATTGCAGCACGTTTGCCACACCTTTACCGCAGGTTTACCACAGAACAGTTTTACCACAGCGTTTACCACAACTTTTGCCACACTTTACCACGGACATCCACGGACAAGGTTTACCACGAGGTTTACCACAAGGTTTACCACATAATGGTGGTTGATGTTTTGAGCATTTTTGAGCAAAAATGCGAAGGCTTTAATTCCCATCTGGGCGGCATTGTGGATTCCGTGGTTTTCTGGGCGCGTTTTGATTCCACCCCATTGGTGTGTGAGTGTTTGTGTGCAAATCACATAGTAAGTAGGTGGGGGGGATTAGGCGGCTGGTTTGTTGAAAATCGAATCGGACAAGTGCACGTCAGCACGCAAAGCAGACAACACGACCAAAACTATAGGAAACATGTACGTGCGTGCATTCGACGGGTGCAAACTTGTTTTGTGCTCAGGCAAACAGCTTCAAAGGTTCGTCTTTTTCCGTTATGCTTATTTTTTCTTAACCAGCATTGTCTCTCCAAGTTCATCACCTTAGACTCTTTACAGGACTGTGCGGTTTCACGCCGGGACCTGTAGCCAGTTTGGGTCAAACATATGCCTGTTTAAAAATATCTTGTAGTTTGAGTGCGATGAATCAAATCCTCGTCATAGAAACACCTCACGGGCTTGCATGCAACAACAACAACAACAACAACTACTACTACTACTACTCCTCCTTCTTCTACCACTACCACTACCACTGCCACTACCACAACCACAACCACAACAACAACTACTACAACTACTACAACCACTACAACAACTACAACAACTACAACAACTACAACAACTACAACAACTACAACAACTACAACAACTACAACTACAACAACTACTACTACTACTGCTGCTGCTGCTACTGCTACTACTACTACTACAACAACTACTACAACTACTACAACTACTACAACTACTACAACCACTACAACAAGTACAACAACTACAACAACTACAACAACTACAACAACTACTACAACTACTACAACAACAACAACTACTACTGCAACTACTACAACTGCTACTACTACTGCGCAACTACAGCTGCAACTACAACAGCTACAACTACGACTACAAATTCCACTACACTACACTACAACTACAGCTACAACTACAGCCCCACTACACCACACTACATTGCACTACACTACACTGCACTGCACTGCACTGCACTACACTACCACTACCACTACCACTACCACTACCACTGCCACTACCACTACCACTACCACTACCACTACCACTACCACTACACCACACTACAGCCACAACAACAACAACAACAACAACAACCACAACCACAACCACAACCACAACAACAACAACAACAACAGTACTACAACTACTAGAGCTACAGCTACAGCTAGAACATTGCAATTACTACAGCTTCAACCACACGTGCAGCTTCAACTACACTACAATGCAACTGCAACTGCAACTACAGCTACAAACCCACTACGCTACACTACTCTCCGCTTCACCACACTTCACCACACTTCACCACACTTCACCACGACTACAATACAACTACAACTACAACTGCAACTGCAAATAATATTTTGCACTACACCCTGCGCCGCACTATATCCAGCAGTTGTGATTGAGGTGGCCGCTGCAACCACTCCAAAAAGCACAACTCCAACCAGCTTTCGGTCCATCAATGGATTCGCTTTGCCATCCATGCATCACAACAACTCACCTCTCCTATAGTGTCCTATCTTTGAAACTTCCGCCACCGCCTTGTGCGGTACTACTGGTTTATGATCCTTCCATATCCTCTATTCCCTTCAAAAGAAACAGAGACACACACACACATGATTTGTTTGGACAGACCCATGCTGCCAGCTGCCAGGTGCCAGGTGGATGAAATCAGCCCAGAAAAAATTTGGGGCGGGGGAAATTGCCTGTATTCTTACAAGCTGTACGGGTCAAAATGGCACCCCAAAATGGAAAGATTTAGCATCCAATGGTCCCATGGTGTAAAGCCCATGGTTGCCAGGATGTTGTGTCGAGACCGTATCGCACCTGATGCATCTCAGCAGGACCTTGGAATTTACCATCCCTATCATGGGGATGTTTCATGGTAAGTTGTGACATAGGTATGGTCTATGGTATAGATGGCCGTTTAGTTCAGTGATCTACCACCTACAACAAAATGGCGATGTTCCATATGGTCATGTTGAATCACAAGGGGGCAAACGCTGAAGATACGTTTTGGTTTTAGCTGGATAAATGTCTAAGTTTATTTTCTCTGGATATGGGTTCAACTGTGCAGGATACCATTTTTGGACCTTAGTATTTTCCACCTTCTTTGAGAGTGGTACATAATTCGGAGCTGATGTGGTTGAACCCAGACTTTGATCCCCGATGATCAGTGTGTAGATGCATTAGTCATTCTTGCAAATCCATGTCAATCCCACATTTCCTGACAGACATGTTTTGTTCCTTCCATAACATCTACAGTGAAACCCTCTTTCTTGGTCAACTCCCGACTTTTGCTGATTGAATTCAGCAAAAACACCCGCGTAACCACCCCAGCACTTTTCACATATGATTTGTTGCTGAATTCTATTTGTTTTCGGATCAAGTCCCCTTGTTTGATGGTTAAATCCAATTTTATGGCTAATTAGATGATCACCCTGTTTCCATAGAAATCCATAGAAACCAATATATAATTTTCTCGTACTTTTCATGGTTGGATTCCCGTCCCAGAATTGGACAAGAAACATCTGCAGGAAAACCAAACCACTTTGATCATTTACAAACATATATATATATATACGCGTATATAAATAATGTTAGTAAAACTGCTTGATAAATATATACAGTATATATATACACTTTGGTTAATACCACCCATTTATGGTGAATTTGGGGATGGTGGATCCCATATGCTTTACTAACATGAGCATATATTATCATATATCCCATTGTATTTCCCCATGAATCTATACATATAGATGATCCAATCTCTATAAGTTCCCTAAACAATTTCCTACCCATTTGAATCATTTGATGATAAAGAATAAAGAACCGATAAAAACCACAATTTCCGGTCGATTTCCAAACACTGAGGTGATTTGCTGCAACAGCATCGTTAGCGCCTGCGCTCGAGCCTCCAAATGGCGTTTGGCCTTAGCGCTGGTGCCGGTGGCAGATGCGCCAAAGCGGCGTTTCGCACCGGAACATGGAGAGTTTCCATGGGATGAGTGATTTTTTGAGAATTATCCTGAAAAAAATGTAATGTTGACGTTTTTAAATGGTTGATCAAGGGGAATTAGCCATCGCAAAAACTGTGTTTTGACTATGAAACATGTAATGTAATGTCAACCCCGGATTAATAAACCATGGTTTATTAATTAGGGGGTTACTCCCCAAATAGTCATAATCTGATACTTAAATGTTATCCCCCCAATTAAGCAACCTAGGGGTTTATTCATCCAGGGTTGGGTTGACATTAGATTAAACGATAAACTTGGGATTTGGTAGGTCAATGGGCTTAACATGATTCAACGATAAAACTTGATTTGCACATATGGTCATTGGTTTATGGATTAATAATAACTGATTATGGTAATTAATTACCTGTGGGCTTGGGATTGGAACAGAAAAATGTAGCTTTAACCATGGCACATGTGGATTTCGACGTCGCTCCTTGGGGAATTCAGAGTGACCGTTTTGGATTTGACAATGTACACATCGGGTTTTTATATCTTTCCATGTTTGGTACATGGGTTTAAACTGCAGAAGCGTTTTAGTTGGTTTTGAAACCAGCATATTGTTAGGGAAGTAGAAACATAGAGAAACCACTTGGGAATTGGTCAAAGTCAAAGTAAGGTTATCGTCTCGCGGATCTAATCAGTGTTTTTTTCCCTGGGACCTATGGTTAGCCGGTTAGAGTTAAACATGCCCGCGATCCTCCAAACATGGGTGACACCGTGAAATTCCTCAATTAGACACACCAATATACCATGGATGTGTTGCTTCTCAGTGATGGTTAAGTCATAGTTATATCATGTTTTAATATAGGCATCCATTGTTAGCTATTATCAATTCGTTATTAAGCATGGTAAAACATTTTTTTGCCCATTAGAAACCATTGTGAAACATTTGTTTGCCAACCACTAAGCTTTCAAATATATATAGTTATTTTTTTTTACAGTGTTGTACCATCATTCAGAACCATAGCTGGCAATGTAAGAATGTTATTGTTGTTGTTAACTATTGTTCATTTTTTGTTGCCACGTTCTTCATAGTGTATTACGTCCTGGGCAATTCCATTTACTAAGAACCATTGTATTTGTTGATTTACTTATTTTTTAACCATTGTCGCATCAAATCTATCAATGACAACTAGTTTGCACCATTATTCAGACTACCATCCATCTGAAAAACCCGTTTCATTATACATTATCATTACAGACCGTTCATCTACCACAACCATAACTGTTTAACCATGTTAAACCATTACCACGGCCGAAAAGACCAACGACGCTCAGGAGGTAACTTTGAGCGCCTTGTGCTGTGCTTCCGAAAAGGGTCGGGCCTGGCGAAGCGCGCTGCAGCTTCTGCGACAAAGCCTGCAGAGGATGGGAGCGCTGCGGCTTCGGGTACCATGACTGGGGAGATATGATATAAATAAATATATTATATTACCATGATTATAAAATGTCAGTATTATCATATAATGTAGTGTTACATATGACATACCATGATGGCAAACCATAAAGAGTTGGTGATGACTTGGGGATGTTTATGGGATGGTTTTATGGCATTTGGAGCATCATCAGCAACATCCACAAAGACCTTAGAGTACTCAGGCTTGTAAACAACCCATAAAGCTTACGATGAAATAGATACAGCTCTTGAAGAAAAGAACAACAGGAACAACTACAATATCACAGTTAGTTCCACGGAAGATGCCTAGTTCTGTATCCGCTACTCATATACTAAGTCGGATGCACATCCAAGTAGCCTCGGACACGTGTTTTCACAGAATATCCAACCAAAGTTTCCTGGACCACTAACCTCATGAACCACGGGGGTTGTTGTTTCACTACCAGGTGGAATCCACTTTGTCCTATATTTTGGTCGTCAGGATGTTGGAACCGGAAATTATGAGCCACAACTCATGCCTCATTGCCCTTCAGAGTCGATGGAGGCACCTCCTGTTTCTTGGTCAGCTCTTGGCTGCCTTGATCTTCTTGGGGAATGCATGTTGGGAATTTGCATAGACATGGCGAGTTGTGCAATCCCGAATGGGACTTGGGACTATCTGGGAAACTGAAAATCATGCAAAAAACAATCTAAGATATTTTCCATTACAAGTTTTGATGACCACAAAAACGGCTAGTGTTCATCCCCGTTTGTGTCTTCAATTCTGTTTTTTCATAGGTCAGATCGCTTGAGCTGGAGCATCATCTGATCTGGTTGGTTAGTCATCTATTTCGTACATTTTTGCAGTGAAACACTGGAACGATTGACACGGCTTCCCGAGCGCAGTAAATCAACATTGAAATGGATACATTGGATACATCATGAAGACCGAACAAAAAGCGACGAACAACTGTAATTGATGGTTAGGTAACTATCCCAAAATGTTTTGCTTCAGGTTTGTGAATTCTTCTAATTCATCCAATACCTCCGGTAGTCAAACGTGGCTTGCTGGAAAATCAGCGATTTAGTTCGATGATTTTCCATCAAAAGGCATCCATTTACATCCATTTATGGTGGATGCTTCCATATTTTCCGTATTTTCCTATGATTTTCCCATGAAACGTTGATTTTTGTGGATTTTCGAGCTCGCCATCTTTGATTTCGGGTAGATCTCCTGGGGTTTCCCCACGGGTTTCCCATATCACAACTCGGATCTCAGGTGGTTCCTGAACGACATGTCTTGGAGGTTGGGGATGGGGCCAGGGCAGAAAACGAAAGATCCCTGTGCGGGCCGGAGCTTCAGGAACATGAGCCGATGCAGGCCATGAAGAACAATACTCCTTGTGATGAACATAAAAATGAAATACTATCTTGGGATCGTGGATCATCTTTTTTCCAGAAAGCGCACCAACATGTAGTTACTGAGATTGCCGCACCATTTTTCTTCAGATAGAATGTTCTAAAGATTCGAATGCCTTCAAACATGTTTGGGATATGATTTGGTTAAATCCAGGTCTCAAATTGTTACATCCCCATGTTTTATTCACCAAGACCTGAAAGACGATGGCGGCTTGTGACATGCTCTATGTTTTATGCTCTATGGTTCATGGTTAAACCACGATTTTACGCAATATTTTTTTAGTTAAGTTATCATGTTATAAATCCCGAACAGTTAGGCCCTAACAGCTTCCACAATTGGATGATGGGACAATTTGCAGGAAACCTAGCATAATAATTCATAATAGCTATAGGCTATAGTGGTAAAAACCATGGTTTTTCGTTGAATATTATCACTCAGAATGGGAGGGTGGCCCCCCACTGACCTTCCGGTTTCTGGGATGGGTGTGTTCACCATTTTTCATAGTTAAATCATGCATACCAAAATTTCATCATTTTTTCTTGTTCCAAAAACACCCAGCTTTTCATCATGAATGGGATGTTATATCAGTTATATGTTATATCCATGAAAATGGTGATGTTCCATACTTATTGTCAGTGTACTAGAGGGGAAACCAAGTGAAACAGCTGAAAACCGGATCTTCCACAGTGGTTTGGGGCCCCTGTTTCCAGGCTCCGCCCCAATGCGGCCAGCTTCGCGGCAGCCAGCGAAGCGGTGCCACTGAACACCCCGCAGACAGGTGGACCTGAAAAAATCTGATGGGGGATGGTTAGTTTGCGACAGACTTAGTCACTGAACGAACGTCATTTGGAGAAAAAACAGGATTTTCATTTGTAGCTAGAGACGTTCTAAGTGAGTCAGTTTGAACATGTTAGAACGTTATTTGTACTCACGTTAGGAGGTCGGAAGGCTCCATGTATAGTCAACGGCCATTACAGGGACCTAAACTGGAGGTGCTGTAGGGGGTATCTCAGCTCAGATAGGCCTAAAACATGATCCTTATAATGATATGGTCCTTAATTATAATGATATGGCAGGTACCTCAAAATTAGGTTCTTGAAATGGCC